TATATAAAGAATTTTTAAAAAAGCAGATGAATTTATAAGTTAGAAAAAGATAAAAACAAAAAATAATTAAGAAGAGAGAATAAATGATGTGTGTGTGTGTGTATTATTATTATTATTATTATTATTATTATTTTTTTTTTATATTTCAAATATACTTTATTTAAGGGTTATAATCTTGCCCAAGGATAAAATTATCCATATTTTTTGAAGAGAATAATTCATGATTTTTAGAACCCAATATTAAAAATTTTTTTTTTGCATGATAAATGAGGAAAAAGTCGTTATTTAAAATTATAGCCTTTTTCTAATAGATTTAGGTTCTGTTATATTTATATTTCATTATTAAGAGACAGCATTGCTTAAGTACTAATTTCTCAAAATTCTGTTATTAATACCTAAAGATTATGATATGGTTGTATAAATTGAATTCCCAAATTTTTAATATGTACTCCAATCTCTTTCATATTCTATCCATTACTTATTTCATTTCATTAATAATATCTTCATAATAAAAAAAATTCTTATTAAATTTTCAATTATCAATTATAGGCTTATTATTATTTAGACTATCCAATGAGTCGAATCTGATAAAATTATATTAGTTATCGAATTTTCAATAGTTTTAGCTTAATGATGTATCGCTGTTGCAAACTATATGATATTTTAAAGATTAGTTATAAAATAGATGGAAATAATTTTTTTAATTTACATCCCCTTATTATAGAATGCTTATCAACATATTATCCTTATAAATTTGTCCCCTCTATTGAATAAAGACTATAAAATTCATGTCAATCAATAAAGCGATAACTATTGATGGCATATCAGACACTTTTATTAGAAAAACAATAAATCTAATCATTTTAAAAGGCAAATGATAACACTAGTTAATTTAATATATTGTTCAAGCTCTGGTAAATCCAATGTATAATGTATAAACAAAAATCCCATTAAAATATCAATTCAGACCTTTCACAATAAATAATCCATTAATAAAATTTTTAGATGTAATTTTCTTAAATAAGAATAAAGGAATTGTAAGCTGTATCTAAAATATTGGCAAAATGGCTTCATCTCTAATAGAGGAACATAAGTAAAACAAAAAAAAGGGTTGCTCCTTAGAAAGTGTGATTAAGTAGGAAATCTTTATTAATTTCTCAAATGCATACTGAACCACCATCAGAAATAAGTTATTCTAAGCAATGGAAGAAAAATAAGTATTCAGCAAGAATTTATTAAAGGAATAAATTCATTACTTCATTATTCAAACCATATTAAAGAAAAAGAAAATATTGTTTTAAAAAACATTCATTTAAAGATTTCCATTGTTCACCATCCCTATTTAATATTTATTTGGATGCCTTCTATAAGATTTCTCTTCAAAACTCAATTAGGAGCTAATGTAAAAACCTATCAAGATGATCTAGTTTTTATTGTAGACTACAGAGTTGCAGAACAGTTTATTTAAGGAAACTGGTAGATTATGGAACTTAAAATTAAATAAACCAAAATAAAGAGTATTTCTATTTTTAAAATTTATAGGGTATATAAATCCTTAAGAATTATAACTATTTTGGCAACTTTAACTGATAAAGCTTCAATATATAACTAAATTAGTAAAATAAAGGGAAGAATTAATCATATTTCCAATTAACTTTAATGGATCTCTTCTTGTATTGATATCAAACAAAGAATTATTCTGCTTAGGAAAATATACATAAACCCACATGTGACTTATTCGAATTTAGCTATGTAAACAGCCTACAGTAAAACTCCAAAGAATGATCTAATAAAGCTATAAAGAAATTCATTAAAAAATATATAGCCAGATTACTAAAATCGAAGCCAAATCGCATTATTGATATATTAATCAAAACTAACAAGAGTAGCCAGGTTCCTAAAATCTCAACGAATTATACTGCTTGCAAGGAAAAATATTCAACATTCATTTGTGTAAGATGAATGATTAACATATAATTGAATAAGTTTTTGGGCTTAAATTTAAAGAGCTACAGGTAATCCTCGAGGAGAAAATAAAAAAAAGCAGAGATTTACAATGAAAAAACGAGTAGAAAAAGCAATAATCAAAAAATGAGAGAATGAATAATCAAATGTGTGTTTAATTCCTTAAAATGATATTATGATTATAAATATTATATATATTGACCAATTTAGGAACATAAACTCAGGCATCTAATCAACCAACATTTAGTGATAATGCAAATTAATTTCATTATCATCTCAAATTAGTCAACATTAATTACATGTGATCTATAAGATATGATTTTACTAGGATCCTGTTATCGACTGATGTCAGTCATTTGTAGGAATTTATCTAGATCTTTTGATTATTAATCACATAAATTGAGTTCCAACTATCCATCCTTTTTCTTAATTAGTGAATTAATCACTATCAATTCAATCAGACTGGCACAATTAGCAATCGAATCATTACTATAATCGATCATTTATGCACTATTGATGTGCCCATTTCTTCCTTAAAATGATTATTACCACCTCATCTTTCTTAGTGATGATGGATATGCTAGTCATAAGCTTTAGTGTATTTGGATAGAATCATCCTTGACCCCAGAAGCCATCACTTCCATCTCTAATTAAAATTTAATAAGAATAATAGTCAAGAAAATTCAAATATTGACCAAAGGATGATTTGACCAAGTCAAAAAGCCCTTTAATGTAATTTGTTTTTTTTAACTAAAAATTGGAATTGATAATTTTACAAACTTAATATGTTCAATAATTTTATTATAATTTGTTAAGCTAATGTAAAATCAATTTTATAAACTAAACGAAAATTTTTATCTAAATAAAAAATAGTACATATAAAGAAAGTGGTAGAATTAAGAAATTAATTGGAAATATAATAAAAAATATAAAATTAAATTAGACAATTATTATTGAAAAATTAGATAATAATCTCTCAATTTTACTGCTCTTCTTTGGAAAGTTCTGTCTAATTCAAGTAGTACATTTTTCTTGACTATTATAATATAATTATCTTATCAAATTAATATATTTCACTTGATGTTTAAATATTAAGTTTATAAAGTGAAAATTAAATTGCCTATTTTTAACCTACTGAGCGAATAAAAATACTTTAAGACTATATTTAGTTTAAATTTAACAAGTTCTCCCTAGCTATCATTAGGTTATAAAAATGAATTTAAAGGAACTTACCATATTAGAATAAAATTTTGTTAATTTTTATTTTATAAATATGTTTTTATTATGTGTAATGTAAACTTATAGATGAATTTGGATTAAAAAAAATTGAAATGAATTATATTTGATAAAACAATCTTTTCTAGTGGAAGATGAAGATGTAAACTAATTATTAATATATTTATATGTTGAAATGGGGGAATTATTATTAGAAGATGTCTTTATTATCTTAATTTTATCATATCATCTTCAATTACTAAATTCTATTGTTATTGTTTGACTGTAATCATTTGGCACAAAAATTTGATACAATTTTTAATTCCAATTAGATTACAAAATTCTTATATTTTTAGATGGCACAAATAAAGTAGTATTTCTATTTAATTATATTCTAAAATATAAAATAATGTGATACTAAGATCCTTATTAAGCTGCCAACATATAAATGTCATTGATACTATCCTTTAGTTAAACTTAGAATATTTTACTTTTATTTTAATTGGCAACATTTATGGATATAATTTTATTACTATATTGTAAGATCTCTAAATCGAGTTTCAAATCTTATATGTTCTCATCTTTTTGGATAATTTCTTAATTTATTAATTATCTTTCCTAAATAAATTATTATATATTTTGATTTAATTATTCTTTATGTTAATTTAATTATTATATCTCTTAATTGAATAATTCTTTATCCTTATTTAATTATTCTTTATCCTAATTTAATTAATTTATCTTTTGATTTAATGATTATATCTCTTCATTTAATTACTCTTTATCTTAAATTAATGATTCTTTATCCTTATTTAATTATTATATCTCAAAATTTAATTTATCAATATTTTAAGTTAATTAGTATATATTTTAATCTTTTATATCTAAATTAGCCTAAATGTTATTTATTTCTAATTTAAGATTGTTAATAATCTGATTATATTCTAGATTTTTGTTATTATAATCCTCATTCTATTATTTTAATTCCTATATTTATGAATTTAAATGTCTTAAGTTATTATTAAGTTAATCATTATCTTATTTTTTTTCATTTAAAATGGCATTAAGTTATTCGATTTCTTAATTATATATCTATTAATTATTATTTTTCTATTCTATTTCTTAATTAATCTAAAATCTTAATTACTCTATTTCTTTATTTTTATCTTTATTCAATAATTCTTAATTAAGCTTTTCAATAATTTCCTTTTACTAAACAATTTGTAATTTTTTTTCTGTCAAATCAGATCCATGGTTTTGTATTAATTATTTCAAATTAGCATTTTAAAGATTTATCACTTATAAATCATTTTATAATTATTTAATTCTATCTGCATTATTTTTAGCATTCTATTTTAATTATTAAACTAAGTTCTCTTGTACTTATTTCTCTTAAGAAATATCATTAATTTGATTTTTTAATGTTATTATTTCATTACATTATTGTTATCTTTTTTGAATGAGTTAATTATTTTTATTTTCAAGTGATTTAATTAATTGCCAATTTCTTTCAATGAAAATATTATCTTTTGAAATCGATTTCGATCTTAAATCTCTTCTAACTTATATTTCACTCTTTTGACTAATATTAAAACTACTACTTCGATATCTTGTTATTTATTGATTGTTTTGGGTTTATTACTTTATTAATTAATATTATATTTTGACAATATCCAGATCTGCTTAAGTTTATCTTTTTATGTTTATCAATTCATTAATGTTATTCTATAATTAATTAAATCTTATTTCTATCCCTGGTAAATCTTATTATATTGTATAATAATTCTAATATATTCTTAAGCTATCAATTTGTTAATTTAATTCTTAAATCTTTAAGTTTTATCTATCTATTATATCATTTCGAATATAAATATCATTTAACAATTAAATATTATAATTCTATAATGTATTAATAAATAACTANTTATTGAAAGGAAAAGTGAAAAAAAAATTGATTGATAATATCTTTATTATCTTAATTTTATCATATCATCTTCAATTACTAAATTCTATTGTTATTGTATGATTGTAATCATCTGGCACAAATATTTGATATATTTTTTAATTCCAATCAGATTAAGAAATTCTCTTATTTTTAGATAGCACAAATAAAGTAGTATTTCTATTTAATTATATTCTAAAATATAAAATAATGTGATACTAAAATCCTTATTAAGCTGCCAACATATAAATGTCATTGATACTATCCTTTAGTTAAACTTGGAATATTTTACTTTTATTTTAATTGGCAACATTTATGGATATAATTTTATTACTATATTGTAAGATCTCTAAATCGAGTTTCAAACTTTATATGTTCTCATCTTTTTGGATAATTTCTTAATTTATTAATTATCTTTCCTAAATAAATTATTATATATTTTGATTTAATTATTCTTTATGTTAATTTAATTATTATATCTCTTAATTGAATAATTCTTTATCCTTATTTAATTATTCTTTATCCTAATTTAATTAATTTATCTTTTGATTTAATGATTATATCTCTTCATTTAATTACTCTTTATCTTAAATTAATGATTCTTTATCCTTATTTAATTATTATATCTCAAAATTTAATTTATCAATATTTTAAGTTAATTAGTATATATTTTAATCTTTTATATCTAAATTAGCCTAAATGTTATTTATTTCTAATTTAAGATTGTTAATAATCTGATTATATTCTAGATTTTTGTTATTATAATCCTCATTCTATTATTTTAATTCCTATATTTATGAATTTAAATGTCTTAAGTTATTATTAAGTTAATCATTATCTTATTTTTTTTCATTTAAAATGGCATTAAGTTATTCGATTTCTTAATTATATATCTATTAATTATTATTTTTCTATTCTATTTCTTAATTAATCTAAAATCTTAATTACTCTATTTCTTTATTTTTATCTTTATTCAATAATTCTTAATTAAGCTTTTCAATAATTTCCTTTTACTAAACAATTTGTAATTTTTTTTCTGTCAAATCAGATCCATGGTTTTGTATTAATTATTTCAAATTAGCATTTTAAAGATTTATCACTTATAAATCATTTTATAATTATTTAATTCTATCTGCATTATTTTTAGCATTCTATTTTAATTATTAAACTAAGTTCTCTTGTACTTATTTCTCTTAAGAAATATCATTAATTTGATTTTTTAATGTTATTATTTCATTACATTATTGTTATCTTTTTTGAATGAGTTAATTATTTTTATTTTCAAGTGATTTAATTAATTGCCAATTTCTTTCAATGAAAATATTATCTTTTGAAATCGATTTCGATCTTAAATCTCTTCTAACTTATATTTCACTCTTTTGACTAATATTAAAACTACTACTTCGATATCTTGTTATTTATTGATTGTTTTGGGTTTATTACTTTATTAATTAATATTATATTTTGACAATATCCAGATCTGCTTAAGTTTATCTTTTTATGTTTATCAATTCATTAATGTTATTCTATAATTAATTAAATCTTATTTCTATCCCTGGTAAATCTTATTATATTGTATAATAATTCTAATATATTCTTAAGCTATCAATTTGTTAATTTAATTCTTAAATCTTTAAGTTTTATCTATCTATTATATCATTTCGAATATAAATATCATTTAACAATTAAATATTATAATTCTATAATGTATTAATAAATAACTANATCTTTTGATTTAATGATTATATCTCTTCATTTAATTACTCTTTATCTTAAATTAATGATTCTTTATCCTTATTTAATTATTATATCTCAAAATTTAATTTATCAATATTTTAAGTTAATTAGTATATATTTTAATCTTTTATATCTAAATTAGCCTAAATGTTATTTATTTCTAATTTAAGATTGTTAATAATCTGATTATATTCTAGATTTTTGTTATTATAATCCTCATTCTATTATTTTAATTCCTATATTTATGAATTTAAATGTCTTAAGTTATTATTAAGTTAATCATTATCTTATTTTTTTTCATTTAAAATGGCATTAAGTTATTCGATTTCTTAATTATATATCTATTAATTATTATTTTTCTATTCTATTTCTTAATTAATCTAAAATCTTAATTACTCTATTTCTTTATTTTTATCTTTATTCAATAATTCTTAATTTAACTTCTCATTAATTTCCTTTTACTAAACAATTTATAGATTTTATAAATCATTTTATTATTTTTAAATTCTATTTTCATTTTCTATGACATGTTTCTCAAAATTAAGTATTTGTTATTCATTTCTATCAATTTGATTTTTTAAAATATGATTGTCTTCTAAAAGAGTTTTATTTAGTGCACTTAACCTGTGAACTTCTTAATGGATTTAATTTATTCGATTAATCTTAACAATTAAATTTTATTCTATTGCTAAAGGTTTTTGATTATTTTCTTAGTTTATCTATTATTGAATTCTAGCGTCAAAACTATTATTTCTATATAGATATTTTTTAAAAAGTAATGGATTTTATTCTAATTTTGAATCAGCCACTCTGAGAAATTTTAAAATTTATGATTTTTGTTTTTGTAATTCAGCAATATTAGTTTTTAATTTTTAGAGTTCTTCTGCTTTTTATGGTATTTGTAATCCTAGTGCTTGCATAGACTAATTATTTATTTATTAATTTTAATTATTGTTTTAATCATTTTTTTCTTCTTCATCTCTAGACTGTAATTCCTAATTCTGAACAGGTAAATTCTATATTACTTCAAGAATAACATACATTTAACTTTCTGATTCGATGTGTTTTATTAGAACCATTCTATACTTTACTTTCTGTCAATAATTTAGAAACTTCTTAAATTTAGATCAACGATTATCTTTTAATATTCATGTTTAGAGCATTTAAATATACATCTTAATCGATTACTTTTTTTTATCCTAAATTTTCTGTAAAGGTTTTGATTTCCTAAATTTTTGGATATTTCTATAAAATAATTCTACTTATTTACTTTTTAAATTTCTATTTCAAATTTCATCTGTTTCTAGTGATCATCATCATTATGATTCGAATTAGACTAATTATTTTATACGTCATCAACAGCTGAGTTTGTTTTTTACTTAATATTATATTACTTCTTTTTTCTAAATATTGGTATTGATTATACTAATTATAGAATTAAATTCTATCCTAGGTATTGTATGGAGATTAGCAAAAATTTTAGTTATAAACCTTTTTTTCATTCATTACTTAAATTTAATATTAAGGAATGATATTACAGAATTATGATTTTTTAGTTCAATTACTGATTAGAATGATCGTTAGATAACAGTAAATCATAATAAAAAAGGAAACTTATATTTTTATATATAAATATAGTAAAAATGTTAGCAATTATGCTGAATCCCAATCATTTAATCCGGATTTTAATTCTGAATTAAGTTAATCTTGGATGACAATTTTTATTTAAGCTCTTAAAGATTATATTACTTGAATAGCCTTCATTAACATTATGTAACTGATAAAAGAATAATGAATAGTTATAGCAAGATTTATGTTTATTAATATAGATTGAGAAATTCAATAAATAATTTTATAAGAACCTTAGTATCTATGCTATCATTAGGCTATAATTTAAAAAATGATGAAATAATAAAAAATAATTATTTGTGAATAAGCGTAATTTATAATACAATTAGTCTATAAGTTCTAATATTTTAAAAGTTCTAAAGAATAGGTTGATTATATAATCCTATTGTTAATTAAATTGAAATAATATAAATGTTTTGATTATTTGAAATATAATTATTTAAATATAATTTATAATATGGTATTAAGTTTCTAAATGCATTTAAAGGAAAAAATAACATACAAGAAATTTGTATGGAATAGATCATTTATTTAGTTAAAAGTGGACTTTCTTTCTTGATTCTGCATCACCTTGAGTTTGCATCTTTCGAAATTAACTATATTTTAATTCTTATTTCATTATGCTTTTTACAGATTTATTATCTGCACTATTGCTTCTATTGCTATCATTCTCACTTTTTTCTTCAAATTTAACTCTATGCTCTGATAGAGATTTTAATTTATTCAATTTCTTTGAATCGAAAGATTTTAAGGAATTCTTAGGTTAAAAATCACATAGAGGAGAGTCATTCTTTCTTCTTTTCTTTAAAGATCTTTAAGAAGTGATTGGACTTTGTTATATATCTTCTATCTTCTTTGGAATGTCTTCTAAATTCATAACAATTTCTGCAACAAGTTGAATGTCTTTGTAGGATTATTCAGAATGTTTGCTTCCGAAAGACTATAGATCTGCAAATCCAGGAGTTGCAGGATCTTCACATTTATTTGGATGTACTAGTAGTTTCTCCTTTTGCGAAGGAGTCCTTAAATTGGAGTAAACATTACTCTTGTTTTTTTTTTGGAGATTTCTTAGAAGACCTTAGGGACGACTTCTCAGTATCTTCAATCTTAAGAACAATTTCTGATTTATCATCTGTTTATAAAGAACAACAATGTGAGCTTCCCATAATTTAATGTAATAAATATTATTCTCTAAAATTAATAAGGATGAATCAAATATTATCTAAATAATAAAAATATCACTGAAATTAGAAAATAAAATTAATAAGATTGAATTTAAGAAGGTAGCTTTTTAGAAATCAAAAGATATAAGATAAATTATATATGCAAAAAGGTAAAATATATTGTAAAATTTTGAAATAAATAATAATTGTTATTAATATTATCAATTTTAAATATCTTTTATAAGAAATAATAAGTCAAATAATAATATTTGTTTAATCAAATAAAAGATAGCATAAAATATAATAATATTTATAAATATTTTTATTTGTTAGAAATATCATTAATATTTTTTTGAATATAGTTAAAGAATATTTTAATAAATAAATGCTGAAAATAATAATTAGAAGATATTTTATTTGATTATTTAACTGATATTTTTTATTTATCTGTTAAAATTATTAATATATATTTTTATCTGTCTAAATGGGTGCAGAATAATCTGTGGCACAAGGAATTGTTTAATCAAAGAATTTTACAATATTGGGTTATAAAGAAAATGAAATTTATGGATCCTTCAAATTAATTGAATCATAATCAAAATAATATGCTATGGTTTCTAAGACTTGTTAATGTTATGAAGAGTATACTAATTTATCTAAGATACTCAATGAAACTAAATCACTGAATGAAATTGATAATTTAGTAAAGTTAGTAGAAGTTGATACTCAAGAAGAAACCAATTTATGTAGTACATATTATAAAGTTACTGCCTTATATGAATATTATGATATTACATTAAGACAAATCTCTAAATAAGCATCAATTAATTGTTTATTTGTTTTAAAGAGTCTTGCAGAGATACTGAGTAAATTATATGGACACAACATAGTGCATGGAAATTTAACTCCAGATTAAGTGTTAATTGAGAAAATATAGGGAGAGGTAAAATTGAATAATAGTACTTAATTAACTGGATATAATCATTACAAAAGAATTTTGTCTGGTGATAGTTTATGGTATTTATCACCAGAATTGATTAATGCATTAGGTAAGAAAGAACTCAGACCTTAATATAATCATGAGAAGAATGAAGTATATCAATTAGGATTGATAGCTTTGGAATTTTGGGGAAATGGTAATATTCAAGAAATATATGATAAATAGAATTATAAAATAAATGAAGGTAAATAAAATAAAAATAATTTATAGATGTAATATAATCAATTATAGAAGAATTTGGAGTTAGAAATGGATATGTGTTGAAAAATGTCATAAAGTAAATGTTATAGGCAGATCCTAATATTAGACCAACTATGAGTGAATTGAGTTAATAATTTACTTAATTATTTGTGATTCAATAATAAGTTGATGAGCCAAAAGTTGAATAATATGAAGAAAAAGAGAATTAATATGAATAGACTACAAATTTATAGGAAATGAACAAAGAATTAATTGAAGTTCAAGATGAAGTTTTATAAATTCACAAAGAATCATTCTAATATTTAGAAGAATGTAAGAAGAATATTCAAAATGAGAATTAACCTTAAGATTAATTTGAAGAATCTCCAAAGAAATTAGAAAAGTAAAATTGTGAATTTAATACTTAATCTGTAAAGTAATCAGTAAATCAATCTTTAAAAGAATATTATGTAACAGGATCAATAGCTGCTTAATTTGGATAATTAAATTTACTTGAAAGTAATGATGAGTATAAATGTATTGGAATCACTCAATTATAAGAGAATGGTGATATATTATAAGAAAAATCATAAAATCATCCTACTTCACCTAAAGGTTAAGATTCTATTAAACCTAAAAAGAGTGTAAAAGTTAATACAGCTTCAGCTAACAAGAAAGCAGTATCAATAAAGAGACCTAAACATGAAATTATGGATACTAAATTACCTAAGTAGGCTGTGGTTGTGAGTAAGAAAAGATGAAGTATAAACTATATTACTATAAATAAATTTATATTTAATTTTAATTTCTTATTACATTCTAATGCAAGGAACTCCAGATTTAGATGAACCTATTATAGGTAATGCTTAACAAGCATGGGGTAAATTAATATCTTTGAATGGTGGCAAAATAAATACATAAGAATTATGTGATGAAGAAGTAATATTAGAAGTTTATTATTAGATAACAATGGGAAGATCAGATACTAATAAAATTGTAATATGTGATAGCAGATTGTCTGGACTACATTGTAAAATAAAATGGGATTCTGTTAATAATATAGCTTAATTGTTAGATTTATCAACAAATGGAACATTTATAGGAGATTAAAAGATTGGAAAAAACAATGAAATTATGTTAAAGAATGGAGATGAGATTTATTTATTACACAAAAGTAAAGTTCCTATTTCAGATATAATTGGATTTACATTAGTTATTTAATAAGTAAAGGAAGTTAAAATGGCGGCTTAATTTGATGAATAACAACAGAAAAAAATGTAAACTCTCGAAGATATGCAAGAAGATATACATTGTCCAATATGTGATGATTTAATATTTTAATGCGTTTCCTTGATGCCATGTCTTCACAATTTTTGTGGTGCTTGTTTCTCTGATTGGATGGTTAAATCTAAAACTTGTCCATCTTGTCGTAAAGATGTATAAACTGTTAATAAAAATCCTATGGTCAATAATTTTGTAGAAAAATATCTAATAATGCATCCTGATAAAAAAAGATCACCTGAAGAATATAAAGAGATGGATTCAAAAAATAAAATTAAAGGAGATGCACTAATTTTTAATTCATCTGAATCAATATCTATTGTTTAACCTATTACAAATGTAGCTCCAGCTAGAGGACGAGGTAGACCTGCTGCATCTTAATAAGTTCCTATTATCTAATAAGACATTAAAATAGAGACACATAAGTAATCTCATATCAGTGATTACTCAGCTGAAGAAGATGATGGTCCTGTTACAAAAGATTGTGTAACATGTATTAGAGCTATTAATGGATATTAATGTTAAAGAAGAAGTGTTCCACATTTAAATTGTAGTAATTGTTCATCAAAAATGCCAAAATTTGGTAATTATGTTAATCTATTTAATATTAGATTTAAATGAAAAAAGATTGATATTTAGATGTGAATTATGTGAAAATTTCTTTTGTACTCTCTATAATAAAAATTGTTAATAATTAAGCAAGAAAAACCCAAATGCTAGACTTGAAAGACATACTGTACCTGGAAATGTAGATGTTTAATGTTTTAGATAAAATCAATTTGAATTTTAAGCATTTCTTGATTATATGAAACAAAAAAAATTGACAACACAAGATATCTTCTAATATATGATGGATAATCATATTAGTTAAGGAGGATTTAGATATGTAGAAGGGAAATTTACTCATAAAGATCCAAAAAGAACAATAGATATGATCATTCTAAAAGATACTGTATTTATATTATTATTATAATTTATTAGTCTGTTTGTAGTCAATGTTTTGGTTTAATTTGGCAATAGATTATTTTTAGATATCGTATTTCAATTAAAGATTAAATGGTTGACAAAATAAAAAATAGAGGATAATGTTGGTTTGGAATTAATTGCAAAACAATGACTCATAATCTAGCACATGCTGAAAAATTGGATCATATATGTGAATAAACTAAATTTTGAATAGGTTTTATTCTAATTAATATTAATAATATAATGGGAAATAGCAATATTACATAAACTTGTAATTAAGACATTTCATAATCTTGTCAATAAAACTCAGGTCTTACATAACAAGAAATTGAGGGTATCAAAAATGTTTTTAATTCTCTTGACCCAAAGGTATTAATTTAATAAATACATTTAGAATGGAGTTATTAGCACTGAAACTTTAAGAAAATTATATAGAGATTCATATGATGCTCCAAAATTAAATGATTAAATTGGAAATAGAGAAACCTTAACATTCTAAGAGTTTTTTGAAGTTATGCGAATTAATATGTTGGAAAAGAAGAAAAACTTTCCTAATGTTGAATTCAATGATATTGATGGAAATGTTTAATTATGTTTCTGTTAACCATGATCCTAAAAATTCATTTTATATGAAATATCATTAAAATATTTTTGCAAACTCTGTTTTAAACTCTTCTGATCCTTCTTTTGTTGTGAACATTACTTTTAATGTATCAACAGATATAGAATTCTTTTCATCATTTTCACCTTATTCCTTCTATTTACTATCCAATTTATCTTTTCTGCTGATAGCTTTAATAATTAAATTTTCTGCCTTCTATCCCAAAGGTTTAATCTCTGAAAATCCTTTGATAAATTACCCTGTATATAATGATTATTATATTGCATTTCTAAACAAATAGATAAATAATATACCTATACACAAGATAGTAAGAATTTCCATTTTTAGTTTTTTCAATTGCAACAGATCCCTTCTCCAAAATATCATTTGTATTTTTTCTAAACTTTTCAACATTAACCTTAAATTATATAAAAAACAAATTACCTTTACTAATTAATCTGTATTTGAAGTATAATCATATTTCATTACTATTTATTTTGGTTCATCATCTTCTGGTTTTTAATCATCTTATCCTATAAAATAGTTGTTTAATTGATACCATCATCTTCTCCAGGATCACTATCATCAGATTTTGGAGCTGTGTAACTAATACCAAATAAGGATGGTCCTGGTTTTGTGAGATCTACATTAACATTGTTTAAAATTGAAGGTCCAGAACTAAAAATTCCAGTATTAGGTTAAGTAGATCCAAATAAACTTCCTTAAAAAATTTGATTTGTTTAATTGTTATTGAATAAATTTTATCCATTTATCATTGATCCAAACAAACTAGGAACTTTGTTTTCTGTCTTTTATGCTTCATTTTTCTCTTCATTCTATTGATTCACTTCTTAAGGTTTATTTTTTTCATCATCTTAACCTTTATGAGACTCATCAACTTTTGTTGCAAATTCGGCGGATTATTATGCCATGAATAATTTAATTATTTAATTTTGTATATAAATACTATTGAAGGATATAAATAAAAATATCAGAATTCTTCTGAATGAAAATTTATGATAGAATAATCTTAGGTGATTGGTTACTAATAATCAGAATCCTCAAATTAATTTTTTTCTATCTCTTAATATTAAATATTTTATTAAGAATCTAATTATTCTCCTTCAAAGAGAATTTATATATTCTTGATGAAAGTCATAATCTAATTTTTATAAAATTTGATTCTTTCCTTATAAATTTTAAATATTTAATCTGGTGATAAATTCTAAACTTTATCCCAATATAATAATTCATCATTACGACTCTTAAATATTTGAATCAAAAGATTTTTAAATATCACTTAAATATCTTTTAAATTATTGGTTTGAATAAATTAATCTAATAAATCATCAGCAATACGTTCAATACTATAATTATTCTCTAATTTTTTTAATATTCCAATTAATTCTAAATAAAATATCTCATCTAATAAGAATTTTATTTCTTTAAGTATTGTTTTCCATTTCTAATTTTATAAAGTCAATTCTTTTGGATATCTACCTTTAAGATTTAATAAACCATTGTTTCTGAAGAAAAATACAACTATTCTTTCTTTTTTCTTGTTTCTCTAAGGTTATCCAAGATAATTTTCAGAAAAAGATTCTAAAAATTCATACAAAGGTTAATTAGATTTTTATTCATTATATTTTTCCTATTTAATCATCTTTCTATATTCATCTTATTCATTTTTTAAATTCTTCTTAGCTCCTGCAAAATGAAGTAAAAAATGTCTTCCTTCTTTCATAAGATAACTTATAAAATTTATATCTGGTTATTGAGTGCTCCATATCTTTGGTTATTAAACTGAAATCTTGCTCAAACCAGCAGGTTTACCAATTTCTGGTTTTTTTATTTATACTTTTATTTATCCTTATTAAACCTTTGAAACTAAGCGAACTTAAAGACATTATTTCAATTTTTTTGTTCTTGAAAATTTTCCCATAGTATTAATAATATTGTAATTCTATTAAATAATGAATACAATTTAAAGAAATGAAATTTAGAAGAGAATAATTTTTTGATTTTTCATATAAATATTTAATCAAACATAATAGAAGTTTGAAATAATCATAAAGTTTTAACATAATATAATTATAAACATAAAAAGAGACTTAGAAGATATATACAATAAGATTCTTTTAATATTTATTTCCAATCTAAATAAAAAAGATAAATAAAATAGATTTTAAGTGACAATTATTAATGAATTCATAATTACTCAATGTTAGTTAGCTCTTTATATAATGAATTATTTAATTTTCTTCTAATAAAATATTGAAAATATATTACCTTTTCGAGATACCAAATCCTACCATTTCAAATTTAAAAACACTTTCACTTATTTTGATTTCCATTTTATCTTCTATTTATAATGGTATACTCTTTTATGATTTTTAATTTAAAGGATTTTCAAATTATTATAAAGATTACCAAGTTCCATTGGCAGATTGTTTTATTCCTTCTCCATCACATATTTCCCATTAATTTCTATTGAATTTAATTTATGTTTGCTTTCTAGAAACAGTATTTATATTAACAATAATGTCACAATCTTAAGATCTTCCAATTTTAAAGATTTATTATTGTCCTTCTTTTGCAATAAATACAGCTATTTATTTGACTATTGGAGTTTCAAATTATATTTTAAGGAATGGTCGATTACAATTTTATAAAGTATATTATTTTCTTCCCTTCTTTTTCAATTATTAATAATTTTATAAGTATTCTAGAATGTTATGTCAAATATTAATACATTAAAAAATAACTGATTCTTCTTTAGTTAAACCATGTATTCTTGATCTATCTCTTACATGTTCTCTAACAAGAGTTTAGAAAAAATAATCAACATCAGTTTCTTAATTTTATTTATTAATTTATTTTGGATTAGTGCTTAACTAAACAACATTAAAGTATAAATCTGCTCCAATTAAGTATTTATTATTGATTTATATATTTTTTGGCTTATCTTTTGGAATTCTTATTAATGTCTTTAGAGATGTTCCACAATCTTAAACATAAAATTTAGGTTCTTCTCTTAAAAATAAAAAAATAATCTACTTAATAAATTAATGAATCAGTTTAAACACATTTGAAGGTAATTAAGTAAATTTAGAATGTAAATTCTATTCTTATGATAAGTACTTTAATGAAAGTAATACAAGAATTTCAGGAGTGATTTTACTAGAAAAACGGAATCCTTTATCTGTTAAAATTTTACAAGGGATTTATTCAACATTAGATTCTTAACCAGAAAGACCTTAAATATATTGATTTTTTATACCAAAATCCATGTTGTTATCTCCAGCTCTTTAAGCTTTCTTTCTTCTTATTATTTAAATTTCATTGTTATAAACTTGATTTCCACCTATTATTCTAAAAATAAATGAGAGACATTACTTGTCATCTTGAAGAATATAAATTTTTTAATTAGCCAGTTGGTGCTATTTATATACACTAATCTTTATATATGGAGATTCTCTATTAAATTCTTATTTAATGGTCTAAAAAGTTGTATTGCATGCAAAGCTATCCTTTTTAACCATACCATCAGAATTTGACTAGTTATTTTGCTCCTAAGAATTATAATAATATTTACAAGTTTTTCAATATTCATTTCATCTTCATTTTACTTAGTAACTGATTAGATCATTTCTTAATTATTATGTCTATTGAGTTGTGAAGAACTTAAAGGTTAGGTAAAATTCTGAGGATTCATAAAATCTAACAATATTATATATTCTTACTATTTATTTGACTATTAAGATATTAACTAGAGTTTAAAGTGCTGAACATGTAAGAAGGTGTTTCTATGAACAAGAAATATAATTTAAAATTAATATTAATGCAAAAAATTTTTGCACCACTAAATTTCAATATCAGGATTTATTAAATACTAAACAGTTTAGAACTTCATTCTTATATTAAACTGGTGCTAATACTGTTAAAATACCCAAAAACTAAATGGTTCTAAGATTTTTATTTGAACATAATGTTATCATTTTTTTGAGCGTTTTATGTACTATAAATTATATTTCTGCTACCCTTATTAATACTATCATTATTTTATATTATTGAAAATTAATGAATTTCAATTTTTGTTTATTTATTAGAATTCATAGAAATTCAAGTTTAACATCATGAATACTAATTAATTCTCTATCGTATTTAGTTTCTCTCATATATCCTTACCATTAGTATTATTTCGATAATGCATCTTATCATGATATAAAAAATTAAAGTCTAATAATACTCTTACTCTTAAGTATACTTCAAGAATTAATTATTCATTATCTAGAATACATAAATCTATAACATAAGTGCTAGATAATAAAATATACTTAAAGAAAATTTTTAAAAATAAATTTATGAAATATTATGAACACCTAGATTATCAATATTTTTGTTAATGAGCAACTAATCTTAAATTATATTCAATCAAAGATTGATTATTCTATAGTTGAGAATATTAAAATTAACAGATTATAAAATTTATTGAAAATTCTTGCTGCTATAAATTATTCATGAATATTCTCAAGGAACTTCAATAATTTATATTATAAGATTCTTATTATCTTAAAATAAGTTTTATGAGAATCTTGAATAAAAATTCATTTAATTAACACATAATATCTAAAATATATATTAAGTATATAAATTCTTATTTATAATTTTATTGTCAAGTATTGATGTGTTTAATTGTGATTTTTCAGTTAATCATATAGAGAGAAATTCAATAAAAATATATTAAGTTATTATTTATTTGTTACTCTAGTTTCAAAATAATTAACATTTATAATTCTTATAATTAAGGTATGTTCTCTAAATCTCAATAATGTTTATTAGAGTTATTTAATATTAATATATATATATATATTAATATAGTATATGATTAAACGATTAAAATTTAATACAGAGTAGATTAGAAGAGCATCGACTGTACTATAGAAAATCGATCTGAGAATGAGTTAAAGGGATTTTTCTAAGTATGTAATCATGAGAGTACAGTTATCAAGACATCATAGATATAATGATTTTTATACTTCTGAAGCCATGTGAACTAAGATCATAAGCAGATGTTGAACTTTTAAAATAGGCCACACGATCTCTTGATTTTTTTGCAAATTTGGGTTCCGATCTTTTACATGAATAATGCTGTAGAAATCTTAGACATAAGTATGTTCCAATTGGACACTTTATTTTTAAAGAAGGTGAATAAGGAGATAATTTCTATTTTATTATAAGTGGTCGAGTATAAGTGTTGAAGGATTTTAATCCATCAGATCTATAAGCATCAATATTTGATAATGAAATAAAATAATTGACAAATTTCGAGACTTTTGGAGAAAGAGCAATGGATTCTGATGCACTTAGAACAGCATCTGTTAGAGCTATTGAGAACACACATCTTGCATATTTGAATAAGGATAGTTATTAAATAATAGCTAAGAGTGTTAAAAATCAATTAAAGAAAGCATATTTTGAAGAATTTGCAAATTTAGATTTCTTTCACAATTGGAGATTTTAGGATATTAAGGTATTTTATGATAGAGCTTATGTAAAAAGATATGCAATGAATGCAACTGTATATAAAGAAGGTGATCCATTAGATTATGTATACATAATAAAAAAGGGGGAGTTTAAGATAGTCAAAATAATAAAGACATCAACCATAGATTTAAATGAAATGTTTAAAGGTGATTTTGAGAAGATTTTGTGTGGTATGAGTACTCCAAAGACATATACAATTTCAGAAAGATTAGAAGCTCGATTTTAAAGAAAGAAATATGGGAATATATATTATTTGGAGAAGAAAAAACCTGTAACAATTAAATATATAACTGCCGGATAAATGTTTGGTGAAATGGAATTTTTAATGCAAGTAAATTTACAGTATAACATAAGTAAAGAATAATAATGCAAGAACTCACTCAGTTTATTCAGTTACAGATTAATCAGAACTTTATATGGTTAAAAGAGAATGTTTTGAGACTATTTTAGATAAAGTTCCATCTATTAAAAATGCATTGATTTAATTATCTGAATAGAAGAATAATAATTTTGTGAGATAACTTTTGTAATATGAGAAACATTTTAATGATTTAACTGAAGTAAAAAAAGACTTAGAGAGAAATATTAATTTAGATTTTTTATAACTTGGAAGTACTGAAAAAAGATTGCCTTCTCCTGTATTGTAATAAATTAGATCTACACAACCTGTAGTTAAAAAAGTATTAAAAATCCCTAAAATTGAAAGAGAAGTTTAGAGAATAGAAACAAAAAAAAAGTTTTTGATGCGAAGAAGAAAAACAAGTGCTTTTAAGATACATGATAGTAACTCTGAAATGGATGGCAGTTAATATAATTTTATTAGTTCGATTAAATGAATAATTAATATATTGTATATGGCATCTTAAAATCATTACTCTAAAATTTAAAATGAATATTTATAATTTCAAAACTGTTATTTCTAAAAGAATACCTTTTTAATTAATTAAGTTTGTGAAATTTTTAGTTCAGAATAAATACTCTAGAAATTATTATTTGTTCATAGATTATTTTTGGAAATACATTTAAAGAAGTATTATCTTAAATTTTTGTTTTAGATGGACATGCTTTTAGAATTAGAATTAAGTAGATTTAGTATTCTTATTTAAAAGATTTAAAAAGTACATAATACTGTATGATTAATTTGTTATTTTATAGATAAAAATAATTGATTTATATTTAATACTTCAATCAAATTTATTTACATTCATTGCTAGTAGTTTTAAAAGATCTTAATTAATTAATCTTTTCTTTGTTATTTCTTGCAATTTTATAATCCTTATGCATTAAATAATCCCATTAACATTTTATATGGAAATATTTTCTAAGAATTAATATATTAAATTACTTAATGATTATTCATATATTCAATAATTGTATCTGCTTAATTTGAATTAAGTATTTTTACATAAGATTCATATAAAGTATTTTCAACATTATAAGTTTTTGAGACCCTTTAGTAATCATTCAACATAACTTCTCTACCAATATTATTTACCTTCTTAATTCTTGAATAAACAACTGCAAATAGATATATGAGTTCATCATAATAATACATTTAGACTTCAAATAATTATTATTAAGATAATCCTTGTAATTTAATTTCATTTGTAGTTATTATTTTTTCAATTAATTAAATCCTTTATTAATCATCTTTATCATTCTATTTCAAATCATATTTGCATTAAACTAATTAAGCATAAGGTTCTTTATTAATACTATCTCTAATTACAATTTCCTATAATTAACCTATTATTGAATTTAATTCTTAGTAAAATGGTTTAAATTCATTAAATGTTTCTTTAATTGATTCAAATTCATTAAGTAGAAAAATGATTGATTCAATGTATACAACTCTATCCATTAAATCAAATTAATAATTTTTTTTAACTTTAAGATCTTCTGGAATATTAATTTTTTTTAGATATTTAATCAAATCACCATATTTTTCTCTGTAAATAAAAACTTAACTAATATGTTCAAATTATTATGTATATTAATCTGGTTCTTGCTTTTAGTCATAATTAAAATTAAGTGTATCATCAAATATATATCTTTTATGTTCATCTAATATCATTGGAATAGCTAATGTATAAATATAATAATTAATTAAGAAAATTAATTCTTCAATTAACTTTACTTTATGTTATTAACAAAAATGAATGTACAATAATTATTATTGAATAATTATATATAATTAATTAACAGTCTATGTCAACATAAGTGTTCTTTCTTTTCCTTAATAAATTAAACTAGAAATATTGGTTTATTTTTTTATAGAAACAGTTGTACCTATAATTAAATCAATTATTTTCTTATATTCAATTGATTTAAATATATTCAAAGTATCTGGAAATGGATCTTAATATTCAAAAATATGGAATTTTGATTATTTATTAGCTATTTACAAAATATTTTAAGTTTAATTAAGTGTAATTTTTATACATTTCTTACAATCTTCATTTATTAATAATTCTCTAATTTATTTATCATTTCCTATTGTTTCTAAATAATTACTAAATTTATCTTCTATAAATGTTTTGTATTTCTATAGATTTTAACCTCCAAATATTTCACATTTAGAAATTAATATAGTAAGCATACCAAAAAAACATATCATATCTTCTTTATTCATTCTTGGCCAACTTGTTGTTTAATTAATAAAATCACATATTCTATCAAATACTTTTTCATAAATTAATTTTCTTAATTAAATAATTGATGAATTTTAAGTATTATCTAAATGGAATCTTATTATCAAATGAAAATTCATAAAGAAATGAACTGTTTGACAATATAATTCTCTATAAAATTCAGTTAGTTATTCTTTTGATATTTGATTTAATGAATCTGTTAAATTGTCAAAATAAAAGTCTATTGATAAAATTTAACTAATTTGATCAAAAACAATTTATAATTTAGCTTCAAATGCTTTCAATATAAGGATATGAACTATTGAATCATAAGGTTAAACTATATTATTTTTCTTATTTAAATTAATAGATGTACTTCCATATAAATATACGAATCATAATGAATTTTGTATATTTTTTCATCATAATTGATAAATTAATCAATTATCCCTTTACATGTTAATTATCTAACGTATTCAATCTTATCCTCTTTATAATTTTTAGGTATCAATTATAAACCATCAATTATTTCAATATTCTATATATTAGATAAAAAGTACAATTATTGTAGGTAGGTAAATAGATGCATCTATATATCCATTCTACATACTCAATACAAATCTTTCATAAGGTAAAGCATAATAATCTTTGACTTTTTTTAATGTTTCTATCAATTACTATAATAATATTATACATTTACTTATTTATTTAAGATTTATTGTCTTTTCTCTAAAATCTATTTACTTTACTTTAAAACTAATTATTAGGTTTTCTACATCTTTTCTCTGCTCTATCGAACTTTAATTAGTAACTCTTAACTGATATTTCCAATTTAATCAATATGAGTAAGAGCTTAGAGATAACTTGAGTAATTAGTGAATACATTTTTAGAAAGCTTAGTTTAGATGACATTTAAATAATGATCATATCTCTCAATCTGTCTTTATACACTTATTATTTAAGAATTCATATTGCCTTAAAATATATTGCTATATTCAATTTTTTCTATCTAAGTTTAGATGTCTTAATTTTCATCAATATTTTTATAAATATTATTGAGAGCATCATGATTAATATCTACATCACCATAAAGTTCAATCAATCTCTATACATTATTTCTAAGTATTTCCTCTGTATTACTTTAATGAGTTCGTGTAGTGTGCTATTTTTATATTTCTAAAATTGATGTAAACATTCGAAATTTATCTTCATCATTCTTATATTATTGTAATATTCTATTCACATCACCAATGTTTAATGGAGGAACGTCTTTATATTTTTTTTTTATATAGTCTTTTTTTTTATTAAACATATAAAAATTATGGAATAAAATTCTAATATTTTTTATTTCTACTAATTTAGATATTTTGTAATTTATCCTATTATAACAAAAATTTCTAAAAATAAAACCAAGATTATTTTATTATAAATTATAATTAAAAACCAAGGGATTGACTATTATCGTTTTTTACTTTAATCTATGGTTTTTATGAATAAAATTTAACATTCTATTCAACTAATTAATTTTAGAGTATCAAATATTCATCAATAATTGCATCAGTTAATTTATAAGTTTTGGAATTAAAAAATTTTGATATTTTGAAATTGTGCTTTGAATTTTAGAAGTATATATCTTAATATATTATATTTAAAATCGTTAATTTTGAAGATAATGGATTAATTTATATTTAAAATTGTTTCTTGTAATTATAACTTAATAATATATATAATATTCTTTTCAGTAGTATTCCTAACATCGTCTTCTCTAAGATTATTTATATATTTACTAATTATTCTATTTAATCTTATTGACCTTTAATGAATTTTAAGGTCTTTAATTAGGATTATTTTCTTTAATCACGTTCCTCTTTGATTTACTAAAATAATTTTTAGACTTTTCCATCAATGCAACATATTGTCATCATTTCATTTATTATTTCTTCTACCTTAATCTGAAATGAGAAATCAACTTAACCCTTTGTTTTTCTGAGTATATTGATCGATTTTTCTATCTTACCGACTGCATCACATCTTTTTGATTCTGGCTTAGATTCTGTTTCACTAAAGTTAAATGTCCTTGCTCTTTCTGTTTTATGAATTGGAGTTTTTATATGGATACTACTGGATTATTTTGCTATTGTGAATTTGAGAACTTCTTTACTTTTTATTAATTATGAAGAATTTGGAGAGCCTGTTTTGGGAGCAAATAAAGAAGGTTTAGAATAGGCTTATAGAGTTGGTCTACTGAAGGTTTTGGGTGAACTCATTTTGAAATAATTTACTAATTATATTATATAATAAACATCAAAGCTAAAATCGGTTTAAAACCTACTGAAACTAAACATTTAACCTAATTTATACTTAATTTTTGAAGGAAAAGAAGAAACTTAAGTCGTTATAAAATAAATTCATATAAAAATAAAATTTATTTTATTAATGAATTTCATTACACTATTTTGTTCAATAAAAGAAAGCATAAACAGATTTTGAATGAGTTAAAATATGATATTGAACAAATAAATACAATTAGCTGTAACTTGTGTAAATACTCATTCTCAAGAAGAATAATATATCAAAATTATGCAGAAAGTCCTATTTGATACTGATTAAAAATTAAGGATTACAGAATTACTTTTTATTATACTGTTTTTAAAGTAATGTAAATTCATATGGATGAATAATCAAAATATAATTATAATAGATAGGTAATTAAGTTACAAAATTGATCAGGTATATGAATTATTGTATTCAATGAAAAGAAATTAATGAATTAGATTTACCTAATTTAGAGAATCAACGAATTTAAATAAGTTATTGAATTTATGAGATTGTTATTCAAGTTTTATAACTAAATAGATAAATTTATTAATTGAAATAGTTTTATACAAGGATATAGATTTTATAATGTTTAGTCTAATGTTATTTAAACAGATGTTCTAAGATAATTCCTGATTTAGTAGTTTAATAAATAAATATAAATAACTTGGAAGGGAATTTCATAGTTATCTTTAAGAAATCAGATTTCATACTTATAATCAAAATTAATAAGTGAATAAATATGTATTTCATTTGACTAATTATTTAGTTTCACAAAGTCTTTATAAACATAAAACAACATTTTTTAAAATTATAATTACTATATAAAATAATTTATTAGTAATGTAATGCTATTAATTCAAACATAAATTTAATGAATATATATTATACAATAATTTTCAAAATAAATATTTATGTTCAAATATCAAATAGATAATTAAGATTCTAAAGAGAATATATTCTTAAATACAATAAAAATATACATTTACTATTTCTAGAAAATTTTAATGAAATATTGTTCTTAAATTTTGTAAATATATATATTATAAATGATGACATGAAAAATAATATGTAATTAATACCGAATCATGATGCGATAGGAATTTTAAATTATATTAAATGAAAAGGTTTATCAAACCATCAAACCTGGCTACAAAATACCCTAAATTATTTAATTGGGAACCTGAAGATCATGGTTTATCAAAAGGTTTTGCCATGACTAACTTCACAGAATTAAAAGGATGTGGATGTAAGGTTCCATAAACATAATTGTTGAAATATTTAGGTCAGATTGGTAGTGGTGATATTGGAAAGGAAACACCAGATGTTTCTGTTTTTCCTGTAAAACAAACAAAGGATTTTCATACTATTTCAACAATTGATTATTTCTACCCTCTAGTAGCAAATCCTTATGCATAAGGTAGAATAGCTTGTTGTAATGTTTTGAGTGACCTCTATGCTATGGGTGTAACTCAAGTTGATACAATGCTAATGGTATTAGGTGTTTGCACCAAAATGACAGAAGAAGAGAAACAAATATCTACATCACTTATGTTATAAGGTTTTAATGATTGTGCTAAAGAAGCAAAAACATCTGTAACTGGAGGATAAAGTGTTTAGAGTCCTTGGCCATAAATGTATTAAGTTTATTTATTATTTTTAGAGGTGGTGTTGGAATAGCTTCAAATCATAAAGATGACTTTATAATGCCTAATGGTGCAGAAGCAGGTGATTATTTAGTTTTAACAAAACCTTTGGGTGTTTAATTAGCTGTAAATACATATTAATGGATGACCACTATGCCATAGAAATGGGATGCAATTAAAGGATTAACAAATGAAAAAGAAATTAATGAAGCATTTGATCATGCAACTAAAAGCATGTGTACATTAAATGCTGCAGCTGCATCATTATTTAAAAAACATAAAATTAAAGCATCAACTGATGTAACAGGATTTGGAATTTTAGGACATGCTAAATATCTGGCTAAAGCTTAAAATAGAAAAGTATAATTTGTTATTGATAAATTACCTATCATTCAAAATCTATATAAATTAGACAAAAAGGCTAGAGATTTTAGATTTTTAGAAGGTTTTGCTGCTGAAACATCTGGAGGATTACTATTAGCAACAAAAGATCCTGAATCATTTCTTAGAGATTATAAAAAATTAATTGGAGAATGGGGTTGGGTAATTGGTAGAGTTGAAAAAAGTCAAGAAAGAGATGCAATAATTTCAAAAGATGTAAAAATACAAGAAATTTGATTTAATAAATCAAGATTTATATAAAAATTATTAGTATATCTTTATATAATTTTGATTATAATTGTTTTAAATTATTTAATAGAAATGAAAGAATACATATATATTAATATAATAGTTATAAAATTAAGAGATTATATATATTTAATAATTGCAAATACTAGGTTCACTCAACATTAAATTTATAGAGGAAATATATTGAAAATTCATTTATTGCCAAATCTGAATGATGTTTATGATGCTCCTTAAACTTAATCTATCTTTGTTAGTTTTTTCAAACTTTAGCTTATACTTAATTTAGAATAATCTAATTTAATTTTTTATGTCTAAGGAGATACAGATTATCGTGAGATATCCTCTTCAATATAATCTTTAGAACTTTTTCTTATATTATCTTCTGTTTCAGCAAATGATGATTTCTTTGACTTTTCAAATTAAAGTATTTATAATTTGCTTTTTAATTCTAATTCTTATTCTTTTAGAAGTTATATCTATTTTTGAGCTTATTCCATGTATATAATTTTCTCTTCTTTACTTTTTACAAGTGCTAATAATAATTCATTTATTTTTATTTCTAATTATCTTATTTCTTAATTGAATTCTGGTTTAGTATCAGATTATGGTAATTTCTCATTTTATTATTATAAAGTAATAATTTGTTATTTTTATGATTCAATTTGATTTTTCAATGACTCTAATTATTATTTATCTGACTAAATCAATATTAATAATTATACCTTTTATTATTCTTATCTAGCATCTTCAATTATAAATAATGCATTAATAATATCATTAGGATCAGAATCAGATCCTAATTAAAGAATTTCTTCATATTCTTCATCAAGAGTTTTTGAAATTTTAAGCCAATATTGTAGCAATTATTGTTTAATCAATTAATTCTCTTTTTAAAAGTCTTTAGATTCTGACATTAAATTAATAATAATTTTTTGATATGAAAACATATTCAATAACAATCAACATTATTAAAATCTAGATTCTTTTGGAAGTGAATCTCGAATCTTAATTTTAATACGATATTTGCAATTCTTTTTAGCACATATAATTGAATAATAAGCATTATCTAAAAAAGACCTACTTGTATATTCTTTTTATTTATTCTCTTTATGTACTTAATCAGCTATATAATTAAGAATTAATAATAATACATTAATTAATTCTTGAATCTTCATAATCTGAAAATATTTTCTTAGATCTTTATGAATTTTAATTATGAAATACATCTTAGATTTAATCTCTTCTTTTTTTATGCATTGAGTATAATCCATATGGAAATTTAGTACCATCTATTTCATAGAGATTCTCATTTTTAGGAATAGATAAACTTTTATTAAGATTATCTTATTAAGGAGTTGTTCTTACAGAACACGAGAGATCTCTAACTTAATAATTTATAATTACTTAAATTTATAATATTTTGCTTAAATTGTAGACAATTCTTGGATTCTTTATTGTTTTGATTAAACATTAGTCTACATATTTTGATCAAAACTTAATGATGGTATTTTCTTAATTTTCTTAATCTCTCAATATTAACTTAAAAATTACTTTATGGATTTGTATTTATTTGTTTAGTAGTTATAAAAACATCAGGTAGTTGAAAGTCTAAATTTTTCTACTCAGTAAATGTTAATTATAATTTTTTAATTTGGCTAATTTAGGTTTATTTAATGTCTGAATTTCTCCATTTAGAGTGAATCTCCTTAATATACTCTTAATCATTCTTAATTGTATTGCATCCAGATTTCATTAAATAATGATTTTTATAATTAGATATTAATTTATTATAAAAATTCATTAGAAAGTAATTCTTTATTCATAATTGTCCTTTTTTTGATTATTAGAATTTATTTATGTATGAAATTTAGATACACACATTTCTTATTGTGATACTGTCTTTCTAAGAGACAAAAATTTTGGTTCTTAATAAACAATCTAAGGTGACTATAATTTTGGTATAGCTATTTGTCGTTATGAAGTTACAGTCACTTTTTTATTATGAAAATATTCTAATTGCTTTTAGATTGGGTCTGTCATTTATAATTTTAGGTTATCAAGATATTCAAAAATAGATGTTTGATTCATTAATTAAAAAGTTTAAATATCATTTTATATAATCATTTCTCAAATTAATCAATTAATTTTAAGCAATTAGCTGAGCTAATTTAAAATTCCTCAAAAGCATCATCTATATAATCTTATTAATCATTTTCTGTATTTATTTTACTATTTAAAGATTTCAAATGTTCTTCCCATTAAATTAATTGTTCTTTAATCATTTAGTTTTGCGACTAACACTACTTATATTTCTTAAATTCTGTTAAGATCAATATTTACTAATTATAAACTTCCTATTTGATAATCATTCATTATTACTTATTTTAATATTGATATGTTTTAATTTGAGTCTGGATCTTTTTATTAATCCTTTATCTCGCATATTTTATCTTATAATTTTTATTACAAATCTTCTACTAAAATTTACAACTACTATTTGTCATTTTATAGTTATCTGATTTAGTTTTATAAATCAGTAATGTTTAATTGACTTTTAGATTAGACTTATCTGTAGGTATGATCACTTTTATTACTTTTATTCCTATTTGTAATTTAATCTTGATCATTTATTTTACATTTGTTTTGTCTTACATCACTTATTGAAGATTTAGATGCTTTTTTATTTTCAATTGCAAATGAATTACACAAAACTACAGGTCTATTAGATTTTTCAAATACTATTAATTTATCCCTTTATTTTTGAATATTTATCATCAGTCTTTTTATTTCCTCATTCTTTTCTTATTACTTTTATTCTAAATTTGAAATAATCTTATTCAATCTTTCATTCTCATCAATAACATTTACTATCTACTATTCCATTTATTATATTTCTAATTTTGAATCTCCAGCTGCTGCTTTTTAATATTTTAATTTCCATGTTTCTATTTCATTTTATTGTGTATCTATTAATTCTTCCAATTTACTTACTCTCTCTTTAATTATGTGTAATTATTTATACTATTAAGTATTATTTAATAATTCATTTCTAGCTTTTTCTAACTCTTAATTGAGATAACAATTCTCATTCACCAATAATTATATTTTATTCTCAATTGAGTTAGAGTTCTCTTTAAAATGAAATGCTTATTAAGTTTTGTTAGGTGTAAATGTAGATGATCCTCTAATTTATTAAATAATAATTGATTTTTATGGAGTGCTTGGTGCATCCAAAAATGAGTTACTATAATGTATTTGACCATTAAATGGGCTTATCTATTACAATGGTATTTACTATTTTTGAATTTCCACACTTGAATTTGTTCTAATCATAACGTTTACTATTTTAAATTATAATGAATAAATTGTAAATTAAATCAAAGTCAATGATTAAAAATGATTTATTTATTTAAATAATTATATAATTCAATGACTTTTCTTTATGCTTTTTTATCTATTAAGATATTTAAAGCAAGAATAATTTATATCAGTAAATATTTAGTATTTAAAGTTCATATTTTAAAAATATACTATATAATTTTAATATAATGATTAATATACAAATGGGGATATTAATAATAATTAATTGAATTAAAAGAAAATTTATTAAATTTGTACAGATTAATCAAAACAACAATTTCGAAAATAATATGTAAAGTAGTTAAGAAAATAATAATTAAATTTATTTCGAGTGAATTTTATTATGACATCATCGATAATCAATTAATTATTAGATTTTATATGATGGTTGTATTTTAATATATGAATATTTTTAAATGATTCACATCTTCTTGTCCATTATCCATTGACCATCATATTTTTCACCATTAGTGGCCTTAAATTAACCCTTTCCATGTCTTTAATCATTGACCCAATCCCCATCATATAATGATCCATCAGCCCATTTCATTTGACCTTTTCCAGTTCTCTTATTATTTACCCAATCTCCATAGTATTAATTTCCATTAGCCCATTTATATTGTCCTTTTCCATGTCTTTCATCATTTAAATACTCTCCATCATATAATCCACCATCTACATACTTCATTTAACCCTTTCCAGTTCTCTTATCACTGACCCACTCTCCTTAGTATGTTGCCCCATCCTTCCATCTCATTTGACCCTTTCCATGTCTTTAACCATTCAGATAATCCCCTTCATATTAATCTCCATTAGCCCAAATATAGTGACCCTTTCCAGTTCTTTTACCATTGACCCAATCACCATTATATGAATCTCCTTTAGCCCATTTTTATAGGCCTTTACCATGTTTCTAACCATTTACATATGCTCCTTAATATGAATCCTCTTGTTATACAAGCATGTCCTCTAATATGATAATTATTTTTATGCAAATAAAAAATGGAGTTTCAGATTTTTATAACCCCATTTTTTATAATTAGAATTCGGAATTTATCGTAATTATTGTAATAATAAAATTTTAATATAGAAAATTTAAATAACAAATATGACTTCTTAAACAAATATACATATTAAATTAAGTTGGATGTATATAAAATATATGCTTAAAAATAACAATTATTTTTATATATTTTTGTATTTAAAAATTGATTGAAATTTTTGTAAATTTGATTATAAAAAATAAAAAGTTCCAAACAGCATGATTAGTTAATGTTGATGAAAATTGATATTTAATATTATAAAAATAAAGAAATTTATCTATGTTGATTTAGTGTAAAAAAAAGTTTGATTAAATTTTTACTTTGAATATTCATTTATAAAATTAAAATAATGTCTAATTCTATAGTTTTATTAACATATTCATTCTTTTTATATATATAAATTATATAAAATTTAATAAGACTTTGAATAATATCTTTAAAAATAATTATTTGTTTAAATAATGATTATAAAAAATTTGATTCTTAATTGTCCTTTTGTTTTTGTTTTAATTTATAAAGGAGAAAAATAATATAATTATATAAAAGTGTAAAATTGTTTAACATATATAAAATTTATAAATAAGATGGATTAAAAAAATAATTTATAACCTGGTTTAATAATTGAGTCTAGATTCAAATTGCTTAAGAAGATAGGGAGTGGTAGCTTTGGAATTGTTTACTTAACTTATGATTTAGAAGAGAAGGAATATTGTGCAACAAAATTTGAAAGTCGAAATTTATAAATGAGAATGATGAATAGAGAGATACTTATTTTGAAATAATTGAAAGGCATAAATGGTAAATAGTTATAAATTTAATACATTCAATTTCAGGTTTTCCAGAATTAATTCATTATGGCAAAGATAGCCAATATTAATATTATATAAGTACATTGTTGGGTGAGAATTTAGAGGTCTTATTATAAAAATGCGGTGGTAAATTTACATTATAAACTGTACTTCAATTATCTATACAATTGATAGATCGTTTAGAAGGTGTTATTTATTTATAAATTATTATAGTGTTTCACAGCATGAATTTTATTCATAGAGACATTAAACCTGAGAATTTTTTAATTTCTAAAGAGGATACATCATTGGTTTATTTGATTGATTTTGGTTTGTCAAAATATTATAGAGTGACTGATGGTAGACATATAGAATTTACATAAAAAACAGGTGTAATTGGAACTGCAAGATATGCTAGTATTAATACATTACAATGTACATATATATATATATATTAAGGGATGGAATAATCAAGAAGAGATGATCTTGAAAGTTTAGGTTATATGTTGATATATCTTGTAAAAGGAGAGTTGCCTTGGTCAAATGTAAAGGCTGTTGATAAAGATGATAAATATGAATAAATTTTATAGATTAAAATGGGTTTGTCCTTAAATTAAATATGTTTTAATTTACCTAAAGTATACATTATTATTATTATAGTGTTTTATTCATTACTTTCAACATGTTAAATCATTGCTTTTTTAATAATAACCTAATTATTCACATTTAAGAAATTTATTCGAAAAATAATTACTTGAATATAATCATTAATTATATGATTGGGAATTAAAAACAATAGAGAAATAATAATAGTAAGATTTATAAATTGATCCAAATTCAATACCTGATATTAGATAATAGAATGATTTAGATATAATTCCACCTGTAGATGAAGAAGGTTAAGTAATTCGATTAAAATAAGAATATTAAAATCATGTTAAATTTATGAAATAATTACATGAAAAATACTTTGATCATAATTCTTAGAAATAGATTTAGTAAATTTAATTACAAAAAACTACATCTATCGAACATAAAAGTGAAGCCACAAGCAAATAAAATAATTATTAAAATAGCAATCATACTTTAATCTAAATTGAATCTTAAACTTATATTCATAATAGTGTTCAATAATTTTCAAAAAGAAAAGATTCTAAATCATATACTTCATTTAAATAAAGCTAAGAGCATAAAGAGAATCGAAAATTTCGATAATCAAATGATGATTATGATTTAGATATGGCTAATGAAGATGCAGCTAATTTTGACTAAAATAATCTCGAAGTTAATTACTTTTCAAAATGATTTAAATATTGTAGTAAATTTTTATCTAAGAAATTATTTTTTTCATTATTTAAATATAATAATCAATTGGTTATATCAATTTATTAGATTTATATTATATTTATAAATATACATATAGTGATATGAAAATAATTGTCTGTCAACTTATTCATAAATTCTCTCTAGCTTATTTCAATTAAGGAATCTTAAAATATTTATGATAAATACATTATTTCTGTTTAAATTTTCTTAAATTACATAAAAACAAAATTTAAGCTAAATTTATTAATAATTCATTGTATCTATAGAGTCTTGGATGTTTATATTATCAATCACCTTCCATATAATAAAATGACTATTCAAAGATGATAAATGTTCGAAATTATTCAATTTTCTGAATCTTATTTTATTATTTTATCTTTAGAATATTATACTATTTTGGAATAATTTTAAATAGTTCATTTAATATCATAGATTCTAAAATTAACAATATTTTTATATATTTCTACTTAGTTGCATACAAGAAGAAAATCTATAAAGTATATTCGATTCCTCTATATAGATGATAAAGAAAGAATCTTAAAATCAAATTATATAGTTGGTACTTAGATTGTTAAAGTGACTGTTTTACAAAGATTTGAGTAAATAGTAATATTATTAACAATAAATAATCCTATCACAACTACAATAACTATTTAAAATCATTTTACAATAAGGAACTTGTGAAATTCTTCTTTTGTTTTTATTAATAATGTTTATAGTTTTATATAAAAATTAAATTGTTTAAAATAATGAGAATAGGTTTAAGTGTTCATTACACTTGTATTTCTAATAAAATATCTTCAAATAAATTGCTCTTTAGTATATTTATATCATATAATAAGTGATATTTTGGTTAAGCTAATCATAGATATTGATTTTCAATTAATTTTCTTTATTATTATACTTTGTTTATTAACGAATAAAAAATGTCATCATATTTGCCCTTTCATAATCTAGCTTATTGTCCAAAATAAATCATTGAATTTGTCTAAAGGCCAGATATGAGTTTATTAGATTTACACAAAATGGTAGAATCACTCAAATTACCCAGAAATCATTCTAAAATCTTAAGAAAAATGCAAATTATAGTACAAAAGCAAGAGTCTTTTTTGAACGAAGAAAACTCGAACATTAGAACTTATGTAGATGAGGATTCAATTTCACCAATGATGATATTTGGAAAGCTCAGCTATTGAATGTTTTAATTTACTATGACAATTACACAATATAATAAGATGTATTAAACATGTTTTATATTTCATACTATGAATTGCTGAAGGTTTTTGATAAAATTAATATCAAAAATAGGCATTTATTTTGGAGATTCTGAGTTTAAGCGAATTTTAATTATATTTTCATTATTATTATTATTATTATTGTTGTGAATATCATTATTATTTTATTTATTTTTGTTGTTATAGCTATTATGTTTATTATGGTTTGTATTTAAATGTGGAAGTGATGAATTTTATTAAGACAGAACTTCGTTTGGTGTTAATGCATATTATCGATGCTGATCTACAATAAATTTATTAACTCTTTGTTTAATTTATTTGGAGACAGTATTTGAGAATAATTTTCCTTGACTTTAAATAGGTTTAGGAAGATTAGGCATACTACTTACCATATATTTTGAAGGTTCATCTTCTATCACTTTCTTTATAACCCATTAATTTCCTTAGCATCTAACTTGTATGTTGTATCGTTTATTAAGCTAAAAATTAGCCCAATTTGAATTGTATGGATTAACTATCTATATTATGACAACAAATTTATACTCTTGTCATTTTAAAGGCTTAATTTAGGTTTATGATCTGATATTTGATTTCGAGAATTTGATAATTTTTCTTAAAGTAACTAATTTTACACATCCTCTTTTGTAAACTCAATCAAGCTTACAGGTTTGCTCTATTCAGCAACATATGATTGACACTAAAAAAACAAACTTGGCTATTGTTACATTATTTAATTTATGTTATTTTTTATTGTAAAGTATTATTATAAGTGAACACAATTTATATTCAAATCTTCATTATAATGCAGTATTTAACGTATTATATTAAATTTATAGATAATGAGAACTTTATATGGTTTAATATACATATTTTAATAACTAGAAGTAAAGGGATAGAAGATATCAAATAAAATATGAATGTTTGATTCTATTAAATCAAAATATTTATAAAAAATAATCATTCTTCCACTCCTGTAATCCAATTCATATTTTCAAGATAATCTATCATTATTTCTGGTTAACGATCTATAATTATTTAGTTATCAACAAACATTCTCTCTTTTGATTCTAATAAGACAACATATGATTATTTTTCATAGTAATCTAAAATACAACCAATTTATTGATTTTTGTATTCTTGTTATCCTATATCTTCTTCCTATTTACAATAAAATTCTTATAATAGATCTATTGGAGCTTCTGATTTATTAATTAGGGATGAACCAACAAACTAATTTTTCCTTGGATAATAAGCAATCTAAAATAATTAATAAATTTAACTAAAAATTGAGTTTCAAATTCTCTAACAATTTGAAAAGGCTTATCAGTTCTCAAATTTCCTTTAATCTCACTGTAATTAGTAATAAGACCTTTAAATTTTTGGAAAAATTCATTCTAATGATATTGGTTGATTAAATCACTACAATTTTAAACTAAATTTTCTTGTAATTCCCTAAAGTATTATTTTTTAGTAAAATACAATTTACCATGTATTTTCTTCTTTTGAATAACCAAGCCATTTGACTTAATACTCTATTTTTGAAAGATTTTTACGCATTCCTACAATAGCTTCAACTACAAATAATCCTATCATTATAATTGTGAAAAGTATTTAAAATTATTAAATGTTAATTCTAAATACATTAATGAAAAAAAGCTTAATTACAAATATAAAAGAAGGAGAAATGAAGTTATAAAGTTTAGAATTATTAAATTAGAATAGAAAGAGATCTCATTCTTTTGATCTACCATTCATAACCTTATTATCATAGAATCAATTGTCCAAAATGTAACCCAAATTAAAAAATATGCTTTTGATACCATACTCATCAAATTATAGAAATTCAGCAAGAAAATCATAAAGATCAGAAAAACATGATATAATGGATGCAATATCATTAACAAGTAATGTAGCTTCTGAAACACCTTAATAAAAAGCAAATATTAGAAGAGCCAGTTAATATGATTACATTAGTTTAAAATAAAGAAGATTAGATAGTTATGCACCTTATGTGTTTATTTGTTAACATAATAGAGATGTGGCAGTTTATAAAAAGAAAAAATTGAATCGAATAAAAATGCAGTATAGTATATGAATAATTCAATTAGAATTTATGAAAAGATCAAATCTTAAAAAGTAGTAGAAAATATAAAGAAGCAGAAGTTCTATATTACAATAATAAATTAAAATTACACATAAGAGAGCTAAAACAATAAGTGATTAATTATATTAAGGTCCAATATTAAAATTGGATATTGAATTAGAAAAAAAAATAAAGATGTTAATTTATTCATAAAGATGTTCTCGATTGATACTAAAAAGAAAGACATGTATTTAAGAACCTTAAAATAACATTTTTGTCACAAGAGATAAATTGTTAAGATATCAAGAAGTGATGGCAAAAAAGTTTGTAAATTTATATCTTATTCCATTTAGGATTAAGCTGATTCATCTTGTGAATCTTCTCCTTAGATTGTAACAAAGATCTAATTTAAGAAAACTTAATTTAGTAAAATTTAAGTTTCTGAAAATACTATAAATTAATATTTGACACCTAGAGTACATTGTGATCAAAACCTAAATATATTTAATAGAAAAGCATCTCATAGTGTTATAGCTCAATATGTTATAGATAAAAATAAAAAAATAAAGGGTTATGTTCATGAAGATTAAAAATTACCTTTGATTAAATAACCAAGTTTAAATGAATTCAATAAATATTTCTTGGCTTAAAAAAGAAGTATAGATATTGGAAGATTATCTTAATAATTAATTCAATCTAAATCTCAAGATAATGGAGATAAATAGATTTAATTAAATTTAAAATAAAACTAATTTATTAATAAATAAATCAATATTCTAATTTAATAAAAATCAGACACATAATTAAATCAGAATATAAGGATTAGAACATTACCAAATGATATAAATTTGAGTAAAAATAAAACTAATTTGATAAGAAAGTTGAGACCTTATTTCAAATGAATTTTAAATTGAATATAATATTGTATATATATATATATATAAATTGATGCATTGAAAATTAGATTTTTCTATAATATAAAAAGAATTTTATTATTATTATTATAAATAAAAAAAAAATGTAATGTGATTCTTTTGCGCATTATGAATTATAAACAATCTTATCAGAAACAGATTATTCTAAGAGAGCTACAAAAATCATTTGTACTATAGGGTAACAAATATTTAGTAATTAATAAGTCCTGCTTGTTGGGATGTGCCTACTTTAGTATAATTAATAGATGCAGGAATGAGTGTTGCTAGACTCAATTTTTCTCATGGAGATCATAAGGTTCATGGAGAGACAGTAGCCAAATTGAGAGAAGCTTTTAAATAAAGAAAAGATAAGCCAGTTGCAATAGCCTTAGATACAAAGGGTCCAGAAATTAGAACTGGTTTGAATAAAGAACATAAGTAGATTGTATTGAAGAAAGGATAAAAGTTGGAAATAAGTATTAATATTATTATATTATTAAGCTACTGATTATTCATTTGAGGGGACATCAGAATGTATCGCATGTAGCTACTAAAGTTTATGTAAAACAGTACATGTTGGATCATAAATCTTAATAGCTGATGGGTCTGTGGTTACAATAGTTGATGAAATAAAAGAGGTATAAAAAGTGTTATTATTTTCATTAATAGAACAGTGTATAAGTAACAGTTTAAAATGATGCATCATTTGGAGAAAAGAAAAATATGTCATTGCCTGGAGCTATTATTGATTTGCCAACTGTGACTGAAAAAGAAGAGGAAGATCTTGTTAAATTTGGTTTAAAACATAATATTGATATTGTGTTTTTGTCATTTACTAGAAAGGCTTAAGATATAGAAGATGTTAGAGATATTTTAGGTCCTAGAGGAAGTGGAATTAAAATTATAGCTAAAATAGAGAATTAAGAAGGAATGCAAAATTATGATGAAATATTGAAATCAGCAGATGGGATTATGGTTGCAAGAGGAGATCTAGGAATGGAGATTCCTCCACAGAAAGTATTTTAGGCTTAAAAATGGATGATTAAAAGAGCACTAGATGCAGGAAAACCTGTTATTACTGCTACATAAATGATGGAATCTATCATAACAAATCCTAGACCAACTAGGGCTGAAGCATCAGATGTAGCTAATGCTGTATTAGATGGAACAGATTGTGTTATGCTTTCTGGTGAAACTGCTAATGGAGCATTTCCAGTTATTGCAGTAGAAACTATGGGAAGAGTAAGTTATTAACTTATTGATAGATATGTTGTGAAGCAGAGAAATGTGTAGATCATGAAAAAACATATTGGAATAGAATTCATGGTAGAGGATCTTTGGAGGATACTGAAGCTTTGGCTGCTTCAGCTGTTTAAATGAGTTTTGAAACAAAGGCTCATGTAATTATTTGCTTTACTCTTACTGGAGAAATTGCTAGACTTGTTGCTAAATATAGACCAAGAGCTCCTATTATAGCAATTAGGTTAAGAATATAATAATATCTTTAGTACTGAAGATAAAACAATTAAAGGATTAAGTATGACTAGTGGAGTCACTTGTTTGAGAGTTCCAAGTTTCTAGGGAGTTGATACTTTAGTTGATTACGCCATCAAATCTGCAAAGACAAGAGGAATCATTAAAACTGGGGATAAGGGTATTGTTTTATTAGGAGGAAGTGAGGAGAATCCAGATGAGTCAAATATCTTAAAAATTAAGAAGATCAATTGATTATGTATTCAAAAAAATATTATTAGTAATTTATATAATAATTAATGCTTGATGACACATATGCTGAAATCTGTTTTAATTATAGACCCAAAAAAAAAATAGTTACTCCTTAAAAATAATAGTCTACTTTTAAATCAAAATAAGATGTTTATGATTATGTAGATAAATTGTAAGCCTAGGCTAAATTACCACCGATTGAACATGAATTCTATTTGAATTCATTTCGTTCTTCTAATTCGAATAAGTATAAGCCAATATAATGTTCAAAAAGTGTTCTTGTTTAAAAATAAACAAAAAATACAAGACTTAATAGTTTAATGAGTGAGATTAGTAGTACTTTAGAAGAAGGGATTATAACATAATAAGAAATAAATGATTCTTATTCAAAAGAGAAAAAGAGATTGGAAGATAAAGAGTCAAAATATTCTAAGTTATTATAGAATTTAGAATAGAAAAATCATATAACTAATTCTAATTGGAAAAATTTAATAAAACATCATTTTAGAAATCTTAATGAATATATGGATTATGCTATTAAAGATATCAAAGAAGAAAAACATTTTGTTTATTCGCATTAAATATCAACTAGACATCATTATTTATTTGTAGATAATGAAATAAGAAGAAACTTTTTAAAAAGAAGATAAACTAAGACATGAATCTTAATATTTATATTTGTTGTATATAAAATAATCATTATTTAATTACTTCTAACTTTTTATAAGAATTCATATCAATGATTAAATGAATTTTATTTTATTGATAATTTTTAGATTATAAAATTAATTATATATGAATCCTAAAGGTTATAAGTATTAAGTGTAAATCCATATTGAAAAAGTAGAAATGAAGAGTACTTTATCTTTTTAATTGTAAGTAATATTGAAATGTGGTATATACTATATCTATCAATTAAGGGAATTAGAAAGTTCAAACATAGTAATTAGCTGATTTTAATTAAGGAAAAGCTATTATTAATGAAACACTTGCAATTCAAACTAATGTGTATTAAATAAATGGAATATATTAAGAAAAGAAAATGGAATTGTTAATTTTACTCATTACACCAAAAGGTAATAAAAAGGCAGGTCAATGTTATATTGATATTGCACAATAATTGAATTAATATAAAAATGGTATTTCATAATTCCACTTTAGACATTAATGAAGAATTTCTATTAGAAAATTGTCCTGATAGCAAAGCCAAAATTTATTCAAAAATTCATTTAACAGAAGTTGGTGAAGTAGATTTTGATGCTATTAATCCACAGTAATCAATAATTCATGAGTAAAATTCTGATAAAAAACCAGGCATTTTGACACCATTTAAAGCAGCCCTTGAAAATACAGCAAAAAAGTATTTTGGTGATAATTAATCTGTATAATCACCAAATTTGGAAAAATCATCTTCTAGAAGTTAAATAAAACATCCTTCTGTAACAGATGTTTCATCTCAACTAACATCTCCAAAATAACAATAGAATTCTTGCACTGCAATTTAAATATAATCAGATTTATAATATCTTCATGAAGAACTCAATTAATAAAAGATTTTGTATATGGAAATTAAAGAATAAAATAATTAACTCTAATAGGAAGTATAAACTGAGAAAGTTAAAAAGGAGGCATTAATATTTTAATTATAAGAATAAAGAAAGTAGATTGAAAAAATGATAGACTAAAACATATATCAAGAATAAATATATTAATATGAATAATAATTAAGTTAAATTTAAAGTCAATTAAGGTAAGCATAAAAAGATAATGAAAACTTAACATAAAACTATAAAAAAGCTATGTAAAAGTACAATAAATTATTTGAGGAATATAATTAATATTAAAAAAGTATCAATTCAGATGAATAGACTACATCATCCTTAAAGTAAAAACTTTAAGAATTGTAGGAAATCTGTATTAAAAAAGATTAATTATATTCAGTTTTAGAGAGATCTAATAATGACAGTTAATTAAGAAATATCAATTTTGAAAATTAAATCATTTAATAGAATTAATAATTATTGTTACTTAAAAATAACCTAGATGAAAAGGATATATTAATAAACTCATAAAAAGAAACATTAAATAGTTTAAATTTATAGTTATTAAATTTATAGAATCAAAATAGTTGTTTCAATTAGAATGAAAAAATTCATAATGAAAAAGTAAGATTTATTATAATTATTAGATTGAAGAATTATCTAAGAAGATTATTGATTAATAATAGTAAATTAATCAATAAAATATAGAAATTAAGAAATAATAAGAAGATTATTAATGTTCAAATAATTAAAATATTGAAAAATTAACTAATGAATTGAATGATATTAAAAATCAATTAATTTAATATTAGACTTTATGTGAATAACAAAAATAGGATCATAAATTAGAAATAGATGAATTATTAAAATAAATTTAAATATCAAAATAAGAAAAACAATAAATATAAATGGAATTAGATTAAAAATATATGGAAAACTAATAGAATCTATAGGAACAATTAAAACTATAACATGAAAGAGAGTAAGAACTAATAAACTAAGTTTAATTACTAATACAATAAACAAATTAATTGTAATAACTGATAAACGATAGTATCAGTTAGGTATAAGTTATGAGAAAGTTGTTTTTAGATCCTTAGATTGAAAATGTTGAGACTGATCTTCCCAATTAATTGACTTAATTGAATAGAGCAATTATTTAAAAATATTCTAAATTAAAGTAGGATTTAGAATAACATTCAAAGTAGATATAGGATCAAGAAAAAGAAGATATTCATAATTCTTATAATCAATAGTCATTAATTATTGAATAATTTTAGTTATAAACACTTGAATTAACTTAAGCTAAATAAAAAATTGATAATCTTTAAAGTGAAAACTAACTTTTACAATAATAAATAGAAACAAATTCTTAATTTTTAAATAATTTAAATTAATTAACTAATAAATAGAATGAAAAAATATAAAATTTTGAAATTTAAAATAAAGAGATTATCAATATATCTATTTAAGATAAATAGAAAAATGAATTATTAAGTGAATAAATTAACATATTTGATCAGTAAAATTAGGATCTATAAATTAAATTATAGACTTTGTAAATAGAAATTTTAAATAAAGAAGACTTAATTAATAATTTATCAAGCAAAATTTCATAATTAAACTAATAAAATTAAGAATAAATTATAGTAAATGAGTAATTATAATTTTAAATTAAGGAATAAATTAATAACACATAGTAATTATAGTAAGAAAATTAAATATCTAAAACATAATTAGATCTACAAAATAATAATTTAATTATGTAAAATGCTACATTAGAAAATGAAATTATTTAATTAAAAGATCAAAAATCTATTTTAGAAGAATAGGTCAATAATTTGAATAAGAAACTAAAAGATTTAGAAATTATGAATGAGTAATAATAAGAAAATTAAATTAAAAAATAATAAGAATTAACATTATTTACAGATTAAGAAATTAGAATTCAAACTGAATATGTTGAATAATAAAATTTAGTTAATAAATAATTAAATACTTAGTAAATAGAACAGTTAGAAAATAAATAAGAAAATTATCAAATTTTGGAACAACAAATTGAAGAATTAACTATTTAATTGAATCAAAAAACATCTATCCTCTTACAGGCCTAAATTGATATGGATTAAGTTAAAAATCAAAATGATTCTTTAATTAAAACATAAGAGATATTGTTATTTAAAGAAACAGAAATGAAACTTTTAATAGAACAATTAAAAGTTGTTAGTGAATAATAAAATTAAAAGATTAAAGAATTAGAAACTCAAATCAAAGAGAGCTAATTACAATATTAAAATGATATATAAGAGCTATAATAACAATTATTTACCGAAAATGATGAATGGCTAAAAGAAAAAGAAATAATTTAATAATATATTGATGAACTAGAACATAAAGGATTAGAATTAGCCAATTAGATAAAAGAAAAGGATGATGAGATTTAGAATTAATAGATATAGAATCAATTATTAAATTAATAATTAGAAGGTTTGTAAATAATTAGTGAAAGAGCATAATAATTGGAGAAACAATGTTTAGAGAATAAATAAAAATTTGAATAATAAATAGATGAGATAAATCTGAAGAATATATTAAAAAATAATGATTTTATTAAATAGATCTAACAATTATAATAATAATCTTAAGATGATTAAGTGAAATTATTAGAAATAAAAAAATAATTGGAAGAAAAGGATGATGAGATAAAATAAAAGGAAGGTAAACATACTATAGAGATATAATTAATAACTAATAATTATGTAAATCGTTTGAAAGATAAGGATGATTTAATATAACGTTTATAATAAGAAATATAAAGTTATCAATAAATTGAATTAGATTAATAAAATTTGATTAAATTTTTAGAGAATGTTAAAGAGAATTTAGAATAACAAAAGTGTGAAAATTTTGAATATATCTAAAATATTTAACTTACAAATGAAAAGATTATTTAATAATAGGAACAATAAGAATTATAAATTAACTAATTATAATCCACAATAAAAGAGTTAGAATAAAAAAATCATGAATTGGAGACTGAGAAGATAAATATATCAAATAATTATCAATAAGCATTGATTGAAGCATAATCTTTAAATCATACTTAAGACAATTCTAATGAAATAATTGAAAAGATACAAGAAGAAGTAGTTTTATTAAAGTGTCGTATAGGAGATATGTTTAATGCTGCATTGGAATTTGGAGGGCCAAAATTAGTAGATAAATTGCAATAAGCTTTAGGCATAAAAGAATGAAGTAAATTAATTGTTTAATAATTAACATATCATAAAGTAACTAAAATATTAGTAAATTCTTCTTCTGATATTTTTCCATCTTTATTTAAGTCACAATCCTTTAAAAATGATTCCCATATTTCAGGTTCTAAAAATCCCATGCTATCTTCCAATTCCTCTTTTGATATATAACCATCACCATTCTAATATATTATAATTTTATATTACTGTATCTAACATACGAAATGCTAATTTAATTCTTTCTATTGAAACTAATTTTTCGAATTTCATTGCTCCCATAATAAATTCAGAATAATCTATTAAATTTGAATGATTTAAATCAAGATCATCTAAAATTTTATTAACTTTTTCTTCAGCTAATTCTTTATTCTTTAAAATGTCTTGATAACCAGCAATCAATTCTAATTTATTTAGATTTCCATCATGATTTTTATCTAAAGCATGGAAAGTAGCCTTTAATTCACTAATTTCTTAATTTTGTAGAGTTTAATTAACCATAAAAGTCATTATTGCTTTTTGAAAGTTGCTTTTGACCTATATTTAATAGAAAATAAATATATACATAGAATTTTTAGATGTTATTTAATAATTATGGAGATATAATTTCCTATTTAGCATTTTTTTAAACCCATGGATGAAGAAGTGCTTATTTGGCAGAGAACCTTTTATTAGCATTAATATTTAGCATTTTTCCAATTAAATCTTATGCATCTTTAGAAACTGTTGACCAATCTTCTTTGTCAAAAATCAATTTTCCCTTTTTTACTTTCTCGAAAATTTCATTTTCATTTTTTCCTATAAAAGGAGGATAACCACATAAGAAAATATATAAGATAACTCCACATGACCATATATCAACTTTTTCATTGTATTATCCATTCAATACTTCTGGAGCAATATAATAAGGAGTTCCTAATCGTTTATTCATATTATTATTTTATGAAAAATATCTAGATGTTCCAAAATCAATAACTTTAATTTCTTCTCCTTATCCACTCAATAATATATTCTCTGGTTTTATATCTCTATATAAATTTTACTATTTATTTACCTATGTACAATTTATTTATCATGACAGTAATTAACTGCTTATAGTATTTATTTAATATAATCAGCTGCCATTCTTTCACTAAAACATTAGAGTTTTTTAATTCTCTCAAAGAGTTCTCCTTCAGGAAGGTATCTTAATATAATAATAAATTACTCAGTAACAATAATATATTAATTATCCTCTTAAAAGCATTCAAAAACACGAACAATATTTGGATGATCTAAAGATTTTAAGATATTCAGCTCAGATAACATTCTTTATTAATCTTCAAATAATAATGAGTCTTTTTTAATTTATTTCAGTGCTCTTAATATACCAGTTTTTTTATGTTAGCCAAGCCATACAGATCCATAACTACCTTATCCTAATTTTTTGAGTATACTATATTATTCATTCCATTCTCCTTGTTTCATAGTTACGAAATTATTATAACTTATCTTCACAGATTTTCTAGTGCCTGGTAATTAAATTGTTTATTTCATTTTCGATTGATTAGTATCTGAAGAGAAATCAAGATCAACTTTTGATGCAGCACTAGGTGTTATATATTGTTTAATAGAGGAAATATTTTCATCATCATCATCTTAGAACGAATCCCAAATATTTGTTTATTTGTACATAGGAATGAGAATTTATGTATGACTCTAGAAATGATTCTAATGGATCTCTTAATGATTGCAACATGCATTGCCCATATCAGATTAAATTTTTATATTAATATGATCATCATATAATTTGATCGTATGCTCGATTAAAACATCTATGATTATCAACATATAAAATCAAGTTAATTTAAATTTGATTTGTATATGTGATTTATTTACCATTAAAAACAGGTGAAATATTATACAAATTATTTTTTTTATAAAATAATTCCTTCTGAAAATTAAAATAATATTAAAATTGATGAAAATAAAACACAAAAATAAGATGATACAATTAACATCAATTTATTCATTAATTTTATTATTCTAAAACTTCAATTACTTCTACTAAACTCTCTCTATTCTAAACTTCTTATATTTATAAACTATGAGTAACAGGTTTTCTACATAAATAACAAACTTCACTTTTGCTTAATAATTACTCACAACATTCTTTACAAAATCCTCCATGACCACATGGCATATTAATCATATTGCTTTCCTTTTCATAACATACTAAACACAATTTCTAAGTATTTTGATTCTACTACTCTTATTTAATAGTAGATTAATCTTCTAATTACTTTTTATCAAAATTTCTATTAGTTAAATCTTATCCTATACTAGAACTCATTTCCAATCTTTATCTAGGACTAGATAATAATAAATCAAATCTTTTTGATTAATCATCTTCATTATCATTCTCTAATTATTAATCCTTTTATTTTAATTAGTTAAATTGCATTTTAGATTAAATACATTATTAATCAGTATTCTATGCACATTTATAATATGTTTATGATAATTTAACCATAAATTAAGGTACTTTTGATATACTTATCTTATGCATTTTTTTCATTTTAAATTCTATTCTGTTTTCAATTTATTGTTGATTTAAATTAATTTGTTATAATTATTAATCAACATACAAATTACCTTAAGCAATATCATAATATAAAAGATAATCACTCTATTATTATTAAAATATTACATTAGTTTTTATTTAAACTTAAAATAATAAGCTAATTATAGTAAATAATAAAAGATGGTCAATCCAAAAGCATATTAATTTATTTATTTAATCTTAAAGTCATAATTTAAAGCAAATCCAAAAAATGTTACAAATGGTAATATAGTTATTCCAAATGAAATCAAATTTAACCAAATTTCTCCTTAAACTAAATAATCTAATTTATTTTTACTTATAATTTTTTTTTTCTCTTCTTCAATTCCATCTTATTAATTTCTATATTTCTATAAAATATCAATAAGTAAAAATATAGAAATCACAAATGACAGCCCTAATAAAAACCATATTATTATTAATGTTTATATCCATCCCCAATTAATTTGCTTTGTTATTCTAAGACTTATGAAGACAAGTTGAAGTGCACTAATACTTTTAAATGCTGAGATTAGCTATAAATGATTTAGATCAAATTTACAATCTCTTAAATTTAAAATGATTAATCTTAACTATCAGTATCAGATGTACTTCTATTAACAAGAATTGTGACTGCTAAAATTAAGAATTGTAAGACTAATTAAGCATAAGAAATGAAATTTATATTAACTTTCTCTATTTCTATATAATAGACTATAGAAAGTAAATATGATATAAGTAGTAAACTTTCAAAAATATTAAAACAACAGTATTGGGAAAGACTTAAAAATAATAATTTTTATACCTTCTACTTTTAAGTAATCTATGAACCATTAAAGTGAAAGAGGATACACAGCAGTAGATTATGGTGATTTTATAATCCCATTAAAATATTAAATAAGCGTTGTATAAAAAGCAAAATCCACTCAGTATTGTTATCATAACTAATATCTAAATTTTTCATTTCAAATTACTGATTTCAAATTATCTTGGGACTTTGTTCTATATTACTGCAATTCATAAGAACTAATTAAATCATTTAATACTTCACAACTCCATTCATAAGATCAAATTAAAATATAATAATTAAAAATTAGAATATAAAAATTATGTATTCAAACTTGAAATTTTTGATCTTATTTACTTATTGAAATCAAATGGATAAATAGTATCTGCTCTGAATAAAATAAATAGTATTTATTCCATTTTTTAATTATATTATTTTTTTATAATACTTCAGGATAATATAACAATTTTTATTAATGAAATTTTACACTCTTAGTTTGAAGTTTGAGATTCCATTTGATTTTATAAATAAATTTACTAGAAATTATGATAAATTTAATATACATTGTTGTATAAATTAAATTATTTTTGTAATTAGATTTTGGCTTAAGTATTTACTTTAGGTTTCTAACTTTCTTTTAAGATTTGATCTTGTAATCTAAAAATTATTTTTGTTATCATATATTTTGCATCTTTATTAAATTTAAATCTCTAAATAATAAAATATTCAAAATATAATAAATAAAATTTGTCTATTCTCACACAATTATCACTCCAATTTATTTATTGCCTTAAACTTCATATTTACCAATAGTTTATTTTTGTTTGCGGACTAAAATATTGGCTAATATTTTTAAGATAAAATCTATCTTTACTTCCCAATAGCATGCTTAATTATAAAAATAATGTGCAAATATGCATCCAGTTGTTACCTAATTTATAAATGAATATATTACATCAATTGTGTAATGAATTTGAAATGTAATTACAACAAAAGCTTAATATAAAGAACACACAAAGAAAAATGCTGACATATACTTTTTATCTATCATTCTCATTTCAAGTCCACAAATAACCAAGTATCCAACATGTCCCTATAATAATATTTGATTTAATATTACAGAATAAAAGAAATCAGAAAAATATCCATATTTTACAACCAAACTTGGGATATTAGGATCCTCCCAAAAGTAACTTTATGGAAATTCCAATTTAACAAGATTAAGATGAATAGCTCTAACAACATAAAAAATAATTAGAGAAGCAAATAATCTAAAATTTCTTTGGTATATAACCCAATAAAGTGAAATATAAAGGTAAGTTGCATCCAAAATAATGGCTGAGAGTAACTATATTAAAATAGAAAACCTAAATATCATAAATAGAATACCATCGATATTCTTTATATAAATTATTAATTGGGGTTGTAATTAAGTGTCCAATATCCTAAATTCCAACAATCCTATCTGTTGGAGTGCAAAAAAGCTGAAATAGTTATGTTAGAACAATGTAAGAAAAGAACACAAAAATTCTAAATCTTATGTTATAACAAGGATTTCCAGGAACTCCACTTTAGGTATGATCAAATTTATCTGGAAAAACAAAGTATTAAATGTCTTCCCTGTTATATATTCTTGATTTTTGGTTATTTAAAACCTTCATTTAAAAAAATATTAGATTTCCTAATGATTCTTAATTAGTAGTATTTCATATTATTAAAAAATATCAATATCAAGGTTAGGATAAAATGAAAAGATGGATTTATTTTTAATGTATGACTCAAAAAAATTAGTTTTATGAACTAATAAATTTTAACATTTTTTCAATAAATATAGTTATTTATAATAAATAAATCAATATATTTTTGGATTTATTTATCTCATTCTAATTGTAATAAAATGATGATAGGATATTTTAAATTCAAAATATGTGATATTATATCAATATCGTTTTAAAATTATTTTTTAATTGAAGAAATCAATAGAATTAGAAATTTTTGTTTTTCTAATTTTTTCAATTCTTTATTAGAGATCTAGTTCAATAACCTTTAGCAATTTTTTAAGATTTAAATTTCAAATATTTATTCTAAAGTTAACTATATATAAAAAAAAGAAAAAAATAATATTATGTCAAATTACATTAATAAAATAAATTTAGAAAATAATATATTATAGATCTGAAAAATAATTTATTATCATTAAATCAATAAAGACTCATTATTGTAAGTGATAGGATCTTCAATAAATGAGTATATAATTCTGATGGATCAACACATGCTTAACATGTTTGATTTCCAGTACTGTTATCAAAATGATATATAAAATTGGAATCTATACTGCATCTAGAGATATTAGTAAATGGTGTTGTATTATTTGATTCTTAACAAAAAGCTCTTGTTTCATTCCAATTACAAAATGTGAATTTCCTCTAACTATTAATAGCCCAGGAGCAATTTTATTTATCAAAATAGAAACAATCCTTAGAATTACATTTATATAAGGTATTTCTATTATCCCAATAGCATCCTAAACCTAAACAAGCTTTTTCTGTAAGAATTTGATTGCATTTTGTATCATATGTCACCAAAGTGCATGCATGATCATGTTTTTCACAAAACTCATAAGTACTCAATTGTTGATTACAATTATTAGTTGAAAAGTCTGTACAATGTTTTCTATTTAAAATATATTTTATTTCACAAGCTCCATTGATATCAGGTTCACAGATGGTTGAATTTTCACATGTATAACCACAGCTGTAAGTATCTATGTCATAACATTTTTCATTAATCCACTTACAATTTGGATTCCAATCATCAGTTGCTGTGATTTAATTGCATTCTGATTCACTAATTCTGTTTTCACAACCCACTTAAATACAAATATTATTTTTCCAAAAGCACCCTCCTATCAAACATTCTTCTTTCCAAAATAATTACTAACAAGTACATCTAGCCACCAATTACTAAGTAATAAATACAATTAGCCCTAATAAAATTAGAATTTTCACAGACATGTTATTTATGTATTTAGATGTTTTTTAAAATACAGTTAATTATGTTTAATTATATTTAAATAACTTATTTAAATAATTCTAAATGAGGTGTTTCTAAGAAATTTAGAGTAAATATAATTTTTATCTTAATCTATTTAAATTATATTTTACTAAATAATTATGTAACTGAAATTTGAAAGGATGAATATTATAGAAATATAATATAAAAATGATTACGTCAATTCTTTTAATTTTTGTTTAAATGTATGTTCTTTCACTCATTTTCTGTATTTTTAGGATGATTATTTATTTAATTTAATGATATAATTTTATCACTATGCTTTAAGCTATTTCTTAAAACAAAATCACAAAGTAAAAATTGAATCAGAAACTTTTGTTTCTCTCTTATTTATAGTTTACTACTCTTAACTAATTTGTTTGCTTTAATAAAATTAGGAAAATGAAAGTGATCAGAAGATATAAATAAACTTGTTAAATTTATTTTGGTATTACAGCTAAATATGGAGACCCTATAACTATTTAAACAAAGATAAAGGATTCAGAAAATATGCATTTCTCATACCTTCTCTTCTGATAATGTTGATTATGATTGATTTTTTCTCATAATGGATAGAAGAGGTTAGAAGTAAGTAAAAAATAAAACAAAATAAGTCTAATTTTAAAGCATCCCATAAAAATCATGAAAAAATACTTTCTTTAGTTCTACAGATACAATTATATACTATATCACTTTATGAATTAGACTTTTTCATGTTATCCATAAAAGATGCAATTTAAAATTTACCTGATTCAATTCTAATACTGACTATTAGTTTTTTTTTCCTTTGTTGCAAATTAATATATATACTACTAAGTTTGATGTGTTCAGAATCAATTCATTTCCCTAGTTCACCTATTCATTTCAATATATTATCTATAGGATAATATTTTAACATATTTCTAATAGTAATAAATCTATATCTAAATCATGAATATGGAGAATTTTAAGTTACACTATCTCGTATCATTAATTTAATAATTTTTGGATTTTACATTTATTTAGAATGCCAAAAAAATATAAATAACTTTCATACTTTAATATTATTATTGCTCACATACAGTTTTTTCAATAATTTATCATACTTTTTCATTGTAAATACCAAAGAAAAGGAATATCAAATTGCCTTATTATTTGTTTTATGTCCCTTGTTTCTAAATTTAATTATTTATTACTCAAGATAATCAACAACAATTACATTTTAAAAGAATCGAAAAATTGCTGAAATATTTAATAATCTACTAAGACTCAAAGAAAAAAATAAAAATAATATGAAATAAGATATTTTTGAGACTTTAATGCTTAAACAAATAACAATATATGCCAAAGATCCTTTTAATTCAGAATTAATTCTTTTCAACAATAAAATTATCAAATCTAAGAAAAACCAAAAGGCTTTTTGGTACTATAAATATATTCTTATAAAATTTTCATAAATGTAATACACAGAAACATTAATATTGATACATAATTTCAAAGAGTAACAATTTTATTCTGAAGTAAACAAATAATTCATAAGAGTTTAATCAGTGATTTCATTTATTCAATAATTAAAACTCATAATTTTAAAAAGTGAAGTTTATGAACTATTAAATTACAATATCAATAAAAATTTAGACTTAGATTAACTTAATACAAGTTCTTTTATTAATTACAAAGTATAAATTTAAAAAACTCAATTTTAAATTTTGAATATTTTCAAAGAAAAAGAAGAACTTTATTCTCAACTTTTAGAAGGAAAGCCAACAAAAAATAATAGTGTATTTAATAAAAGTTATAATATTCTTAAGTAGGCCTTATCAATATCATAAGATTTAAGATTAGAATTAATTGTATGGAAAACATATCGTATTCATTAATTATTGACTATTCTTTATGTTGAATTTTTCAATAATATAATCTAGGCTGAAATTCTTAAATACTTTTAGTTAAATAATGAAGAATTGAAATAAAACCCTTTAGAGAATATGGATTTTCTTTGTCTAAAACTGGAAGATAATTTGCTAAATATTTAAATCAAATATTTTAGTTAAAGTCTCTTATTGAGATTAGGATATAAAGTAAAAGATGAATAATATTTTTAATTTAAAATGCTCATTCCAGATATATTTTATGAAATTCATTAAGAATTAATAAAGCAATTTTTGGAAAGTGGAACTTGTAAATATTTAAATAAGATTTCAGATATGTTGATTAGAGGATTAGATAATATTTATTATTATTCTTTATTTTAGTTGAATATTGAAAATTCTACTTAGTCAGAATTATCTTTTTATGTTTTCATAAAAATAAATGAAGAATAACCTAATTCTATATTTATCAATTAATAATAATAAATTATTGGTTATACAACATCATTTTTGAAGTATATACAATAAAAAAATATTAATTTCACTTTTAAATCTTTATATTTATAAGAACTCAGTAAAATAATTATTTTAAATAAATACCATATTGGATAAAAGTATATCAAAGGATATCTTAAATAAGATTAATTAGAAATAACATTAGAAATAATAGAAAGAAAGAACTTTGTAGAATTATTAATATTGGATGAAAATATAGATTATTTATTAAATCAAGAAATATTTAGTTAGGAGCCAAGTCAATAATGCAGCTTAATGTTTAATTAAGAATCTTTAGTCCTAATTCCGAATCAACTATTTATAGATGAATTAAATAGTCCTCTATCTTTAGAGAAAAGAGATAAACCTAGTTAAGAACTAATTGAAAATAATATAAAACAATAAGAATCAATAAAGAAATGTAGTAATATAAATAGTTAGTCTATTTTAGACAAGCAAAAAAAATCAAAAATAAACTAAAAAGGATAATAAGATAATATTAATAATGATTAAGCCTCATCAAAATTTTCAAGAGGATTTTTAGATAATTCATTATTTTATGAAAAATATAACAAGCTAAACTTATTTGTATCTTAAAGCACTAGAAATAGATAGATTACTATTACTTTATTTCTATTTCTCATAGTCTTATTAATTAATATTATCTTTTAGATATTAAATCTGACATATTTTTTACCGTAATATAAGTAAGTAAATTCTGATATTGATATGTTAACAATTAAAGGTAATATAATGGCTCCAGTACATAATTGTGTAACTGCTCAAGTTAGTGTTGTGAATTATATACTTTTAACATATTTCTTTTAAGAGATTAGTTAAGAGGTTGCATTGGATAAAATGTAATTTGGATTAGATTCTATTATGAAATCATATGAACATTTGAAATAATCTTTTTCAACATAATTAGACAATTAAAATATTTAAGAATTTTTTTATGATAGAGAAATATTAATGTATTAATTATAGAATTTAAGTTTGGTTCCAAGAAATATTTCATTAAAATCTGCTTTAATTTATTATTAGGAATCATAATATTTTATATCTATAATAGATTATTACAAAGTACTTTAATATGTTCCTTCAAATGAATTTGTTTATTATATGGCTAATATTATCACAGTTGATGATTATTTTGATTACTTAAGTGATGAAGTATAAATTTTTGTTGAATCCAGAATTTAGACTTTTTAGATTAATTAAACAAAGTTTTTTTTAAAAATGCTATTTTTGGAATTATTAATAGCAATTTTAGGAATTTCATTCTTTTTGCAAAATCAATATAAAATTTCAGTATTATTTAGTTTATTCACAAATATAAATACATTTGCATTATAGAAAGAAATTCAAAAATTATAAAAAATGATCCAATTATTGATTCATGATGATGCATATTAAGTTTATAGTTTTGAAGTTAATATATGGGAGAAAGAAATTGAAGCTGAATCATCATCATATAATTAAAAAATTAATTTGAATAGAATACTAAATCATGAATATAAAATACCAAGATTAGGATTACTGATATCATTTATGATAATACTTATTATTTATCTACTTCCATAATTAATATTACATTCTATTAATAACAACTTTTTTGATAAATATTCATAAAGTACAACTCTATTATTAAGATTATCATAATTAGGATCAGCAGTAACAGCAGTGTATGAAATTAGAGAAATTAATTATATGATTTCAGGTAAATCTCCTTTTTTTGATTTCTTTACTGATCAAAAGCGTATTGAATAAAATGTAAAGGTTGTAAATGAGATTGCAAAGATAAGCGATTTTCTATAATTTTACTTATTTCTTGATTTGTAAAAATATAAAAATAATTATTAGTGATTCATCATTAACTGATGATGACTTTATTGGTAAATTTGAATAAGTACAATCATAAAATTTATGTAATTATATAAATCATGTAAATTATTATTTATCATAATATTCTTAGTATAATAAAAGTTTAGCTGAACAACATTGTAATCTAATTTACAATGGAGTGATGAAATTAGGATTAATAAATACACTCACTGAAATATATAGATAGATTAAGACAGAATATGAAAATACTTAAGGCTTTTAAATGTAATACAGGAATAAATCTGGTGCATTTTAAGAGGTTGAAATAGGTTTAATAACATCTGATACAATGTTATATTTATAATCTGAAGTATTTCATGCTGTAACATTGAAGACTTCAGAATTGATTTCAACTCATTAAGTAATTAAATTAAGTTAACAATTATTAGATTTTTATTGGTATCTATATATCAATTAGTATCATTCTTGCCTATATTATGATATATTATTTTTATCCATATTTATTGAGAAGAGCTACCATAGTTAAGAATATGATATTTTTAATACCATAATTGCAATTTTATTTGGATCAAAAGTTTGAAACTGATTTCAGACTCATACAAATGCAAAATATATGAAATTGAATTTATAAATATTTACATTTATTTATTTATATCATATTTGAAATCTAAATACATAAATAGTATTATTGAATACTAAAAAAATGTATTATGATTGATTCATTAATTATAATAGTAAAATATTAAATCTATTTCTAGAAAAATATTACAATATTAGGAGTAAATACTATCAAAGAAATAGTTTATAAGTATATTTAATTGAAACCAAGATGGGAACTAAAGAAGCCTATCTTATGAATCTAATTCTAAAATAATATAATTTATTATGACAATTATATATATATATATATATATATATATAAATTTTTAAACCTTTTTTTAATTATAATTAAATTGATTATAATAATAATTTCATAATTAATTGAGTTTTAAAATATAAAAAAACATATTTTCATTTCATCCTATATGTTTATTAATTCTTTATTCAAATTTCATCTTTGAATCATCTATTTTTGTTTATAATTATGGAATAGTAAAGTAAAACTTTTAGTTGATTTTATTTTTACCATTTCCAACCTTTTATATCCAAATTAGATTCAAGACTTCTTGACTTTTAACATCTCTAAATAATTTCAACACAGTAATCAAAGATAGATACTACAACATAGCTGAAATATATAAATAACAAAGAGTTCCTATATATAATTAATTAATATTTTTTTACCTGAAGGTGTTTTCAATAGATCTGTTAATAAAATTATAATTGATAATAGACCAAAACAAATTTCTAGGGACACTCCTGCATAAATCAATATTTGAATTTTAATTATGACTTTTTTATCTACATTTAAATTAGCAGTCTTTATTTATTTTTATTAAGCTGATATTTCTGATTAATAATCATCTGCTGATTAAACTTTAGTTTTTCTATCTTCATTTTATTAAATATCAAATAATAGATCCCTATTAATATTTTTTATTGTAGCCTTTTTAAACTTTTTAATTTCATTTACTTACTATTTTGTTTTTTCAACAATCTTTATTTACATTGTTTTAATTTTTCTAATATTTTATCTATTCTTATCTATATCCCATTTAATATTCTCTTAAGCATTATCATCTTCATTCAATAAACAAGAATTAACTTTCTAATGAATTACTACCTCTTCTTTTGAACTCTATGATTCTTCACTCATTATAGTTTTCAAGTGGCAATCTTATATCTCATTATCTACTTCTAAATTCTATGAACTTTTAACAAATTTAACATTAATCAATTGATTTGGAATTTCATTAATTGTTTTTAGTTGTTTTTTAAAGGAGACAGACTTTTTTATATTTGAAAGAGTTAATCTTTCAATAGAAACAAATGCTCTTTATGTTTATATTTACTCATTATTTTCTTCACTTTCACTCTAAGAACTAAGTCTTAATACTTATTAATCTTATGTTTCTGGAGATTAAAGTTATTCTTCTTATTAGATCCCAAGTGAATTCTTATTAAATACTATCTATAAATATAATATATTATATTTACTTATTATTATTATTAATTCACTTATTCTTAGTTTTCTTAAATCTCTTTTTCATTATCTATATCCAATTTTATTAATTGAGATTCTATGCATTGATTGAGTTTTCTTCCATAAAGAAAGAATTCTAGTATAAATGAACTTGGGATATTAGATATATATATATTACATGAAATTTAAGAGTAAAATTACATATGCTATATAAAGTATTGTTTTATATTTTTAACTTAATCTTAATCCTAATTAGATATTTATTTTACCATTTAATGTACTTATTGTTAATTGTATTAATAATACAAAGAAAAGTCTTATTTTCATTATATCCTTGTAATATACGAATATCCATTTTCTTGTATCAACTTTTAATTCATCTCTAAATAATAATTGAGATTTTGAGTTGTTATTTCTTTCTGAAATATTGAATGAGATTTCATCATACATTGTATACCAAACCATAAGTAAAATTCCATAGATATAAAAAAGTATAGTGTATACTACTTCTGCTAGTATTCTTTCAAACATTCTTTTATCACCATCCTAATTTTAATGATTTATTATACAAATGGTTTAAAAGGATCTAAGGAAAGCCATAAGATTTTTAAAACAGTAAATAATATCGTTAAACACAAAATGCAATTTAACGGAGAACCTATAAAATTCTTTAGATAACTTAATCCTCTAAGGAATATTATTATTATTAATCTACCTTTAATATGATGGAATTTTATTTGTTTTAAGTGATAATTGAAGTTATTTCACTGTAAAAATTAATAGCAGTATAAAGAGGATTAAAAATAATCCAATAAATGTGAAATAAGAAACAACATGAATGTCTTCTAATTTTTATGAACACTCAATCCCAAAATATCCTAAATCACATTGACAAATTTATTCAAAATACAATCCTCTTCCATTACAATTTGAATTATCTAATTCCTTTTAAACTGAACTCATATTAATGTTATAATAATCAATTATAATAATCTAAATATTGAATTTAAACTCAACATATTACATAGTATAATTTAAATCATTTTCTATTATTACATCATTTATTTCTTAAAAAAAGAGATACTATGAATTCATTTTTTAGAGAAACACAAAAATTTTAAAGTAAAAAGTAATAATATCAATTAGTAATGATGTTTAATATTAAATATTCAATATATTAAATACTTTGAAAGAATTCGATTGCACACAAAAATTAATATATAAGATTAAAAATATAATAAATATGAAGAAATTAGAAATCAATTTAGTTTATATTTTTTGAAAATTGAATTACTATAGTACCTAATAGTAATTCAATTTTATTGTCTTTTATAAAATAAATAAGAGTTTTAAAGTAAATATGAAATATGATGATATAAATCCAAAATATAAATAATATATGTAGCATATTAATTAATCAAATTGCAGTTTCTAAGAAGAAACCAGTAATAGTTGTGTTAATAGAGGGTATATTAATTAATTTTCGTCCATTAAAAATATAAGATTAAGCAAAGTTATCTTCAATTAATTTCTTGGTTGTTTCTGATACCAACACTCGACCCTCTTCAGAACTGCTTTCCATTTTATTTGCAATTAAAATATCTTTTCCATATACATCATATCTAATGATATCTGTACCAATGATACCCCCAATAACATTACCCTAGAATAAAAATAATAAATACTGTATGGATTCCAATTCTCATATGGAGATCATGGTAATTAATTTAATTTCGAACTAAACTTATAGCTTCTAACATATTGAGACTCATTTCAACAACATTAAATGCTTCTTAAATTGGATCTCTTTTAAAATTATCAGTTACTCCTATCACAACATAACAATCTCCAATTGTATATAATTTGAATACATTATGTATTTAAGTTAATTTATCAAATTCATCGAATAAATTTTTAAGCATAGAGACAACCTCTTCTGGTTATACACTTGAAGAGTATTTAGTGAATCCAGCAATATCAGCAAATAGAATTGTACAATCATTATAAACATCAGAGAATTTCCTTGAGTTTGTGGAATCATCTAAAAATTAACTCAAAACATGTATAGGTAATAGACAACTCAAGAGATTCATCTTATCTTCTTTTTTTATTTCTATTTGTTATTAATTGAGCATTTATTTATAAGAAAATAAATAACTTAATAATTCTCTTTATAATAATAAAGCAATTGAAATTAATAAAAAAAATACTTCCCAAATATCAATAATAAATACTGAACTGATAATAATTAACCAAACAGTAAACATAAAAGCACAAATTAAGATCTTCTCTTATACATAAAGCCATTTATGTGCAAATAAAAGACAACTTGTAATTATTGATTCTATTGATAAGATTACTGATTTGTCTTTATCTTAATCATAGAATACTCCTAATATAATACATTAAGTAACCAATTATATAAGTATAACTTATAATAATCTTTTTCTTTTCCATTCAAAAAAATGAGTTTACAAAAAGTATAATTCAATTAAAATAAAAAAGCAACCTAATGCTCTTATTACTGCCTATTAAGTATTTACTTATTGTAATTGAGAAAGTATAATAAAGAATATATGTATAATTAATAGAAGTAATAATGAGATCATTACACTTCTGATACCATTTTCTAATTCATTTTCATAATATTTAGTGACATCATCACTATTTTTAAATGCTTCAAATAGAAATTCTTTTGAAATTAAATGCCATTTGTTATTGTTATTCTCTTAAAGTGTAATACTTTTACCTTCAAGAAAAAACTCTTAAATCTTAAATAAAGGAATAGTCTTATTGAAAACTTCTGGTTTTGATTTTATGAATAATTCTATATCATTAAATTTAATCATTCTAATTGTAGAATCAATAAATTTCTTTTAATCATCCTTTCTACAATTAAGAGGAGTTTATTCTTTGATTGAAGAATCCATAACATTTAAAGATTGATCTAAAGGTATATCAGGTATACCAGCTAAGATATTTTAATTTGATGGATCTTATTATGGAAGATTTATTGATGATTATTATTAATATTTATCAATTTTATCTATTTGTTATGATATTTATTAATTTTATTGTTATTAATGACTGAAGATAGATTTCTAATGAATCAATTTATTACTAGGAGCAAGAACATTCTAATTTGATGATATTTGAATTAAAGCTTAAGGAGATGCAATCTAATTAAGAGATGGCATATTTATTTAATTGCTCATTAGATTTCTTTTAGTCTATTTTCTAAATAATTACAATTAACTAGCAGTAAAATTTAAATTTGCTGTTTTTTAACTAATACCTTATTATTATGTAGTTATAATTTATTAAGTTGGTGGTTATTATGTTTAATTATTCTATGGTGTATTTAATTATTAATTTTCTTCTTATTTTTAAGGAATTAATTTATAAGTTAAATGTCTAGTAGTTTTCTATCTAATTGCTGTAATACTTACTTACTTTGGATTTCTAAAAGAATTTTATTATTATTATTAATTATTTAAAACAAATTTCAATTTTTAATCTATATGAGGCATTTCTGATTTTTTTTATTTATTATTAAATGATTATTCAAAATTTCTTTTTTTCTCAATCAAAAATGTATCTATGATACCTTTTCCTTTTGCTTCAATTTTACTTGAAGTATATTTAATTGATTTAACATTTTTTATTTGATCATAAGCTTAAAGTGATATTTATATTAAACCTTCAGGACAATGAGCACATAATCTACTAGTTGTATTTACTGTATCTCCAATTAATGAAAATTATGGTTTAATTGATCCAATTACACCCATTAAAACTCTACCATAATGAATACCAATTTTCAATCCAAAACTTTTTTGATTACTTCCCCATTTAAAATTAGTAATTTCTTATTATATCCCAAAAGCCAATTCTACTAATCTTTCAATAGGATTTTTCAAATGTTGACCCTTTGGTTAAAATTTCTCTACACATTTCAATCCTGAACAAGCCATATAAGTTTTTCCTACTGTTTCTATTTTCTAACAATTAGTTGATGAACAGATTTAATCAAATTATCGATAAATATTATCCATCAATTATACAATATTTTAATCTTCTTCACTTACTATTACATCAAAACTACACATGTCTACAAAGATTATGCCAACCAATCCTTAATTCTCTGAAAAATCTAAATGACCTTGATCAAGTCTACCCAAAACAAATGGAGGCAATAACAATGACATTACTGATTGATGTTTTTATCTTTCAATTTCTAAGACTTTCCAACAAATGTAATCTTCACGTTAAGTTACATCATCTTAATAACGAGATTATAGAGAAATAATGCTAAAAGATACAAATAATACTATAATTTCACCTAAATATACATCATTAGCATGTTTATTTTAATTTGCATACAACATTACTATTCCAGATATTAAGGTCATAATTTATTATATTACTATGAATACATATTTATAATTTATTTATTATGTCAATGAAAATATAACCAAATAATAAAATATAAATGCATACGCCTTATTTTCCTAATCAAATACATCTACACTTATTATGAATAATCTATATATAGTTTACAAGAATCCAAAATATATTATTAACTTTTTGTAATTAGGATAACAAGATTAATTTATAAGAAATACTTAACAAAAAGTCAAAAATAACATTATTGAAAATAATGCTGTATTAATTTATTCAAATCTTAATCCATAATGTATCAATAAAAATATATCTAAACCAAAGAAATAACTTAAATTAGTTATTATTCCTATAAATTTCCATTTTGATATATACATTTAAATGAATTCTTAATTATACACTTATTATTCAAAATTCAATGTATAATTATTTAATTAAATTAATTGATTCTTATTTTCACCTAGAATTTACTTTACAGATAAATCAATATCTGAATCTTTAAATACCTTCTTTATTAAATATTAAATATTCTTTAAACTCTATAATTCTTTTGTTATGATTTCTAAAATCAAATTAAAATCAATATCTTATTAAGATCTCTCCAAAAAATTATTATACAAATAAATACTAAATTGTCCAAATAAATTCATTACTATTTTTATTGCTAATAAAATTAAAAGAGACATTATAGTCGTAGGTTATATCAATAATACTTTTAATATAACATAATCCAAACTTATCATTTCTATTGTGATATGTAAAAGTATCAGTAATAAAGTACTCAAAAATAAAAATAATGTTAAATAAAGTTCCTTTGATAAAAAGGCCAATTTTAAAACATGAATTATCAAAATAAAACTAAAATATATAGCAATTTCTTCTTTTGTATTATAAACTCCTATCTGAATATTATTCATATAACAAGTATATCTAACTATTGTTAGTAGAATTACATCCATTATTGTTTCTAATAACAATTCTATAATATGATTATTCTTTAAATCTAATGATTTCTACTTTATTGTATTTATCTTCACACTCAAATATTCTTATTCTACATATATGGTCTTTATTGAATATATTAATAGTATTGCAGGTACTAATATTTATAATATTAATAATCTATCTTTAAATAATAATTAACCATTATAATGTGGAAAACAATAAAATATCATTTACAATAAAGCAAAACATAAATTCCATTAAATACATATACGTTAAGTTGCATCTTTAATTTAAAATAATTGAAATCCAGTTTTAATTACTAAATTATCAAATAATTCTAATTCATCTATATTTATTGAATATTAATTAATAAAACCCATAACATCTGATTCAATCTCTTCATGTCTTTAATATGAAAAATTACTCATCCTTACTAATCCATGTGATCCAGCACTATAATTAACACAAAAAGATGAATAATATTCACTATCATATTTAGTTACAAAATTCAATAATCTCTACTTTAAGTTATTATTCATATTATAAACAATAATAATTTTATTAAAATGAATAATAAATCCAAAATGATTTGTTAAGTATTTATCATTTAAGATTAAATCTAATACATTACCATCTATAATTAAAGCATTGTTATTGATTTTTATTTTATCATTTTAAATTTAAGCATTTCTACGATTGGATAAAGTAGAACTTTTCTTAGGATCTTCTTGATTAAGACTACTAATAATTTATCTAATTTAATAAAGTATATCATCTCTTGATGAAGACTAAAAATTATAAGTAATTGTTTCATTATGTAATACACTATTCTTAATACAAAATGGTAAAACTAATTCATATGGTTTTTCTGATTGAATAATTATTCTAGATCTGTTAGTAATAAATGATTCCTTAATTAAATCCTAATTATCATTTTAACTAATTCCAAAAAGACCAATTATATCATACTAATTTTCAGATAATAATTCTATCAATTAAATAGTTTTTTCATAATCATTAATAATTAAACTCTTTGCTTTCTAGAGATCTTATTCTTTAATTGACATCTTCAAAAAACAAATAATTATATCTCCTCTATTAATTAAATATTGAATTTATTTCTATAATGATGCTTTCTTAACTAAATCAAATTTCTCATATCCAGGAATATCTGAAATAGTTACAATACAAAATCTACACAATAATACTAATTGATTTGATTCTTTAAGTTAAAAATTGTTATCCTAAATCATCATAGCTATAAATCTTGAAGGAATCTTAAACATCTTATTATTTTTAGTTTCATCATAATCAATAAATCCTTGATGATATAATCGATAATGAATTATATAAGGAATTTCTAAGTCATTAATTTTCAATACATAACAGAGTTACTCTTGTCTATTAAATCCATAAGTCTTATAGGAAATTTTAAATAATTTGCTTAATTTTAATAAGGCTTCATCCTCAGCTAGAAAGTATTAATCAATATTGAATTTAGGTTTTTTAATTCTTTCCCTTTCTGAGAAAGCTAATTTTGAATTTTTCTATGATGATCTATTCTCTTCTCCAGTACTCATTAATTCACTTCTAGTTAGATGGCACAAAGAAATAACAGAAAATAATTCAAAATATTAAAAAGGTTAACTTAATCCTAATTCAACAAGTGTGTTTTCTCTGTAAATTTAGATCTATTTAACTTGTTCTTCTTCTGGTTCCTGACTAACTTAACTATGTTATTATTGATTAAGAAGATTTCCAGCTAAGAATCCTCCATCCATACTGTGATATATTTCTAATGAAGGTCTAGCACTATTTGGATTATTGATCATTTGAGAATGAAGTGTTTAAGTATTCTATTTAAAAAAAGGTCTTTTATTTTATCCAGCTTCTTTATTAAAAATAGCATTATATTATTAATGAGAAGTTATACTTAATTTTTAAGGTGGTACATTAGGACTTATAGTATCAATCTTCTCTTATAATATTTCTATGTTTTCATCATTAACTTATTTAATTAGATTGTAATAAAATTATGTTTTTTTAAATGATTAAGATAATACTAAATCTGGAATTAGAGTTTGATCAATTTAATAAATATTATCTCCATGACATAAAGCTTCAATTTTAGCATCAGATAATATCTGAATATTTAAAAACACATGAGTAGTATTCATAATTTCTTTCATATTAACTGGATAATTGATACTTTATTGTTTGGAAGTTAACTTTGTTTCTAATATCAATTCTTTACAGTCTTTTGATTATTATTATTATTGTGATCGATTTTCATTGATAATTAAGAATACATCAAATAGATGTAAAAATAAATTTAAATAAGATGGTAACACAACTAAGAATTATTAATAACAATTTAATATAATTTGACTGAATGATTAATTTGATTAGTATCCATAATATTAGATCAATGATGCAATTATAGGCATGATAATATAAAGGAATAATTATAATATACTGAGATTTTTATATCTATTCTTATTATGCTATTATTTTTTTACTGATTAAACATTTCTACTATATAAAGATTGTCCTCCAACATTTATAAGAATTCCAAATACCCATTCACTGAATTGTAATGCTTATCCAAAAAACAGAATATTTTCTGGTAAAATAGGTTCTCCTTTTGGATCTTTGGATAATTTTATATGACCTTCAAATTATTCAAAATTGTAATTATTATTGAATGTTAGTTTACCCTTTAAAATCTTCCTTAAATAGTTCAAATCACCTTTATTTGGTGCATTCATCTCAACTTTTGTTGTCTTCATTGGTTCCTTACGTTGTAGAAAAGCCTACTTAAAATAGCTTTTTGAATAAAAGTATCCATGTCTATCACTCATGTCCAATATGACTAAGTCTCCTGGACATTATTAATTTCTACTAAGGAGAATAAAGTCTCCTCTTTTTAAATTGCTGTAAAATACATCTTCTACATTTGATGCAGGTAAAACATCAGGTATATTTGATTAAGAATCAAGATGTTAACTACTTCTAATGGATGATGAACGAGCCTGTCTTATGTAATTTTATATATCACTATAAACCATGTCTTCTCGTTTGAATCCTTTTAATCTAGTATAAGTAATTCGTGTTTGTAACAAAATAGATTGCCAACTTTATTTTTACTCTAAAAATAATTATATTGTTCTAATCGCTGCTTCAATTAGAAAAGGCAATAAGTAAACTATAAACAAAGTGAGTCTATTTGTAAATTGTTCAATAATTACGACGATATAACATCTTCCTAGTTGTCATTTTAAACTATTCCCACTAAAATTAGAATGAAACTAACAATAAGAAACAGATCATTAATATAGTCCCCAAACATAGTATTCAATAACTCTAGAATTTTCTAATCAATCATTCAAATTTATTACTTCCTTTAAGCATCCTGTCATATACTCATATAACCACTACTTCCTTCTTACTTTGTCCTCGTAACTCTATCCATATTCAAAAGTAAGCTAACGATACTTTTAATTTTATACATCTATTAGACTTTTTTATTTTTCCATTTACTAATATTTTTTATGAATTTCTTAAACCAATTCATACAATTACTCCCTGTTTTCTAAAAATAAACATCCAAAAACATAATATTTACCAAATTACTATAATATCATCATAAAGTCATCAATGAAGTAGAATTAGAATTGTAAAAATAATTAAATGGTATCAGTAGTTTGATATTCATTCAAAATTAAACTAAAAAAAAAAGGATTTTAATTCTTACTTAAATAAGACATTTCATATAATATATAATAGTAAAATAAATTCTGTTAAAATTACTTTAGTTATTTATTTGTCTTGATATATATATAGAAAATATGAATTGGTTTATGATTTCAAAATTTAAAGTTTATAAATTGAAATATATATTTATTTACTTAATTTAAAAAAAGAAAAGATTATTAACTCAAAAATTTATCATTATTATCACAAATTTATATAATAATAATCAATGATAATATAGAGTCTGTTATTTTATTTATTTATTCATTCTGAATTTTAATTGATCATTATTTTGTTAATTTATATTTTTATTTGATAATGAAATTTTTATGTTTTGTATGTTATAATATTTTAATATTTGATAGTATTATTTAAATTCAAAGAATTTTATTATTTTTATTTTGTTATCATGAATAATGAAATAGGAAAACCTAATCCAATAAGATTAGTAATAATTCAATATAAATAGTTTAGTCCACTCAGCTTCTATATTTTATGGATTACAAAATTCATGAATATAGTCCTGAAGAATTATATGAAAACAAAGCTAGATTATTTGAATCATTAATGACAGAATGGAATAATATGAGTACAATAGAACAAGAAAAATATAGTTAAAAAGTAAGATTCATAAATGGAGGTGAAAAAGCAAAATACCGCAAAGATGAATAATCATCTGAAACAATGTATGAAACTGCAGATGAAAAACCAACAAAAGCTTTATAATCAATAATTCAAGAAAAAAGCGAAAGTTAAGAAAGATCTGAAGAAAAAAAATCAGAAGAAAAAATCAAAGAACAATGTATTAATATAAATTATGTTTAATAAGAAAATAATAAGCATGTCTCATCTTTAAATGAATTAAAATAGGATTAAATAATTACTTATGAAGTAATTTCTGAAAAAGAAACTAATTCATAATAATAACCCTTTAAAATTTAAACATCTCAAAATTAACAATTAATTTAAGAAGATGAGAATGAGTAGAATAATCTTTAAGAGAATATAAAAGAAAATAATATAAAGATTGATTATTTAAAATAAGATAATGAAATTGATGAACAATAAAATTATAATAAAGGGAAAAAGTCAGGTATAAGTTAGAAACGCTCTCAAAAAGGAACCAATGATAAAATGAAACAAAAAGGAAGTATAATTAAAAAAAGAGCCTTAAGTCTTTCAAAATAAACATAGTTAGAAGAACAATAAAATTAAAAAAATTTCTCTATTAATGAAACACTTACCTTGAAATAACTTAAAGATTAGATTAAGAATTTGTTTAAATAAATTGAATGAAATTAATAATCATATGCTTATATATAATTATAAATACATATATATGAATCAATCTTTTGATAGTTAAGAATGAGCAGATTTTCGAATTCTAATTTTTGTAAAACTCTAACTTGTTGCTGGAGTTGAATTATTAATTAATCTTGAATCTACACTATAAAAACTATTAGCATGATTGTGAGATGTAATTTTATATTGTAATTTAAGTTAATTCCATGAATCAAGATTTTATATAATTCTAAAACATTCTTTTGAAGATTATTTATTCATAAATTTGGATATCAAATTGCAAATTGTCTTTATAAATTCATTTAAATAATTAAATTTCTTATTTTATACTGAATTTGATTATGTTAATTCTGCCAATTATTTAATCACACTTAATAAATTTAATTTCATAAATATAGTATGTATGTTAAATTCTGATCCAAATTCCAAATTTAATTTCAATAATTTTATAAATATCCCTTAAAATGTTTAATTAGGTCGAATAGGGAAACATTATTTACAAATTTCAATTAAACAACTCCAAGTTGTAGTAGTTATTCTATTAAGTAATTATGTTTATCCTCTACTCATTCCATATTCAATTAATAAATATAGTGTTTCACATAATAAGGTTTTACTTATATCCAATTCAATAATTTATGTTGTTGATGTTTTCCATGATATTGAGTTAATGATCACTTTACATAGATAATCAATATAAGTTTAAGCATTATCTTAGAAATTCATATATTCTGGTTTTTTTTTAATTATTAAATTGACTAATTATCCACATATTATTGAACTATTTTCTTTTACATATGGAGTTAATTTAATCTTAAACAAATATATCTTAATAATAATAATAATCAAATATTACTTTCATTAAATTATCAAAAACTTTACTATTTTCATCCAGTAAAATGATTCCCAACAATTATTATCTATTATTCATACAATGAGTTTTAGAAAATAATTTATGATCTCCTAAGATTAATTATTATATTATTATTGATAAAAACTAGAGTAGATTATAACAAAATGGTTCATCCTTCATTAAACTAATAAATTATTAAATTTTATATACTTTTCTATTTAATATTAATCTTATTTTTATTCATGATCCCATTTGCCAAGTGTTACATCCTTTAGAGATAAAGGATATAATTAAAATGATAAATTTCTTGAATGCTTTTTCTATATATTTTTATGACTATCCTTAATAAATGAAACAGATTTCTAATCATATTTAGTATTACTCTCCTTGGTTTCAACTCTTAATTCTAAAGGATTAGGATTATAATTATAAGGAACAAAAGGATCCTTAACAGAATCTTATTCATCTAAATCAAACATTACTGAAGCACTTCTTAATACTATTAATTTTTCTCTTGTAGCTCTTGATTATCTTTTTTTATGAGGTTCATTGATTATTTCAGCATTTTAAATAGCTACTCTAATAACATCCATCATTGAAGCTGGTTTTTCATTAGATGGTGGTAAAATCTTATTTGAAACTTTATTGAAAAATGATAATTATTTTATTGTTTTCTTTTAAACAAATGGTTTAAGTTAATCTATATCCCATTTTAAATGAATCTTTTCTTCAACAGTAAAATTAAAATTGTTTTCATTTTACTAATACACTTTTTCTTTTAAATGAAAATCTGGATGTAAAGTGAAACTCTCTAGCATATTATTATTTCTAAAATTTTATGAACATTTAAATAATAAATCTTATTTATTTTTTGGATTTAATAATAAATTAATAATATCTTCAAACAATTTAGCAGCTTTAAAATATGTCCATACTTATTCATACAATTTTTATTAATGTTCTGTAACATTATGACCCAATGAATTAATTTATAAAAAGAGATTTATTAGAAATGTAGAGGATTAATCATAATTAATGTAGTACAAAAAAGCATAAGGAATATTATAATGTAAACAAAAGTATATTGAAATGTCTTATTCTTTTTCTAAATAAAATATCATTAATTAAGTTAAATGATTGAAATTACAATTTTTTAAATGATCTTCATTTATACATTCAGCCAAATATGAAACTAAAAATCAATATATATATAGTTATACAAGCAATTTATAAATAAGCTGGGTTAACTTTAGCAATTATTTAATGATTCTCCTCATCAGTTAAACTCTATAATGATCTAATTGATCTTATATGATAAATATGAGCAGGGGCTTATAAAGAATAACAATCCTTAAGATTTGGTATATCTTTTAAACTGATTTTATGATTGAAATCAATTTTCATCCACTAAGATAGTTTAATATTGTACACAATTTGCAGGATCATATTTTAAAGGACAATAGATAAATGAAAGCATTATCTCAATATTATCCTTTAGTTTAAACATATTTTATGAATTAATTACACTACTAGCTATTCTTTTAGAAATAACAGGAATAGGATAATTCATTTTACTGAGCCATCTCTATAATTCCACTACTATTTGATTTTCTTTTCTAATTGAACTTGATTTAGTAGGACTATCACATTCAGTTGGTTCTTCAAAAAATTAGATTTCCACATTTCTTGGAGTTCTCATAGCAATTATTTCCTCAACTTCATGAAAAATTAAGGGATTTATCTCATGTATTAAAGGCCATTTATGTACAATCTATTAAAGACTTGTATAGAGTTCAATGGTAACTTTATAATCATGGATATTTCCCAAAATAGTTTTGTAAGCTTAAGCTATTTATTCTGCAACTGACTAACCTTCTTTAGAATCATTTTTAGGTATTTGTTTAATAAAGAATTGTAGCTATGTTATACACTCTTTATATATGTTTGGAAGATGACTTTTAATCACATCTGATAAGATATAAGTGTCTTATGAAAATACTAATGTGCATGCATTTAAGAACTATATTTAAAACTATGTGATTGGTGCAAACCTTTCAATTATTAGTTCTAAGAGCATTTTGATATTTTAACCAAACATTGATTAAAGCATCAACATATAAAAAAAGAGATTCTCTTATTTAAGTAATAGATGCCACATTGATTAAAAAGGTAATAATTATGCAATCTGTTTACAAGCTTTAGACATAAATGAAAATCTTATTTATTCTATATTTGTGTTAACCTATTTTTGTATAAATAAATACAGCTTCTTTTAAATATTCTGCACACTTTAATTGCATTGGATGATGAAAGTCTATTTTTATTATAATTTTATTTATTAACACAAAATATGTAATAAACATAAAGAGGTCGTAAATTGAAAAAGAGTTAGAGTTCTAAGAAAATTAGGGCTTAAACAGAGGATATTAAAAAGAAATCATTAAATAAAAAAACAGTTTGTGTGAGATAATTTTATGTAGGTCCTGGTAATAATGGAAAATTGATTGCGAATTATTTATCATAGCTTTAGTATTATTTATAATATAAATATTTAGAGGTTGGAAATAATTAGATTAAGATATAAGTAAGACAAATAATGATTTCTATTTAAAATGGGTGTAAACCAATTCTGAAATTTAATTTTAATTATTTAAGGAAGGATAATAAATAATCAATCATTTACCTAATCATATGATTTTAACATCAAAATAATTAATCATATAGACTATGAAAGAATACGAAAGATCAAAATAATGTATAGATATTCTATACTTAAATAAGAATTGTAATTTAATTCAAGTCATTTTTTCCCTGAAACATACAGAATAGATTTGACATCAGAACAATTAAGTCTTGAAGAAGATTAATTTCTAAAGACAGATAATTCAGCTATTTGGATAATTAAACCAACGTATTTTAATTGTGGACGAGGTATCAAGTTATGTTCTAATGCTAAAAAACTAAAATAAGAATTTTTAAAGTAGAATTTATATGATTTAGATTAAAATAAATTTCAAATTAAATCAAAGCTTAAAAAGGATTTTTATAAAATGGAATATTTACTGCAAATCTAAGAAAGTGTATTGTTTAAAGATATATTGAAAATCCTTTACTTTTAGAAGGCAGAAAGTTTGACATTAGATGTTATGTTTTGATTGCCACAACTAGACCGTTATTTGTATTATTTTAACATGGTTATTTACGTTTATCAGTTGATAAATATAATGTTGAAGATATGGATGATGAAAAAAATAGATATAAACATTTAACAAATGCAGCTATTTAAAAGAAACATCCATCATTTAATTAATCTAAAGAATCAACTATTTGGTCTATGTAATAATTTGAAGTAAATTATAATTAAAAATTTATAGTAATATTTAAAAGATAAAAAGAATGTTACATAAGAGAAGATAGAAACATTATATTTATAAATGAAAAAGATATTTGCTCATATAATTAGATGTTCAGCTGATAAATTTGAAAAAAGAATTGGAACTTTTGAATTAATGGGTTGTGATATTATGATTGATACAAATTTAAAAGTTTATTTAATTGAGATGAATACTAATCCTGCATTATTTTTAGGTAATGAATTTATTATATATAATATAGATACTACTACATAAGCTGCAGTTATTCCCCCAGTAATAAATTAAACACTTGATTTAGTTATTTATTTAAATGAAGAAAGAAATAAACCAATTGAAAAAAACTTATAAAATTATAGTAAATTAAAATTAGGAAATTGGGAAGTTATTCATAATGAAGTTATTAACTTCAATTTAGTTACCCAATCAAATTGAATCTTTTTCATATTAATAAAATAATACATAATATAAATTTCAACTTTTAATTATTTTATCAATTAATCCTTTTGTTTTTTCAGTAAAATTATTAGATATTGATACTATTTCTCTTTCATTTTTTTTAATAAGGGATGTTTTTAAAATAGCTATAATAAAAATAAAATAAATTACGTTAACTTGTTATGTGTTTAAATTTAAAGGTTTTAAAATGATTAAACTTTTTAGTTGCTTCATCTGCATCCATTTTCCATTTTTCATTTAATTTAAGTGATGAAGATATTTATAATTAATTATTAAAAGTGATTTAATATAATTAATCTAAAAATTCTTCACTTCCTATATATTTTCTTAATAATGAACTAAACCATAAATATATATATATATACATTTTATCTGTATGAGTAAATTATGAAAAATTTATTCCTCCTTCTTAATGAATTAAATCCAAATATCTATGATTCAATACTTATTTTTATAAGCATTAACGAGAATGAACTTCTTTTTTTGTTTCAGCAACACATTCTAATAAAATTTATTCAAGTTCTCCTCTTTAACAATTTTATTATGAAAGTTCTACTTTTAATTATTAAGTTAATTATTTTTCTTTTTATAATTGTTATTTTAAATCTTATATTACATTACTTTTAGAGATTTCTTCAATCTAATATTATATAATTAATACTTATTGCATATCTTGATTTTATCTACTTTACTATTAAGATGATAATTCTCTTTTATATAAATCATGTAATGAAGAACCTTAATCCTAAAATTTACTTGATAATTATGTCTTCAATGTTTTCTTCACTGATGAAAAACCTCTTTTTGAACCTTCACCAATTTCATCTTTTGTTGAATTTGCATAAGTTCCATCCTAAGTCATTGGTCTAATATCAGGTCTAATTTCAAGTATCTTCTTCATATTATTTCTTTCACCAACATCTCCAATTTAACCTATTCTTGTACCTACTTTTTATTCCTCACTTTTTTATTTATACAAATATAATAATTCATATTTTAATGCTTTATTTTCTTTTTTAGAATCTAATTAATTATATTTATATATTATTATACCAATAACAAAACCTTCATAATATTACTTTTCTTCTAATGTAATTTTTAATTTAAATTTTATTTCTTCAATAGTTCTCAATTATTCCTAACATAATTTATCTAATCTTAAGGCTTCTTCTTTAAAATAATCTCTTTCTTCTTCTAGAATTCTCTTTTTCTCATCTGCCTTTTATCTCAAAGCTTCTTCATCAATTTTTCTCTTCATATTCTTCAACTCTTTTTATACATCTGTCATTTATTCTCTATATGCAATCATAAAATCATCTTCTTATGATTTTATAATCTTATCAATCTTCCCTTATAAATTCTTCCTATTCAATCAATTACTTTTACATCAAGAATATCTTATAATTTATTATAATCTCTATCAATTTCCTTTCCGTATTTTATATTGTCTTCTAAAAATACTTTCTTTTTCTATGGCATAAATTGGGTTTAAGTCAATAAAAGATTATCAAATCCTTCCATTACAGATTTTGTTATTTCTAAGATGAAAGTTAAGATTTACAATTTGGAGGTTCCATAAATACTAAATAATTATTTATAATTTATTAAATAAAATTTCTGAAAAATATAAGAAAACTGTAAAAGAAACAGTTTAAGCTATATGCTATATCTTTAAAGCATTTGGAATCAATAATATCGATCCTAATATATATAGATAAGCATAACACAATCTCTCTGAAGCTGTAATAATACCTAAATATAATAGATTAAACCAATTACAAACATAATGCATAACTTATTAATATTAGATTTATTTGATTTTGAATATAAATTAAATGAGATTACCAATACTAATGCAGATCCTGATGGATTAGAGATTATTTTACTTGCATTAAGAAATTCACTTTTTATTATTTATAAAAATGGTAAGCCTGGAATGGATAATTCATCAAGTAAAGATTTACTTTTAATTTTTGGATAAATATTAGCTGAATCAGATATTTTTAGAAATACAAAAAAATAATAGAAAAAAAAGTGTCTCATATAAAAATAAAATTAATAAATAAGACAAAAGAGTAAGAGGGTGTGATTCCTGCTCCTAAATTTATATGTGAAGTTAATTAAGTCAAGGATTTTTAAAATCTAAATAGAATAATTAGACATTAATTCAAATAACTTTCATGTTTATTAAAAAGAAAGGAATCCCAATAAAACCAAGTATATTGAATATAAGATTAAAATAGATTGATAAAATAGTATCATAAATGAATTTAAACGATTTTACAGTTGATCAATTACTAAGTTTGTCTGATCCAGATTAATTAAATGAAATTACAATAATTAAGTGATTAATTTGAATATTTTGAATCAATATCATCATAATTTGAAGATGCTTAGGAGAAAGTATCTTAATTGTTAAAAGAGGATCCAAATTCTGAATAGTAATTATAATAATTGCAATTACAAATCCAAAAAATTGTAGCTTAGAATAATATCAAATTTATGTCTTTGAAAAAGTTTAAAGAATAAGGGTTTTCTGAAAAAGATCTACTATATTGTTAGGCTAATGATTTTATTTAATATAATGAATTTGATTACTAGTAAGAACACTTTGCTACTAGAATTGAATAATTAAATTAATATATAGAAGATGAAGTTGGTAGAATTAAGGTTCATCTCAAAGAACTAGTGTTTTATTCATTAAAATGAATATAATTATATTATTTTTACTTAAATATAATCATGTTCGTAATTGTAATTTATATTCGATTTTCTAAATACTTAAAATCTAAACCTAAATCATAAGAGAAATACTAATTTCTATTCTTGTGATATTTTTATTCTTCAATCTTATTATTCAACTTTTAATTCCAGATCCTTTTTATATTAAAGAAAAACATCTTCAAAAAAACTTTTAATTAAGTATAAAAACAATATTTAGTTTATAAGTTTTTACATTCATAATCATATTGTTATTGTTTTGGGAATAATAATAATTAATTAGTCATTTTTTAAATAAAATTAATTTGATTATGTTTGTAAAAGGGAAATAATATAAAGAATTAACAATTAGTTCTGATGACTTCATGATGAAATAGCAAATGATAGATTATTCTAAAAAAAGTACTGTTTGTTGAAATTTCAAAAATTTATAGGAATTATAATTAATTCAACTTTTGGTATAACAAGTGTAATTATTTGATTATTAAATTTTTTAAGTTATCATTTTATATCTTAGATTGTAAGATAGAGAAGCAAAAGTCAGAAAGCTTAGATGATTGATACTAAGATGATATTATTTAAAAAGCTTAACTGTCGTTCCACTTAAAATAATATGAATCCAGCATTAAAGAATGATATTAATATTTAATATTTTAGTATGATTACCAAAATTTTCATTTTATATAAATTATATATCTTATTTTGAAATAAGCTTGCCTAGTTACTTCGCAATAATGTAATCTAAATAATCAGAAACTAGATAGAGCTGGTCCTATCAAGTAAAATTTTAGCTTACAATACTTTTAGGAAGACAAACTTTTATTAGAACTTATTAAACTTCATGGCTGTACATCTTGGAATCATATTGCACGTGAACTTCAATCTTTAGGGAAAAACCCCTTAAAAGTTCGTTCTTCTGCTGCTTGTAGAGAACGATACTAAAACATTCTTAATCCCGATTTGAATAAAAGTAATTGGACATAAGAAGAAGAAGAAAATTTATTCAATCTTTAACAATCTTGTGGTAATAGCTGGGCTAGAATTGCTTCGTAAATGCCTGGCCGTTCTGATTTGTTATGCAAAAATTATTTTTATGCCACTTTAAGAAAAGTCTTACGTCGACTCAGTAAAGCAGTTGGTTTGGATTAATGTAATTGTTTTAGAGATTCTTCTTTAGCATCAGATTTATTAAAATAAGTTAAACCTAGTGTCCTTGGAGTTATTTATAGCAAAGATGATTCTTTTAAAAGATTCAATATTGATGAGAAAATGAAAACAGAATTTCAATAACTTATAAAATAATACAGGTATACAGAAAAAGCAGAACTCAAATAACTCTAAGAAAATGATGTGGTCTATATAAAATCTATGCTGAATCAATTATTTGTCATCAAGTAAAATATATAAAAAATAATTAGTAATAATTACATAACTTAGATGAAGAGATATTCTTCAAGGAAGAATTCATAATAAGAGGTCTTCTTTGTTGAAAACAACAGCAAATCAACCATTCCTAATTGTGTAACGTTTTAAAATTAAAAAATTACTAAACTGGAATGCAAACTTCTAAATCCAACAAACCTTAAAATAGATTCTTAATAAGAATTCGATCAACCTAAATCTAATCTGTCGAATGTCTAATAAGAGAATTAATCTATATAAGTTTATTAAAATCTAAATTAACTTCATTCTGATTTCAGTCCAATTAATCAATTTTAAGTAAAAATCATTAATATTTTAGGGATCATTTTGTGCTCCATAACCTGTTTTTACATTCTGCATCTAACCAAACTTTATAAGCTAGCCAATCTAATCCATTTAACCATATTACATACCTTAATACCTGCCTTATCCTTAACCTCATCCTCTGATTAGATACGAATATGTACAGATGATGTGATTTATATCTAAAGTACAAAGAACATTAAAAAACAAAATATTCTAAATTAACTTATTACCCTTTTGTCTCTTTCTATTTTGTTTTTGCAGGCAATTTTTAGTTTATATTAAAATTAAATATATTTAAACAAAAAACGCTATATATTTTTATTATATTTGAAAATTAATTTTAATTAGTCATTTTTATAATTATATTTTATATTATTAAAAGTATCAATTATTTAAACTGTTTATCATCTATAAACATATATTTCTTATAAAATAAAACACTATAAAGAAATTAAAATATTTTAATATATCTTTTTTAACATTATTCATATTTTTGGACCAGCATTTATAACTTCTTCAGAAGCTTTGCTTTAATATTTTTAGAAATTCTTTTTGAACTTTTCACCAAGATTTCTTAATGTTTTATCAAATTCAGTTTTGTTTCTATTAAAAATTTATTATTTATATATACGTCCAAGTATTTTTTGGATGAAGCATTTAATCAGGAACTCCAGTAGCTCTCTTTGGAATTTGTAAATTAAAAACTTCAAAATTATCAAATTCTCCATTAGCTAATTCTCCACTATGAATGGCATCAATTATTGATCTTGTATTTTTTAGAGACATTCTTTTTCCTATTCCATATTTACCACCTGACCATCCAGTATTAATTAACCAACATTTTGTTCCATGTTCTTTCATTTTAGCTGCCAACATTGTTGCATAAAGTGTTGGATGTAATGGTAAAAATGCTTCACCAAAACATGCTGAAAAAGTTGCAACTGGTTCCTTTACTCCCATTTCAGTACCAGCAACCTAATAAAATTACAATCAATTTAATACTTTTGCTGTATATCCTGAAATAAAATGATACATAGCCTATTCAGGAGTCAATAATGATACAGGTGGTAAAACACCATAAGCATCACAAGTAAGGAAAAGAATGTTCTTAGGATGATTACCAACTGCAGGATTTTTAGCTCCAGGAATGAAATCTAAAGGATAACTTACTCTTGTATTTTCTGTAATTGAAATATTATGATAATCAACTACTCTAGATTCTTTATTTATAAATTCCACATTTTCTAAAACTGCACCAAACCTTTAAATAACAATAAAGAATACTTAACAGCATTATAAATTTCAGGTTCTTTTTCATAAGTCAAATCAACACATTTAGCATAACATCCACCTTCAATATTAAATATTCCTTAATCAGACCATCCATGTTCATCATCTCCAATCAATTTTCTTTTTGGATCTGCACTTAAAGTAGTTTTACCAGTTCCACTCAATCCAAACAATAATGTTACATCTCCATTAACTCCTTCATTAGCAGAACTATGAAGTGTAAGGATTCCTTATTTAGGTAACATATAATGAGTAACTCCAAATACTCCCTTTTTCATTTCTCCAGCATATTAAGTTCCTAAAATGACCATCTTTTTGTCTGTGAGATTTACAGAAACACATGTATCTGAACCAACACCTTCAACTAATTTTGGTGCTGACATTGGACCAGCATTAAAAATATGAAAATCAACATCATCACTAAAATCTCTTTTTAATTCTTCATTTGTTGGTTTGATTAGCATATTTTACATAAACAATGCATGATAGGCTCTAGTACAAAACACTCGAATTTTAAGTCGACTATGAAGATCCCATCCTGCATATCCATCAACCACAAATAACTATATTCATATATTCTATAATATTACTCTAGGTCTTGTGTTTAAGAACTAAAGGGCAATCTATTCCAATAAATTATGAGATTTCTTTGGAATTGGGATGTTAACATCTCCCCACCAAATTTCTTACTCAGTTTGTTCATCTAAAACTATTCTCTTGTCTTTTGGTGAACGACTAAAATAAATTAATCAATTCCTTAATTACCCTGTTCTTCTACCTGAATATGCAACCATAGCTCCAGTACTTGAAATTGATCCTTATCTGGTATCAGGATCTGGTGAAAGTGGATCCATAGCAGCGATTTCATACAATTCAGGGGTACTGGCATTTCTTACAACTGTGGTATTGTGTAATCCCCATCTTGTTAATTATTCAAGAGGTAGGGCTTTGCTGGTGTTGTAGGTGTATTTCCAAAGGTGGTGTAACATTAAATGTTAAAAAGATATATTTAATATTAGATATGTTCACATATAATATACAACTTTTAAATACTTGATGAACTATAACTTATTCATCAATTATTTTCTATTATTCTACTATAAATTAAATAAAGTGATCATATTCCATTATAGATAAACATTATATTAACGTTATCCTTTAAAATTTAATGAATTTATAGACTTAGCTTTATATTGAATTATTTTCATTACAAAACACAAGTAAACTGAGATTTAAGTCTCACCCCATTATATTCATCTTCAAACACTACTATTTTTATTTTTTGAACTCTCATCTCCTAAAATACGTTATTTATCGTCCTCTATGACTTTCCAACCTTAATTTTCATAAATATTCTCTTACCATATTAAGAGAGTGTAACTCTGTATAATATTCTTACGTATCTAAATAATCTAAAAGTCTTATTGATTTACATTTCTCTACTCAGTTTTTAAAACATAACTAAGTTGCAGTATTTGACTATAAAAAATTATAAATTATTATGTATATAGTAGTTAAATAAAATTTTGAATTAAAATCAAAACAATGATTCATAACAATCATACTTCTATTTTTCAAACAATAGATTAAAATAAATATATCTTTGGTTTCCGATTTATAGTTTAGTGAGTTTTATAAGTTCTTTTAAAATAATTATAAGCTTCTAATTAGGAGGATTAATTATAAATAGCAATTTAATAATTCCAGCATCAATTAAGGCTTAAACTATTAAAATAATGAAAAAAAGTATTAGCTTAGTAAAACCAATAAAAATGAATTAATTTAATATATCTAAAGAGATTACTATAGGATATATATATATAGACTAAAATAAATTTAACTTTAAATAGAGATTTGAAATCGTCGAATAATCAATAAAGTTATTTAGAGTATTAAATAAATTTATAATTAATAAATATAATCATGAATGAATATATATACAAACAATTTTTTTAAGGCTCAATGTTTTTCAATTAGTTCATATTTTTTAATTAAAAGATAATAAACTGGGGCAAAAGAGTTTTCTTCATGGCAAATAACTTCAATTTCATTACTAAAAGAGTTAAAAAGATTGTTTTACATATGTATTCTTTTTTTATAAAGTGGACAATCAAGTACAAAACTTTCAAATTCTCCTCCTTCTCCACAAGGATGAAAACCAAATTTTTTATTCTAAAAATATTGATCTGCTATTAACTTACTATTTCTTTGAAATAATCATATAATTCCTGAATTGTTTTCCCTAAATGCTTTTAAGTCAATCCCATGGCTGCAACTTTAATGAGGATTATGTTCATATTATTTTATAACATTTAGTCCAATAAAGAAAACTAATCTTGATTCCATAAATAAGCAAGAGATGTTAAGCCTAAACGATTGCAACTAACATAAGTAAATTGTTTTACCAATCTTCAACTCTTAATTTCTGATATGTGGAAGCAATAGCACCAGAACTGACTCCTTTGATATCAGGATATGTAAGGATAGCTTCCTTTAAAATGAGATAAAGATCTTCAACTTCATCACCAATCCTATCTTCATCTTTACTTTAATAATCTAAATTAGTAATTTTGGGTTTTCCTGATATTTCTCTTGTCATTAAGGGTTTATCCATTGCTTATGCAATAGCTTGAATTGCATTAGTGCCAACACTCTGATACATGAAACTATCAGATTCAATTCCAATTTCTAATTTAAATGAATTTTACATTTTGGATATAGATTTACTAATAGAATAAGTTCATGGCCTTCTTGAACACATCTAATAATATTATAAATGGAATCTTTGCCTCCTGATATTAGTGCTAAAAATTTCATTTAAAATATATAATAATTATAGGAGTGAAAAAAAAAAAGTGAGAGAGAATATTGATATAATGTTAAATGTAGAACAATTGTCAATAATTGTATATGTTAATGAATCAATTTCTCTTGCTGATGAATTGAGCGGTGGTTGATAATTTCTCGCTGATGTGTTCTTAGAGTCTGTCAACGATTTCATTTTATGCAGCTCTAGTTTATAGTTTCTATGATACCTTTCAGCAGTTTGAGTTTCATAGATTTCTGATTAGACTGCATACCATGCTTATTATCCAGCAAGTCTCTCTTCACTATTTTCTAATTCTAAGGTGTGGAATTCGATCCATGATTGAGCATCTTCAATGGTATCCTTTTATTCTTAGATTTAGACTTCCAATTAAGCTTTTCTTTCAANAAAGATTGTTTTACATATGTATTCTTTTTTTATAAAGTGGACAATCAAGTACAAAACTTTCAAATTCTCCTCCTTCTCCACAAGGATGAAAACCAAATTTTTTATTCTAAAAATATTGATCTGCTATTAACTTACTATTTCTTTGAAATAATCATATAATTCCTGAATTGTTTTCCCTAAATGCTTTTAAGTCAATCCCATGGCTGCAACTTTAATGAGGATTATGTTCATATTATTTTATAACATTTAGTCCAATAAAGAAAACTAATCTTGATTCCATAAATAAGCAAGAGATGTTAAGCCTAAACGATTGCAACTAACATAAGTAAATTGTTTTACCAATCTTCAACTCTTAATTTCTGATATGTGGAAGCAATAGCACCAGAACTGACTCCTTTGATATCAGGATATGTAAGGATAGCTTCCTTTAAAATGAGATAAAGATCTTCAACTTCATCACCAATCCTATCTTCATCTTTACTTTAATAATCTAAATTAGTAATTTTGGGTTTTCCTGATATTTCTCTTGTCATTAAGGGTTTATCCATTGCTTATGCAATAGCTTGAATTGCATTAGTGCCAACACTCTGATACATGAAACTATCAGATTCAATTCCAATTTCTAATTTAAATGAATTTTACATTTTGGATATAGATTTACTAATAGAATAAGTTCATGGCCTTCTTGAACACATCTAATAATATTATAAATGGAATCTTTGCCTCCTGATATTAGTGCTAAAAATTTCATTTAAAATATATAATAATTATAGGAGTGAAAAAAAAAAAGTGAGAGAGAATATTGATATAATGTTAAATGTAGAACAATTGTCAATAATTGTATATGTTAATGAATCAATTTCTCTTGCTGATGAATTGAGCGGTGGTTGATAATTTCTCGCTGATGTGTTCTTAGAGTCTGTCAACGATTTCATTTTATGCAGCTCTAGTTTATAGTTTCTATGATACCTTTCAGCAGTTTGAGTTTCATAGATTTCTGATTAGACTGCATACCATGCTTATTATCCAGCAAGTCTCTCTTCACTATTTTCTAATTCTAAGGTGTGGAATTCGATCCATGATTGAGCATCTTCAATGGTATCCTTTTATTCTTAGATTTAGACTTCCAATTAAGCTTTTCTTTCAACCAATCTAGTGTGTTCGTTACTCAAATGAGCGCTGAATTCAGCCCAGTGAGCAGCTTATCTTTCTTCAACATCCTTTATTATTTGATTTAATAATTACAGTTTTAGCAGCTTTTTCTGAGACTAATTATTATCTGATTTCACTCAAAAGTTAAGCAATTTTGGTTAAAGCTTTTTAGTTGACTCCATGAGTAGCTAATTCAGTAAGAGCAGCAACGACTGGCTAAAGAAAGAGAATAGAAAGAAAGATATACTTATAAGAGTTGGGAGTGTGAGGTGTTATCTGTGAGTCTCTTGTGAATATTTTCATATTTTGATTTAACTTAGACAAATGAAGCACCTAAGCTTAAGTGTTGAATTAATTTGGCAGCTTCATCAATGGCATCAATAACGTCATCAATGGCAGCGACCTTAGCAACAAAGGTTTCATGTTATTAGTTTCTTGTGGCTTCTTCTCTGGCATATGTTTATTCATTTGTTGCAATGTCTTGAATTGTGACTCTGATGTCTTCTTCAGAAACAGCCAAAGCTTCAATTGTGTCGTCTCTCAATTAAGTATTGGATGAAATTTGATTTTAGTGATATAAGATTTCCTTTTCCAAATCTTCGACAATCTAAGATATTCTTAATAAAAATTCTTACTCTGTTGTTGGTAGTTGTGTCAAGTTCGAAAGCGTGATCGTGATCATTTTGATCTTATTACAATCCAGCAGCGACACCGTTCAATAACATATTAACTTCGTTGGCTGGTGTTTGAGCTTGAATGTGAGCCTTGATTGCTGATAACACAACATTTCCAAATGGATTAGCATCAATTTGAGCCAAGGTTGTGTGTGTATCAATGAATTTGGAAGCTGCAAGAGCAACAACTAATGTCAAGATGACTAATTTTTGCATATATTTTAATTAATGTTTTAAAAACGGATCGATCAAATGCTTATAATGTACATTTAATTATTATTAATTATGATCTAAATATATATATATATCTCTCACATCATTCCTCATTCATCCAATATATATTAAATAATCAAATTTCCTTCTAATTCAATTTTAATTACCTCTTTTCTAATCTTTCAATTATATATTCATCTTTTCATTTTCAATATTTTAAATCATTAAAAAACCATTTTTTTGATTCAATTCTCAACATTCTCTGTAATAAACCCTTCAATCTAATTATTTCTTAATGAATAATAATATATATTCATTTTTTATATATTTTTTATATATGCAATTCTTTAAATTAATAAAATATAAATCAAATCAAATAGTAAAGCACTTTAATATTTCTATTACATCTATTTCAATTCAAAATTAAACTAATTCAGTCTAATAGTCATATAAATGTATTTGTTTTTTTATTCAATATTTTTACAATGATCCTTAAATTTAAAGACCTTTAAAAATCATACACTCAAAATCAATAGATATAATATGTCAATGAAGAACCATTAATAATAAATAATATCTTTGTAAATATTCAAAAATATTTTTTTAATTTTTTTATTGCATGTCAGCTCCATTTTACACAGTCAAAGTAATATCACTCATTAAATGAAGGACGTACCTGCTTAAGATTTTATTCGTGCATATGCTGAGTATTTGAAGAAAAACAATAAAATAAAAATTCCAGAATGGGCATCCATTGTTAAAACTGGACTTGGATAAGAAATTTCACCAATTGATTAAGATTGGATGTATGTTAGAGCTGCTGCACTTGCTCGTAAAATATATGTTAGAGGTCATTGGGTATTAAATATAAAATAATAAACTTTAGGGTGTTGGAAATCTCACTCATATGTTTGGATCAGTCAATGATAATGGTAAACATGAATCAGGATCAGGAAAAGTGATTAGATATCTACTTTAATAATTAGAATCAATCAAAGTTTTGAAAAAGGACAACAAATCACTATTAAAGAAGGGATCAAGAATTGTTACCAAAGAAGGATAATAAGACTTAAACAGAATTGCAACTTAAGTTGCTTTGGCTGCCAGAAAATGATTTATTCAACATAAAGAACATCAACATATGTCAATATTATTGTAAAAGTTGCATAATCTTTTGTTTCATTGCATCTTTAGTTATTTCTCTATTATATATTCTTTCTCTCTAATTATTTCTATCTCTAAACTCAACTCTTATTTTTAAAAACTTAGGATCTTATTTCTTGAAATCTTCCAAATCATAATCATTAGTAATTACAACTTTATCTCCTTCTTCATCAACAAAACTAATCCTATTGATTTATATATTACTAGAATATTAATTCATCTTTATTTTAATATGATTAACACAATGATTGATATTCTTGTTGTAAATCTTCAAATCGATTTAATTCTCTTGAACAAATGTATACATCCTTTTGTATGGCAATCTTTATGCTTTTCATTTAATTTATAAATATATTTTAAATAATAATAATATTTGATTTAATTATTTCTATCATTATTAATCATCATATTCTACTTGTTTTCATTATTCTACTTAAGGATGACTATAATGCATTCAATTCACTTTAATGTCTATTATATTATTTAACTATTAATACCCTAATTAATAATTGACTATCTAAGATATTGGAACTTAATTCAATCTTGAAGAAAGTGATGATATATCACTTTATTTACCAAATTTTTAGAAGTTGGATGGACTACTAGTTGAAAATAAATTTGATTTAGAGCTCTTATGTTGATAAGGTTGATAACTTTATTGGATAAGTTGATTGTTCAATTTTGCAATCTAATTATTTTATATTTATAATTGAATGTCTAATTTAGAGTTCCAATCTTTAAATTGATTCAACTTGACCTTAGCTCTTTCTGGAGAATCTTTAAATGTTCTTGCTGATCTATAAGGAGATGGTGTTTTATCATTCGAATATACTACATGAGTTGGAGGAAGAGGACTAAAATAGATGTAAATTCTTACTGATATTATCCTACAACACAACCTTCTAGTCCTTTATAAGTTTTTGGTGAGTCTCTAAACAATCTTAATCTCACTGGAGATATGTTTTTAGATTCTTAGTTTCTTGATTTGAAACTTGAATCTCCTAATTTGCTTATTGCAGTTGAAAGTAAATGAGCTTAATTACCTTTTGTCTTTATAGCTGAATTGCTTTCATTACTGTAGATACTTGAATTTAACATAATTTTTATTTATTGCTTAATAAATTTTAAATAAAGAACCTATATATTTAATAATAATGCGCTAAATTATTCTAAACCTTTCTCTATTTAAATTTATAATATAATTGTTGATATAACATTAAATGCATTTATTAAACATTTTATTTAATCAATTAATGAGTATTTTTTAATCAAAACATACTTTGAAAAGTAATGATTATTGATTAGATTTTAATATCTATTTTTATTATTATAAATTAATGTATGAATAATTTTTGAGTTTTTATATAAAATAATTTATTAGATAATGAGTAGTTTAACTTGGTGGATATTTTTAAATTGAATATTTTATAATCTAATCATTTTCTACCAAGGGATGTTTATGAGGCTAAGGCTCTAACTTGATCCTTGAATAATTAGATGACAACATCGATGATGGCGTTTTCCTCTAGAATAGATTAGATGAGGATAGATACCTTATCTTCTTGCTGTCTCTGAAGCATAGAATTCTCTTTTTTCTTCCAAATCAGCTGTGGCACCAGCAACTGCATTCAAGGAATCTTTCCATAATTTGAGTGCTTTAGCTTATTAAGCAAGAACTGCTGGGAGTTACTAATCAAATTATTTAATGAATGCATACAGTTTCTAATTTTTCAACAAGACCTGTTCTTCTTTCGTGTTCAGAGTTCAACCAAGCAACTTCAGCATTAGTATCAGAAACGTATTTGGCAAGAGCGAAAGCAGCATGGATTTCTTATTCTTAGAGTGTGGCAAGTGTTCCTTCTAATTCAGCTTATAAGTCTGCTAAGATGGAAAGGACTTATTCTCCAGTTGTACCATCTCTCTTGACCTCAGCAAGGGATTAGAATTTCTAGATGGCATCTTATTAGAAGAGGTGACTGTATGCTGACAATTTGTCGGCGATGGTTTCAGCCTTTTGAACTAATTCAACACCAGCATTGTTTGTGAGCCATCCAGCAACGTCTTGTTATAAGAGTTAGACAACTGCAACTGCATCAGCATGATCAGCTAATGATCTGACAAAGAGTCCATTGGCCCAACATCTTTAGTCTTAGAGTTAAGCATTTCTTCTTTCGATTTCAGCAAGTCTTGCTTCAGCCCATGCCAACCATGAATATCCATCCTAAATTTTAAGGGGAAATAGCATACTCTGATTTGGGCTTCAACATCAGTACGAACTGCACCTAATGATTCCCATTGTTATTTGTTAAGGGAAGCAACATTTGTCAAGTCACCAATGACCTAAGTAAAGATTTCTAATTCTAAATTTAAACAATACCTTCATCAGTGTTATTCTTTCTGTCGGCAGCAGCTTAGACATTAACATTTTCTGTCTTCAAATCTCTCAAGAGGTTGTAAACTGATTCAACAGCATCATTTCCTTTAGTACCGGCTTGGAGGAGCACAGCAAATTTGTTTGTGTCAATAGCGAAGACGGCAGCCACTAAGCAAAGGGCAACAAGAGTTCTCATAATTAATTTATTAATGCCAAAAACGGAATAAAAATTCCTCGTTTTAAAATTGCAAATATCACTAATTATTATTTAATTAACATACATTTATGCACACTCATCATTCAAAATATACATAAATTTTACACATACATCTCAAACTAAAAACGTATTCAATCAATTAATCTGTTAAAATATTTATATGAAAAGTTTATTATAAAGAAGTTCATATGGAGAATTATCATCCATTCGTTCCTATCCAACAGAGAAATTGAATACACAATCTGATAGTGAATTGGTTGAAGTTGATATGGAAAAACTAAATTTTCATTCATTTTATTTGCTCTCAGATCCAATTCAATTATAATCTAATTAAGTAGAAGGGGAGTTACTTATTAAAGATCTTATTAAAAAGATAATTGCCAAAGTCTCAAAAAAAATCACTGAAAATGAATAAATCAAAATGCTACCAATAATAGGTTATTAATCTTCCATTGATAGAATGTCACATCCAATTCAATAATACTTTAGACAACATGAAGATCCTACTTTTGATTATTTGACTGGAGGATTAGAAGAGGATGAAGAACCTGTAATTTAAACTTTCAAATTCATAGGTTAGATTTCAGCAAGAATAATGGTTAGTGTAAAAAGTTAATTCAATACCTGCCAAGATATTAGAAGTAGAATAATAAAGCACAAATTCTAATCGTTAATCTTTAACTGCTTAAACCTTTAAGAGATCAAGAGTCTTAATTTAAGTATTTGAAACTTATTTCTAAACTTTAGGATTAAGCTTAATTGAATAATTAAAAAAATGTAAGAGAAAAAGAAAAATTACCAGGTATTGTTGATCTCAATGACCCATTGGATATTAGTATGACTGAAGAATTATTGAGAGCATAAAAGGAGAGAGATTATAAAATTAAATAAGATTTGAAAGAACAAGAAAAAAGGAGGAAATAAAAAGAAATGGAAGAGTAATAATTGAAATATGAACTTATATCTAAAGATAAAAAATCTAAATCATATACTTATGATTATGATGGAAAATTGATATCTGTAACAGCTTTAAAAGGTCATAAATTTCCACCTACAGCTGCAACATTAGGGTATTCAAATTAATAATTAAGAGATCCAAATTTGAGGATGGTCAAACTAAAATTAATATGTTTAATAAGAGAAAAACCTTTTTTTAAAGTTCAAGTTCTCAAATCAAAAAGAAGTAAGATGATGAAAAAGAAAAAGATCCAAAAGAACTTATTAAATTTTAGTCTCTTGCACCACTTGTTAATGAAAATATGCATTTATAATCAGGAGTTCTTATTATATAAGAAGGTAGAGTTAGAGAAGGTCCAAAAGATCAACCAATTAATCTAGATAAAATGAGTGATCCTGCTTTAAGAATGATTAGAAATGAATACTTGTCTTTAACTTAATAAATTAATGCATCTCTTAATTAATCATCAGCATAATTAGTTAAAGCAGAAGAAGCTAAAATTAAAGAATTTTCAAATGATTAAGATAAAAAACAAATTCTTAATAGAATTCGTAGGTTAAGTTAACCAAGTATTACAAGTGATGGAAATATTAAGTAAGTTAAATTTCATTCAACTTTTATTTAGGATTAATTCAATGCATATGTATGAATAGGTGGCCTAAGTTATTTTCGAAAATAAAGAATAACATCTAATTCCTATAAATAAACCAATTAATAATAATAATACAAAAGATATGCAAATCATGAAAACTCCTACTGATCAATACAATATTTCACTCTATAAAAATACTGCTTTGAGTAAAGAAGTCCCTTCAATTTAAGGTAATACTACTAAACTTAAAGGCAGTAAAGCTAAAGTAAAGTAAAACTTTTTTAATATATTATAGAGATATGTTATCAAGTGTTGGAATAGTCGTTAAAAGAACTCGAGAGAGAAGAGGAAATTCAGAAATAACACATCTTCCAAAAATGAAAAATATTTCTCAAATTTGATATTAATCAATTAAACTTTTTTTTCTGTAATTTATATAATATATAAAAGAAGTATGTGGATTTCATTCTAAATAATTTATAAAATTAATCAACATTTATTTCTTTTTTGATACCATTTAGGAATTAATTTATTAGCTAGAGATTAATTATTCGAAAGTTCCTCCTTTGTAAAATCAAATAAATCAGGAATTTAAATTTTTGATTGATACATCCTAAAGGTTGTTTCATCCCTTAGATCATCAAAATACGAATGTGTTAATGCTTGAAGTGCAGTCAATCTAGTTTTTGGACAATAAGTGAGTATTTTACTAATTAAATCAATAGCAGATGGATCAACTACGGTTTAAAATACTTTTCTCCAATCCTTTTTTCTTATTTAAACTATTTTGTATTATTTGATATCATATAATTCATTCATTGACAACACCTCATCCTTACTAGGAGATCCCAGTATTTTGATAATTTCAACTAATTAATCTACTGCTGATGCTCCTAAAAATAGTGGTAGCCCATTAAACATTTCTCCAATGATACAACCAACTGACCACATATCAACTTAAGTAGTATAATTTGTAGCACCAAATAATAATTCAGGTGCTCTATAACATCTTGAACAAATGTATGCAATATTAGGTTCTAAAGGTGACAACTTTTTAGCACTTCCAAAATCACAGATTTTTAAAACATTCGTATCTGGATTAATCAAAACATTATGTGGTTTAATATCTCGATGACAAATACCTTTTGTGTGTACAAAAGCTATACCGCGTAATAACTAATATGAATATAACTTAGCCTGTATTTCTGGTAATAATTATTGTTATTTCAAAAATTATGCATTATATGAATGAAGTGTTTCAGGTTAATAATCCATAATAACATTTAAATATTATTCATCTGGAGAATCTCCATAAGTAAAATATGCATGTTTAGTTTCAACAATATTAGGATGATCTAATTCTTATAGAATTTGAATTTCTCTATTTTTATATCTCTTATCCTATATAACTTTCTTTACTGCCACTATTTCTCCTGTTTCATTCACTTTTGCCTTGTAAACTATTCCAAAAGATCCTTGCCCAATTACTTTTAAGCTAGTAAATGTAAATTAGGAATAATCAATAGGTTAATTTCCTTATTAAGGAGCTGGTGATTTGCTTTTAGTTCTTTAATTTTTCAAAGGAGTTTTTTGTTTCTCTTATAAATTTTTGAATTTTAATATTGCTTATTGAAGATCGATATCATCTACATCAGCTGCTTCAGTTTACACTCTTCTATTGGCATCTGTTGGTTGAGTATATTTGTTAATGGGTTTTTTAGCATAACGAGCCATCCAACTGATAAAATTATGAAATTTTTTATAAATTAAGTTTATCTAAGGTCCTTAAATATATTATATATATAATTATTAATGAGTATATATGAATAAGAACTGCAAAATAATGTAGAAAAATTAGTAGACAATGTAAATATATAATAATCAGAAATTAGTACATGAAAAAATCGAAATCATTTCATAGATAAAGATCTTCATTTTCAATGAATGAAGAATAAAGAGATTTTACATAAGAAATTATTGAGAAAGAATTTTAGAAAACTGCATTATTGGAGGATTTGTTAAAACAAATTTAATTAATTGTTGACAATTTAATTCAAAGACATTTGTTTGATGTGAAATTCTTTATATATTCCTAGTTTCAAAATCAACTACTACATATTTAGAATGAACTTTTTTTATTGAAGTCAAAATAGTCTACAGTAGGAAGTCAAGAGAGTACAATGAAATAAACACTTGTATTATCTAAAAATAGTTCTTTTACTGATTTTAATGATTAATTTATCTTTGAAGATTAGATGAAAAATCTTAAAAATAAAATGAAAAATCTGAAAGAAGAAGTGAATAAGAAAACTTAACATCACGATTCATTAATAAATATGCTGTTAGATTAATAGTAATCAATAATTATAATAAATAATTAAGGAAGGATTTAAAAGAGAATTAAAGAAAAAATTAATTTAATGTTGATGTAAAATTAATTGAAAAAACAATGCATGATTAATTATGGTTAAGTATTGAATTGAAAATATTGGATAGGTGTAGAAACATAAAGTCGAGATTTTGTTGAAACGAAATTTTATTAATTGAAATAGATGGTAGAGTAAAATAATCAAAAACATAAAGGTAACTTTTTAAGTAAAAATAGAAAAGGATGCTATAATATGGACAATCGTAAATGAATGTAAAAGTGAGATGGATAAAATGAATTAGAAATTAAATGGTTTGAACTGTCTTTTATAAGAAATGAAGGAAAATAATCATTGGTACACACATATTTGGAAAAGAAAATGATAAAATAATATTTAAGTTAGTTCAAAATTATTAATCCATCATTCTTAATAAGTTAAGTTGTTTAATCAATAAATTAGAAATCTATGTGATTAATTCCAACGTTAGATATTTCTTGTTAATTTATAATTAATTAAAACAGAAAATTCCTTTATTTTCAATATTTTCTTAGTTGATCAATTTTCAATATTTAAGTATTCAAAGTTGTGAATCTTGTTAAATTAAAAGCAGCAATAATTAATTCAAGATGAAAAATGTCTAGATCCTCTTGAAAAAAATAGTAATTAATAAGTTGATTAACTTTATAATTAATAAATTTACATATAATCTATTGGATTTAGCGAATTATGAAATTCTGTTATATTTAGTGCTTCTTACACTGCCAATTTATCAGGTTATTATCAAATATATATAAGCAATTATTATAAGTTAATAATACTATAATTAAAAAATAGTTTATTTGTTATTAATGTTAATTTTATCAACTAACTTTTTAGATTAGGTTTATTCTCACTTATTATTTACATTTAAATTTTACTACAATACCATATTTTAAATTTTACTCTCAATAATCTTTTTTTATTCCAATTAAATTCTTATAGCTGGATTACTTAACATTAATAAAAGTTTTGGTTTTATTACATTAACATAGTAAAAAGTATATGAAAATAAATCTCATCTAAAATTTTGTTTGATAATAGTTGTAGAATTTAAAAAACATTTAACATTATTAAAAATAAAACCTATTTTGATTAGTAAAATTAATCAAATGAAATCCTATTTATTTTTTTTAATGAAAATATTAAACTAGGAATTTTGAAGATAGTAGTTTTTATTTTTGGTATTTGGAGAATGAATTAAAGAGTGGATAATGTATAATGGTATGATTTAATGTAGGAAATATACTAGATTGTTATAAAAGTTATTAATTTATAAAATATAGTATTTGGGTTGAAAAATGAATTAAATGGATTTTGTAGAATGATATACTCTAATTGAGATAGGTAAACAGATAATGGATTAGTTTAGTTTCGAATATGATATCAAGTTCTGGAAGGCCAACTGATTTGATGTATTCTAAACAGAGGATAAAGTAGTAATTATGAAATATTTAATCATTATAGGGTTATGGACAAATAATATATAGGGAAAACAATGTCGAGGTTTAAACTAAATGGAGAGAGAGATAAGAAATAAAAAAGGATTGATAGAAGTACTATATGGATAAAAAAAGGGAAGAGTGATTATTTATGATAAGGATGGATGAATGAAATTTTGATTTTAGAAATGAATGAGAGATTTAAAGGACTAAATATATGGAATAGGTATGTTGAATTTTATTAATTCGAGTTATTATAAAGGGGAATTTCGAAAAGGAATAATAAATTGTAGAGGTATTTACGTTAGTGGAAATAGAAAGATTCTGAGTGGATATGTATTATTTAATTGATAATAAGGTTATAGTTTGAAGAAATTAGGAATATGAATTGAATTTAGAAGAATTTAATGTATAAATAGTAATGGTTCTGAAAAATTGAACATTAAAATAAGATAATAATGAGTGTTTTGATTGATTGCAATTGATTAAATATAATATTGTATATATTTATGGATTGTAAGTGTTTAGATTATAAGAAAATAAAACAAAAGTTAAGAAATATATATAAATTAATATTAAAAAGAAAAATTCGTTTTTGCCTTTTTTTAGCAAAATAATCCTTAGAAGGAATTCATTATTAATTACAATAAATGTTCAAAGTTGCCGTGTGTGCATTGTTAGTACTTGCCTCAACAGCCATTAATGTCTAATCCTCAATTTGGACAAGCAAAGACCAAAAAGCTTTCGCTTAGATTCACTAATCTGGTTGGGGAAAATTCATCTTGAACTTTGCTGAACTCCATTTATCAACAGGTGGTATCCTTTCTGAGCTTAACTCTGAGATTGAAAAACTCGTACATATAATGAGTTAATATGTTTATAGGTTGATGAAATGGAAGAGGAATTGGCTGGAGTTCATCATGAATTCAACAGAAGAACAGATGTCCACAATAGAGAAGTTGCCAGACTCGAATAAGAAATCTAAGACAAGGAAAGAGGTACATTATAGGTTTAACTATTTCCTTAGAATTGTTCAATGCCCACGATTTCTATGACAACGTCCTCATCCCATAAGGAGAAAGATTTGCTGCCTAACTTGAATAATTATAAGAAAACATCGTTTAAAACAGAAGAACCCTTGAATAAGCTACAGTCTAAAGAGCCAATGATCATGAAACATTTGAAGCTTAAGTTGTTGAACACAATGATGCTATTGCTGCTATTGACGAATGCTTATAATTATTGAGCACATTAGAAGCCCCATCTCTTGCTTAAGTCAAGAAAGTCTAAAAGAATTTGGCTAAAATCTAAAACTCATTGAAAAAGCACAACTAATTCCAAATCTTTGTTAAAGTGTTATTGGAAATCACAGTTGACTCCAACTTTGCTGACTAAGGAGCTCTTAGAGATGTAATGTCTAAAATAATATTCTTTAGATTGTTGTTGCCTTCAATAATTTGAGAGTTGAATTAGTTGATTCACTCAATTAAATCACTGCTGATGAAGCTGACTAAGTTGCTGAATTCAATGCTTAAGTTATTTAATTGAACTAAGAACATGCTGAATTCTAAAGAGCTGTTGTTGTTAAGAATGCTGAAATCGAAGCCAACACAAGTATACATTCTAATCTAACAACATATAGCCAAATAAGAATAAACTCTTGAATTAATCGATGAACTTGATGCTGATTTGGCTACCCTCAATGGATAATTATAAGCTGAAAACGATGACTATGCCTTTGCCACTGATGTTTATAATGCCACCGTTGCTGAATACAACAAGGAAATTAATGCTGCCAATTAAGCTTTAGAGTTGCTCAACCAACCAAGATTCCAAGACTATGTTAAATCATAACTCAAGGGAGCATGATCTATTTCCAAAATATAAAATATATCAAAGCATAGAAATTATTATTATAATAATTTATTTGTTAAAAAAACAATAAATTACTTGATAAATGCAACATAAAGGTTGTTGTTAACCTACTCAAAAATCATTTCTGATGATTATCTATCTAGATATGAGGAATAACAAATTATCATATCTAGAAAAAGTAGCATCTGAATTCATCTTTTAAAAAGGATTATCCCTATAAATATTTTCATCATAGTAATTCAGTTCTCCTTAGTCTTAAACATTAATATGAGAGCATTAAAAAAACATTAAAAAACACCTATCCTTATTTATTGGACATTGAACATATTGAGTATATTCTCTACAATTTTTGATCGATTTATTGTTCCTATACTTAATTGAAGTCTAATAAATAGGATTAAAAAGAAGCAAGATCATGGTTCTGTTTGCTTGATTTATTCATTGTTCTCATAATAACGGCAATGATTTAGAATCTTATTGAATATAATTCCTATACTATAGTTAAAGATTTTTTTTCTTATTCTCTTATTTTAAATTATTCCTTTTTCTCAATTAGAAATCAATCAATTCGTTAGAAGAATTACATCAAACTTAAACTTTTAAAATAGCAGAACCTAAATATCTTCTGTGAAGTAATAGGATTGATATCAGCTATATATAGACGTGGATAACTTTTTATTAATTCTAATAAGTTTGACTCATGGTATCTTAAAATTCAAAAAATTGATCAACAACCATTTTTTTTTATTTATGGTTCTAAGAAAGAATTTAAATAAATAAATTGAATTGAATGATTTCAATTCAATTTTCTTAAATTTTACTATTATTTTAAAATTATTTGTTAATATATAAAATACATATATTGTTATTATATGATTATTGATTTATTTTTAAAGTAATCTATGCTATATACATGATAATACAACTTTAATAACATAGAAATTTAATTTACAATATAAAGTCATTAATTTATTACTTGATCAATGTTTCTTATTTATTTTTACATTATCTCATTTAGATTCAAATCATTTTATTTTATCTGATTTTTACAATGAATTTGCTCCAATTATTAATATTTATCTATGATTTAAGTTAATTCTTTATTTTTTATCATTAATTCACTTTGTAAAAGGGATATTTATTCTGTCATTCTTTTAATTTATATTGTATTATTGAGTGGATCATTTATGATTCTGTTAGACTCTTAAGAATTAGTTAAAGTTATCAATTTACTGTATAATAATTCATTATCAATTTTTATATTCTTTTACTATAATTATAAATTATTCACTTCTAAATTTAAATCTATACATTCTTAATTCTTTATTTCTAACATTTACATATATTATAATTTCTCATTAATTAAATTTTGTAATTAAAAATCATATTATTTTAATTGACTTTCAAAATTTCTTTACAATTAATATATTTAAGTTTCCTTTTCTTTTTATATTTACTTCACTTATTATTCATAATGACTTAAAATAATTGAGTTCTCTTCCTATAGTTTTGTAAGATTCTCCTTATAAGTATTTAATTTTTTGTAAATATTTTCAAAATTATTAATCTCATTATCTTTTTATACAATTTAATTTTTCAAAAATGTATTCTCTATTTGTATTTATTCCATTTTCTAATTTGTTTCTTCAAGTAACATTTGGCATTAAATTTGAAGGTCTTAAATTTTCCTAATAGATTCAGTATTAAGACTTTATGACTATTACCTTTATAATAATAACCGTTTATTTAGATCTTCTATTATACTATTCAATCTTTAATTTTCAATTTCGTAATGGTCTCTCTATTTTAATCTATCTATTATCAATTAATATTATTCTGTATTATTATAAGATAATAACTCCTTTAAATCTTTAATTTTAGTATCTAAATCAGAGAGTTGTTTTTATGAACTTTATTTAATTGAATTTATTTCATTTTATTATAATGACAAATAATTAGACTTGGTTTGATTAATATCTTCTTAATATTGTTATTCTTTTTTAATTACTTAAAACCTCAAGATATCATTATCTTATTAGAGTGTATTACTTTCTTAATCTATCTAATACTTTAATCTTTAATTTTAGTTATTTATATTCTGTATTTCTTAGTTTTTGATTTCTATCAAACATTTTAATTAATTGATTTCTTCCTTTAATATTTCTATCTAATTGTTATAAGCTACTTTAATCTTCTAAATCTCTGAATTTTAATTGAATTCCATTTTCATTTATTACTATTGAATCTAATTAATTTTGCTTTTTAGCTATTCTATTTCTCCATTAGATCTTAATTAAGCTTCAGAGACTTCTATTTTTGTTTTCTCTAAGGTGAAAGTCAAACTGTTAATGATTGTATTTTTTTCTGATATTTCATCTAATAGTTTATTTTATTCAATCTAATTTTCATTCTCATTTATTGATCTTTAGAATGTCTATATACTCATATTGGTTAAATTATCCCCTGTAGCTTTTTAATCAAAAAAACTATAGTTTCTTTATTACTCACATGACGTAATTCGTTCATTAACTGCTTATATCTCCTAATTTAATATTTTAATATCCTCATCATATTTACTCTTTAATTCATTTAATTACTTAGCAGTTTATTCGTATTTTTATTTCCATTGATCAATCTCTTATTGTTTTATTAAACATTTATTTTGTAATGATTGATTTTGTTATTATAACTTTTATTATTATGCTACTAGACTCTCCTCATGATTTTTATTATCAATTCCTACATTAGAGGAATACATGGAAGGATAGTTGCTTTCATTTCTATTGATTTATTATAAAAATTTTGCCACTTCAATACTAATTTCTTTGCATCTATTTTTGTTTTTATCGGGCTCTCCTTAAGTTAGATTGTTAAGAGTCTCTTTGTTTTAGGAAGAATAAGGTGATTGTGTTTTTAAGGTTTTACTTCTTTTAAATGCCCCGCCAACAGAACAATTTGATGGTGTTGAAATATATTAGCATTACATAGGTGAAACAGTTCTCAATTTACTTTATTGCATATAATTAATTTATAAAGAAATAATTAAATGACTTATAATCAAATAATTCATTTTCTATGTTTAATTAATCTATTATTATAAGTTATTAACTTATATTATAAAGTTTATTAATTCTTTTTTTTATAATTAAATACATGAAGTATTTTATAACGTCAATTTCCAATTTGAGAAATTCTAATAGATTAATTAATAAAATATAGATAAGCTTAGTTTTTTTAAATTAAACATATAAATATTTATTATCTTAAATAATTTCATATATTAAAAATTAAAGTACCATGATATTGAAAGCTATATTATTAAATAATAATTGTTTATTGTTTTAGATTTTAAATATTTTAAGCTTATGGAAATATAAAAGTTTAGATCATTTTTATTAAACATTATTAAATATAATGCTAATGATAATCTCTTAAGATTATAATTTTTACTTTATATAATTAACTGTATATGTCAACAGAACTTAAAAGACAATAAAATTTTTCTCGTGTTTAATCTACAAATATCAATAAGGCTGCTGAGTAATGGATAGTTGATACTTTAGCAATGGATATTAGATTTAAAACTTTGGAAGAAGTTGGAATTAGTAGACATTAATTAATGGTAAAATAAAATTGTAATATTAAAGGGTAGAGGATTAAAAAAGGATACAATTGATCGTCTATATAAAGGGTTGTATGTTTATTCTAAAGGATTTAATGAACTTTTAAATTAGTGTATTGGAGATGATATTTTAATAGTAAAAGGGTTGATTTGGAAAGTGTTCTTAATTTTATTAGAGAGATATAATAGTTCTGATTATTAAATGATGATGTAACAATTAATGGAATAACATTTTAAAGAAGTGAAGTAAGTAATAAAGGATAATGAGACAATAGGATTTTATAATTAAGAATTGCAAAATAAATTATAAGAAGAATAAGAGAAACAAGAAGAATAGATTTAAAATCATAATAAGATTGAATAAAACTTAAAATATTAATTAGATATATTGAATAATAGATATTTATTGGCTGATGATGCTGCTGAAAGAGAATTGGAGAAAAGATTTAGACTTGAAAACAAAACAGGATAAATAAGATAATAATTTAGTGAATTAGTATGTAAATAATAATTATTATTGGATGAATTGTAATATCTTAATAAATAATTATAATAAAAATAGAATTAAAATGAAGAATTATTGGATGAAAGATAAAATTTCTTAAAGAGAATAGAAAAATTAAATGAAGAAAACAATTCATTAAAAATTAAGATAATAGATTATACATCTACTATATCATTAAAAAATGAATTAATGAAGAATTCAGATGAATTGATAACTAAATTATAAAATCAAATTATAAAGTAATAACATTAAGCTACTACTTTTGTTACTAATCCATTTTTATAATTAAAATAAAAAGATGATGAATATTAATAATAAGAAGAAGAAAAATTAAAATAAGAAAATCAAGAACTTAGAAATAGAATAATGATTTATTAATAATAGATAGATATTTATATTTAATAGAAATCTTAAGATTTATTGAATTAGATTAAATTACTTGAAGATAGTTTGAGTAAATATAAATAATCTAATCAAGAATTATAGGATAAGTATTTTAATAAGAAACAAAAATTGAGTAATGTATTTAATTAAGTAATTTTTAGCTTAAACATAAATATAATACTTTATTAGTAGCTTAAGATATTACAAAAGGAAATTTAGATATAAATTTTAAGAAGATTGAAAATCTAGAAAATGCAAATAGTTTTTAAATTGTTAATAATTCCACTTTAAGTCAATATGTAGAAAGATTAACAAATTGTATTAAAAAGATGGAATAAAATGAAAAAATCTTGAATGATAGAATTCATTCTTAATTTGTATTCAATTTTTTATTTAATATTTTAGTAAACTATATAAACCTTATCATCATAAGTTGAAGTTACATCAAGATAAAATTAATTAAAAATAGATAATCTCAATCAATTATTACTATAAAAATCAATTTAAAATGATGAATTATAATTATTATATAAGGATTTAAAGTAATCACATTAAGTGATGTAGGAATAATATTAAAAGGAAGTTTTATAATTATAAGTATAAAATGAAGAACAAAAATAAAAAATATAAAATTAAGAAATTGCTTATTACAAATTAGAATAAAATGAAATATAAATTAAATTTGAATTAGAAAATTAAACCAAGTAAATAATTTATATTATTTTAGATAGTATTAAGAATACATATAAAAAAAAGAGGAATAAGTTAAATTGATAAATGATTAAGGGAGTAAAATAAGAAAACTTGAAAAAGATAATGCAAGAATAAATTAAGAATTGAATTGGGTAACAAATTAAAATTAAGGTTTTTCTGATAAAATAAAAAAATAATAGTTAATAATAAAAGATCTTTAAAAAGACTTAGATTAAGTAAAGATTGATTACTCATAAGCTTAAAGGGAATTTGAAGATATGAAATTTGATTATGATGAATAAATAATCTTCTATTAATAGAATATTCAGAGTTTGGTGAAATAGAGAAAAGAATTTGAAGAAGATTTAGTAATTAAATAATAAACGATTACTAAATAAGCTTAGATAATGGCTGATCAAGATGAAAAATTAAAAAGATAAGAGTTAAATTTAATGAATAAGGATTAAGATATAAAATTAATAGAGGAAAAATTAATGTTAGAATCTTAGAAATTTAATAATTTGATAATATAAAAAGAAGAATAAAGTGATTAACCTGATAAATCTACAATAATAAGTTAAAATATTTAAGAAATAATTTAAAAAAAATTGATTTAAAAAATAAAATAGAAGAGATAATAAGGTAATTCAAATTTAATTACAATAATTGATTCTATGGAAAATGATAATAGTATATAAGATATAATAGAACATCAATTATAAAATGATAGTACACTAGAAAACTTATTGAATTCAATTGTAGAAGGTCCAAAAATATAGACATCTTCAACATAATAATTATACAATAATGGATTTTAAAAATAATCCAATTTTTAATAGAAATCTTAGAGTATTCTACAAACATAAAATTAAACAAAACTTAAATAAAATTTAATTGGATCTAAACCAATAAAACCTTTACCATAATTTAAATAACAATAAACTATTGAAATTTTACCATAAATATTAACTAAAAGTAATGATATTATTTCAAATCAATCATCAAGAAATAAAACAATTAAATCTTCTTAAAAGAGACCAAGTAAAAGTATGTAAAAGTCAGAAACTACTTAAAATTATAATACTCTATAATAAAATTAGCCAAAATAAACATATTAATCAGATAGTAATTTGATCTAATAATAAAATTAATCTAGAAATTAAAATTTGTCCTTTTAAGTAAATGTAGATACATCATTTTAAGAAACTGGATAATTCCCAACTCAATTTATGTCATAAATATATTAAGGTGGAGAACAAATAAATTATAAAACAATTTCAGAAAAAGAATTAAAAGTGGATGGAGAAAATTAAGAATAAAGAAGGTAATCTTAATCTAGACCAAGAAAATCATCTGTAACTAAATCAAAATAATTCACTTAACTTTATAAAGTAGTAGCTGATTATTATACTTAATGTTAATGATTAGTTATATAAACAATAGTAAAATTTAGTATTATATTTATATAATTATTGCTTAATTTTGTAAATACGTCATAATTAAATATATATCTATATGCAAATTTCTAAAAAAGCACATTCGTCTCTAAATCTTGCCAATAATGACTTATTGCAAACACCAGATAAAAAACCCACAAATCATCATGTTAATAAATCAAACAAATAAGAAGAAAGTACAACAAAAGAACCAATTGAAGTAGATGTATTAACTTACAATCATCCTTCAAATAATTGGAAATTAATTCCTGTTTCAAATATATTTGGAGCATATAAAAGAGTTAAGAATGTTATAACTAGAACACCAACTCAAAAATCAATGAAATTATCAGAATATTTTGGAGCAAATATTTATATAAAACGAGTAAATTATATATATAGATTTAGGAAGATTTGTAAATTGTTAGAAGTTATAAATTAAGAGGAGCATATAATAAAATAATATCTATACCAGAGAGTGAAAGACATCGTACTGTATTTTGTTCTAGTGCTGGTAATCATGCTTAAGGTGTTGCTTATGTGTGTAATTTATTGAAAATCAATTGTATTATTTATATGCCTACAAATACACCAAGTATAAAGTTTAATGCTGTAAGGTAATCTAAAATTAATATATAGATCATGGGGTAAATAATATGTCCAGATTGAATTGGTTGGAGATACTTTTGATGAGAGTTTTAGAGCAAGTAAAGAAAGATGTAATACTGAAAACGGAATATATGTACATGCTTTTGATGATGAGAAAATTATAGAAGGCTAAGGAACTATTGCTGTTGAAATATTAGAAGATATTCCTGAGAGTAAAATTGACTTTGTATTCTTTCCTGTTGGAGGTGGAGGATGTGGAGCAGGAATTTCATCTTATTTTAAATAAGTAAATCCTGAAACAATCTTAATTGGTGTTGAACCAGAAGGGTATAATTTAAATATTATTATTTTAGTTCACCTTCAATGTATGAAGCTATTAAATAATAACAAGTTGTAGAATTAGATACAATTAATACATTTGTAGATGGAGCTGCTATTAAAAAATCAGGTGCTAAACCTTTTGAAATTTTGAATTCAGTATTAAAAGATATTGTCTTAATTCCAGAAGGACATGTTTGTACAACAATGATGAAATTATTTAATGAAGAAGGAATTCTTGTTGAACCTGCTGGAGCTTTAGCAATATCTGCTTTGGATAAATTCAAAGATTAGATTAGAGGAAAAACTGTAGTTTGTTTGATTTCTGGAAGTAATAATGATTTAGGAAGAATGACTGATATTAGAATGCTTTCAGAAATACATTAAGGTTTATAATATTATATGTTTGTAAATTTCTTTTAAAAACCTGGAGCATTAAAATAGTTTATTATATAATGTTTGGGTACTCTTATTAATATTTTATAATATAGGACCAACAGATGAAATCACTAATTTAGAATACACAAGAAAAAATAATAGAGAAAAGGGACCAGCATTAGTAGGAATAAAAGTAAAGAAACCTTAAGATTTTGAAGCTATTAAAAATAAAATGGAAGAATTAAAAATTACACATAGAATATTATAACCAAATCAAGAGATTTTTAAAATGTTATTGTGATTTACAATATCAAATAAATTATAAAGATATAATTACATTATCATATAGTATATGTATTATTACTCTTATTAATCATGTGATATTTTGTAAAAAAGAATCTATTTATTAAGTTAAGATATTTATATTTAAAAAGTAGAAGATAAGATTTGATTTATTTTTATAATGAATTAATTTTATAATTAATATTATAAATGATTAATGAATAGGTGAATTAATATCACATAGAAATATCATACACTAACACTTCTCAAATACATTTCTAAAACATTTGTAAATCTAAGGAAACAAGGACAATAGATATATTTAATATCACTTCCTAATAATCCATCAAATTCCCACATTAATTTTAATGCATTTAATAAATGTTCTTTGAAATCTACTTTAAATTGTTATCCATATTAATGACTAAATATAATAATTTATAAATGTTTACAAAATATATAAATAGATATCTGATCTAGAATCTTCAGCAAAAAGGATATCTTACATACTTTATAATTGATTCTAATCTCTATTAGTCAAAAGTGTTTTAATAATCAAATTATCAAATTTTTCAATAAGAAGAAACTTCTTCCATGGTTTAGTTGTTTTAATCATCTAACTTAGGATTTCAAAAGTTGTTGCATATGGAAGATGTTTAAATTATTTTTCTGCATTTTCAATTATATTATCAATTTGAATTATTGTTTATTGTTATGTTGGCTTAACTGATCCTCCTGATGATTCTAAAAAACTAATAAATAAATATTTAAAAAAAGTAATACCTATCATTAGAGATATTGACAATTTCTCCTCCTTGAATGGGTAACAATGCTTGATCTATTTCAAAATCATTTTGTTCTAAAACTGTACCTTTTTCAGGAACATTTGATTGATTTAATTCATCATATTATATCTATTAATAATATAGATTAAGCATCTTATTAAATTTATTCTTAATGGGTGAGGTTTTACCCAATAAATAATGTTACAATACTCTTTATACTAGTAACTCTTGTTCAGGTAGTTTATCTAGATCATTACCAAAATATAGTTTTAGATCTTATTAGAAACCTTGAAGAAGAACTATTCGAAGCATTTAGGATATAGTGTCAAATTATTGAATGATGTCAATCACTTCTTCATCAGCATAAATTTCATTGAAATGTAAAAAGTAATTAGCAATTAGTAAATTAAAGAAATTTGATTGTTTAAGTTCTATTTCTTATTTCATTCTAGAATAAAACTCCAATTTTGTCTCTGGATCTTTTTCAGTAATTGATAACAATCTTGGGGCATTACAATTCAAGATTAATTATGCCACTACATTCTATATACATAATGATCAAACCTTATGAAAAATGATGATCTCATGGTATTAGATTTATGATATCAATTGATTATTCAAGTTATTTAGTTTTTTGTGGAATAGATGCTTACGTTTGTCAAAAGGTTCATCAATTTATTCAACACAACAAATATTTGTATTTCCCATAAATTTTATATAAGATAATAAAAATAATGATTCATCCTTGTATTTGTTTTTGGGATTAGATTTGGGATTTCTGATTTGGTGTTTAAGCTTTTATAGGAGTTGTCTCATGATTTAATTCTTCTACATCTTCAACAGCCAAATATTCAACTATGTCATTATTAACTTTAGTGACATAATTTTGTAAATAAGCTGGATAATTCATGGTTGCTTAAGTATTACCACATTAAATAATGATCATGATTAAATTTAACATCAGTTCTGTCCAATAGTACCCAGCACTGGCTTAGAATTTGTCCACAGACTTCTATTATTATAATTTATAACCTTGGGAAGCATAACACTTGGAGCAGCCCAAAATACTATGAAATATGCTAGATGCCACAAATAAACCAAGATTCCAAAGATTTATATCAAACTTCTAAAGCTACCTAGGAATGTACTTATAGCATAAACACTCAATGCTAGATAGATGTAAGTAGGTCCCCAATAAATCACATAAGGAATTCTTGGATCAAATATAATTTTATCTGTGACTACATTCTAAGCAGGATATGTATCAAAAGCAACTGTAAATACAACATAAATCCAATAGCAAATTAAAGAAATGTATTCAACTTTATATTAAGTTAGATAGATAGGTGAGCCATAACTACTTAAAAACATGGCGTAGTGATATTTACCAATTTTAGGATTTGGTGGTTGATTGTGATTGTGAACAGAGACTTTATGCGAAGCATTTTGTGTTGTTTTCATTTGTTAGAGTATTTTAATTATTTAAATTAAAATAACAAAGATTTTAATCAATGAAGGCCGAACAATAATAAAAGGGGGCAACCAAAACAGTTAAGAAAGTGAAGGTTAATAACAAAGCACCAGTTAGGTACATTGAATATTTGAAAAAGATTATGGGTTAAGGCTGCTTTCACTGGTTTCAGAAGATCTAAAGTTTAATAAAACGAGAATTAAGCATTGTTAAAGATTTAACATGTTGATGATGTCTCATCTAGCAGATTTTATTGGGGCAAAAGAGTAGCATATATCTACAAGGCTCACTCTCTTAAGAACAACACTAAATTTAGAGTAATTCATTATCCTAATATATTTAGACTATATGGGGTAGAATCAGCAAATCACATGGATCAAATGGAGTTGTGATTGCTCGTTTCAATAGAAATCTTCCACCAAGAGCCATTGGATCTACTTTGAGAGTATTCCTTTATCCAAATAGGGCTTGATCCAATATATTAATATGTACATTTATTTCCAGAAATTAAATAAAACAAATTTATTTTTTCAAATATGAGTCAACCACCATAGGCATCATAATCATAATAACAAAAGGCCAATACATTCAATAAATCAGAAAAAACTAAAGATATCAGATTAACAAATATCTAAGCTGCTAAAGGTAAACAATCTAACATATATATTAAGCTGTATCTGATGCAATAAGAACAAGTCTAGGACCTAGAGGAATGGATAAAATGATTTAAGATGCCAAAGGTGAAGTACTCATTACAAATGATGGAGCCACTATACTCAAATAAATGGATTTGGTTCATCCTACTGCAAAAATGGTAATCTATTAAATATTAAAAAAAGCTAGTTGAAATTTCTCATGCTTAAGATGTTGAAGCTGGTGATGGAACTACTTCAGTTGTAGTATTTGCAGGAGCCTTATTGAAATCATGTGAAGTCCTTTTAGAGAAAGGAATACATCCAACCACTATTTCAGAGGGATTTTAATATGCCTTGGAAAATGCATTAGAAGCTTTAGATGAATTAAAAAAACCTGTAGATCTAGAAAATAAATAATAATTGATTGAATGTGTTTAAACAGCACTTTCATCAAAAGTTGTTTCATCTAATAGTGCATAATTGGCTCCACTTGCTGTAGATGCTGTTTTGAGAATAGTTGACCCTCTTAAACCTGATAATGTTGATCTTAAAGACATTAAAATTGTTAAAAAATTAGGAGGAACAATAGACGATACTGAATTAGTTGAAGGAATTGTATTCTCTAATTAAAAAGCAAGTTAAACAGCTGGAGGACCATAAAAAATAGAAAATGCTAAAGTTGCACTTCTTTAATTTTGTTTATCAGCACCAAAAACAGATGTTGAGAATTCTATTGCAATTAAAGATTATACAGAAATGGATAAAATATTGAAAGAAGAAAGAAAATATATTATAGATCTTGTAAAAAAGATAGTAGCATCAGGTGCAAATGTATTATTAATACAAAAAAGTATATTAAGAGATGCAGTTAATGATCTTTCATTACACTTTTTAGCAAAGAAAGGTATAATGGTAGTAAAAGATATTGAAAGAGAGGATGTCGAATTTATATCTAAGGTATATTTATATATTAATAATTATTATTTAGACCTTATGTTTAGTACCAGTTGCACATATAGATTAATTGACTCCAGAAAAGTTAGGAAATGCTGGACTTGTTGAAACAGTTTTCTTGAATGATGAAAGTAAAGTATTGAGAATTACTGGAATGCCTATTTAATCTAAAGCTTTAACAATCTTAGTTAGAGGATCAAATTAATTAGTTTTAGATGAGGCTGATAGAAGCATTCATGATGCTTTATGTGTTGTTAGAAGTCTTGTTAAAAGCAAAGGTTTAATTCCAGGAGGAGGAGCACCTGAAATTCATTTATCATTAAAATTAACTTAAAAGGCTAATACTTTAACAGGTGCAAGATCTATGTGTGTGAGAGCATTTGCTGAAGCACTTGAAGTGATCCCTTATACTCTTGCAGAAAATGCGGGTAAACAAAGTTTATACTCAATCTATAGGATTGAATCCAATAAATGTAGTTACTGAGTTAAGAAATAGACATCTTAAATCATAAAAGTTTGCAGGAATAGGAATGAAGAAAGTAATTATTATTTAATAGTAATTTAAGAATAATATTGTAGATGATATTACAAATGAATAAGTAGTTTAACCAATTTTAGTAACAAGAAGTGCATTGAGTTTGGCTACAGAATGTGTTAGAATGATTCTTAAGATTGATGATCTAGTCATATCAGCCCGTTGATGTTTAACATTTATTTTAGAAATATAATAATAATAAATTAATTAATGCTAACAAATACAAGATCTAATCCTACTATTAAACCAGTATTCAAATTGAAACAATTTTTGAATACTATTGTTGTACCTGACTCTTGTAAAGATACAACAAATAGATTAAAGAATTCAATTGAAAGTTCAAGATTTGCATCATATCATAATATCAGTAATTCTGTTCGTAAGAATATAATAATAAACTAACAATATGTATTACCTAGTATCACAAATAGAAAATCTCTCATGATTGAACCTAATCAAACTCCTACTTTTACAATTGATAATGTATAAATGGAATAAAACATGAAAAATAATACTAAACAAATTAAAAAACATTTTAGATAATTAAAGAATTTTAGTATTGCTTAGAATTCAAATGATAATCTTAATTCAACAAATGAAGAATTATTAATTTTATAATCAAATAAAAATAGTCCAAAAAAATACAAAACATCTAATAAATAGGAATAGTAAAAGTCAAGAAAGTAAAAATTAATTGACTTTTTAAAAGGTGAAAATTAAGGCTTATAATTTACATAATTATTACAAAAAAAATAAACAAAATAGTAAACTTTATTTCCTTCTTTCACAATTAAAAAATATCAAGAACTCTAATTTTGAAATTTTGTTTTGTATTATTATTTTTTTTTTTCAATTATAATGCTAGATAATCCAAAAATATAATTAGAAACAGACATCATTCTTTAAGGAATGGAATACATAATTAGTATGTAAGCTAGTGATCATTTACTGTATAAATAATTAATAAATCTTAGTTACATAGAATTAGAATCCAAATATGAACCTCAAATATGGAAAAATACTTATACCATTGATTATATTGAAGAACTTACTCGTAAAACAGGAAATCCAAAAAAATTCAATATATTTCTCTCCATGTTATAAACTGCATTACAAAAAACTAATGATAATGTATAATTATAATCTAAATAGGTTTTATTTGAAATTTTAACATACCAAGATCTTGAGAATCTCAAATAATAGAAATAATAAGATCAAAGTAATATGTCTAGAACATCATCAACTAATTAGAAAGTCAATAAACGATATTTAATTTTGTCATATTAAACTGATTTTGAAAAAATTCATTATCCTTTGGCTTTAAATTATGAGGAATAAATTGAAAATTCTAGATTAATGACCAAAATTCAGAATCTAAAAACAGAACTCTTTGATTACAAACTTTAAAAATCAAATGATGCAGAATTTTAAGCATCTAATTCATTTTCCAAAAGTAAAAGGGATATTTAAACTCCTGATTCTTTAGTGAATTAAAATGAATTATTGAAAGCAAAAGTAAAGAGATTAGAGGAAGCTTTGACTTAAAAAAAGGGAGCAGTTGAAGTAGATTAATTAGTTCGAGATAATGAAGACTTGTAAAATATGTTAAATACTTCTAAATTATTATATGAAGATAAAATTTTAAAGTTAGAACAATAACTGAATTAAAAAAGTACAGAAATAGTAATGTAAATGGCTGAAGTACATATAAAGTTAATAAAGATTAGATAAATGCATTTAAGAAAGAATTGACATAATTAATTGGCAAAGTAGAAATGGATACTCGAATCAAAGATCATATAAGGTTGATGAATGAAGAAGAAGAAAGTAAATTAGTGAAAGCTTAAAAAACAATACAAAAATATGAAAAAGAAGTTGAAGGCCTTAATTAGTATGTAATTGATAAAATCATAGATAAATAGATTCGTTAAAGAAATAAGACGCAGTATAAAAGAGAAGAATAAATCAATTAGAAACTGAACTATCTTAATCAATGAAAAAGTTTAGTTACAAAGGAGTTACTGATAGACTTTATTCTCCCTATAGTAATCATTCAAATGGAAGCAGAAAGTCTAATTATTCAGTTCCAAATAGATTAAATTCAAATAATTCATCTGGAAATGCTTCTCCTAATGTAAGACAGGCATCTCCAGCATTAAGCAAGAATTCACGTACTTCTACTCAAAATTCAGTAATATAAATTTAAATTCTTAGGCTGCATATCAGAAACCTAAGTTTTATAATACATCTCCATTGAATAAATAACCAATTTAGAAGAAACCTTCTCCAGCAAGACCACAATAATAGATGAAACCTACTCCTAATAGGGCATCTCCAATAGTTTAATAGAAACCATCTCCTGGAAGAAACAATATATTTAGATAGCCTTCTCCACCTAGATAAAATTATTAATAACATAAGATCCAGTAATAATAATAAGTGAAATAACGAACAAATTAATCTGCTAATAATTATAAATAGCCAATAAAGTAGGTGCATTAATATGAAAGGAAATCTGGTAATGCTACAGATTTGGATAATAAAATAAATAATTTAAAAAATATATTATAAAGAGCAAAAAGATGATTGAGTAATACATTAAATAAAATGAAATAAAAATTTATTGGACCAAAAAATCTTATAAATTTATCATTATTTTGTTTTTTTAGTTGGTTTTGGACTTGATTCTTCTTCATCTTCATCATCATCTAAATCACCATCGTCATCATCTATTTCATTATCTGATTCATCTGAATCATCTCCTACTGCACCTTCTTCATCATCATCACTATATTAAATATCATTTCCATTTTTATCTTTGTTATCTAAAACCTACAATCCAGGAACTAAATCAAACACTTTTTAGAAGTATCCTTATTATTTAGCAATAGGATTATCTGATAAATCTAATTGTTGTAATTTTTTCAATTATTTAATTGGCTCCAAATCCTAATGATAAACTTAATAAGATACATCAAATGTTTTGATTTAGTTTTCCGCTAAACTTAAACACATTAATTTTGGATATGTGTTGGCAATGAATTTAATTGCATCTCCCTCCAATTAATTAGTTTCCAATACCAAATTCTATAAATTTGGTAATTTAGGAAATCCCTCAAGTGTTTTTAAGGAGCACTCTACAAGACTTAAAGATTCTAGCTGACTTTGAGATTCAAGAAGTTCAGCTGCTTATCTGTCTAATTTAACAATCTTAATGTTGTCAAGATCAAACTCCATTAATTTGCCATCTTGCTCTTGTGTTTTTAATTTGATTTCTTTTTTAAATATGTCTAATATGTTAGCCATTTATTAAAATATTTAATATCATTTAATTAACTATTACGCTATATGCTAAAAAGGGTGATCAATGTCTTGATTACGTGCCTATTTTAATAAAAATAATAATTTACTGTTGATAATGAAAAGAATGACAATCCCAATTAACTTGCTAATTGCATTCCTTATTTATTTTCTATCTTTCTAATTGCTTATAAGTCTGATTTCATTGCAACTAAAACACCTGGCAACTTCTTTCCATTAGCTTTAGTGACTCTCTCAAACCATTCTTTAGCTGCCTCATATGTAGTCTCTTTAGTCATGTCATAACATAAGAAAACAAAGTTGGCGTCTTTTAACTTGAATAATATTATTTAAATTTAACTATGTTGGATTTTAAAATTGCTTATTCATAGATTTCAGATCCTGCTATATCAAATAAGTATAATTCGACATCTTTTTCTTCAGATTCAAATGGAATCAATTTTGTAGATATTTCAGCTATTTGAGTCTATTATTATTAAATTGAAGTGATACTAATTGATAATCCTTTAAAAAATTGACTTCTCCAGTAGTATACAATTAGATTAAAGCAGATTTACCAACTGCAGAGCTACCGACCACTAATACCTTTGCTGTTACTTTTCTCATTTAATATTAAATAATTTAAAAAATAATATAAGATCAATATATTATTCATTTTTGTCTGATAGTATTTAAAAAATTACCTAGATTTGCTTTTTTACCATATAAAACATATTCATATTATACTGACTTTTTTTTTGTTTCTTTATCTATTAAATAGAATTCATAATACTTTAAAAATGACCAGGTCCATAAGCTTTTTTCAAATCTGCTTATTTTTTTGTAAGTGTAGGTAATTTGACTGAATCTAAAAGCTATTAATTTCTAGTTTTAAAAGAGTTTTGTAATATTTTATTTGTTTGATTGAACAAAGTTTTTTTATGTAATATGTGAGATGTATTTTATTCTTCTTCAATAAGGGAATCATCACCACTATTTTAATTAATAATAATAAATACTGTTTTTTAAGTAATTTGATTGATTATAGACTTGTTTCTAATAGTTTCTGTTATTCTTAATCTCTTAATTCTTTAAAATATGGATGTCTAAGTGCTTATTTTGCATTGATTCTCTCTTCTGGATCATAAATTAACATTTGTTTTATTAAATCAACTAAATCTTTAGGAGCATGTGGAATTAGATTTTCTAAACCAGTTCCAACTTTAGAAGGGAAATTAATTTCCATATGTGATGCATGTTTCCTAAATCTATCAAGCACCTTAGGATTTGGAGTGCCTAAAATGTTATGTATCCTATGAACTTAATCTAACTCATTGCTTCCAGGAAACAAAGGAAATAATGCAGTAATTTCAAATAATACACATCCTGCTCCCCAAATATCCATTTTACTATCATAATAACCATCTGTCATTAAACATTCAGGTGATCTATACCATCTTGTAGATATATATTCTGTATATGGATGTTTAGAATATATGCCTTTACAAGATCCTAGGTCTGCTAATTTTAGATGATCATTTAAAAGTAAAATATTCTCACTAAATATTGAAAATAGTATTACGGTTTAATATCTCTATGAAATATATTGTTTGTATGCATAAAATCTATTGCTTTGAGCAATTAATACATATAACTTCTTATTTTGTCTTATTTTAATGATACTTTTCGACCTATTTAATTATATAAGATTCATACCCTTAATATGTTCATAAAGGTTTTATTCCATTAATTCGAATACTAAAGCTAATCTCCCAGTGGGTTCATCACTAAATATATTATTAATTAATTATTACTATAACACTTCTATTAATTTTATTATATGATCATGATTTTATAACTTTCTTAATGCTTGAATTTCCTTCAATTTGTTAACCAAAAATTAGAAATAATTAAATACTTGATCAATTGTTTAAAAAACTTGTTTCATGCATTTTATAGCAACTAACTAACTTGTTTTTATAGACTAAGCCTTTATAACTTCTGAAAATGTGCCTTCTCCCTTCTTAGTTATTAGTTTATAATCTATCCATCTTAATAATGTAATTACTTTGCATTTCCAAATTTTTATTTTATAATATAATCAAATTTTTATAATCATCTCAATAAATCCTGTAATAAACTATTAAAATTTAATCAAATGAATACACTAATTATTATAGAAGATATAGTAGATATAGAAGTTATCAGAATATTAAATATAAAAATTAATTGATACTTCATTAGAGTAATATATATATATGTAACAATTTCATTATTATTATATATATTTATGAACTTTGAGTTTTATATTCAAATATTTTAATGTTATTTTGGTTATTCTATCATTAATTTATAATATTATTATATCATCAAATATATTAAATATTTTCATAATATAAAAATATTTATGGATACATTTATTTCATTAAATCACAAAAAAATACTTAATTATAATTCATATAAAAAGTAAATCTTTTTTTATTATATTATATATCGATCTATTTATTATTAAACTATTTACAACAGCCTTAATTCAATTAATTATAAATTATCAAAACGAATTAATTTTTAATATGAAAATATTCTTATTAATATTATTTGTTATTAGTTCTGGACAGACATTCTTATAAGACTTCCATAATTGGGTTTAAGATAATTTAGACTTGTTAGATGGTTTTATACAAGATTCAAAAAACCCAATCGATGCTTTTTAGCTATAATAAGTTCAATTAAATGGAAAATAATTTATTTCTTTAACAAACGGATGGTTAAGTTAAGAAACTTTTGATAATAGTTATGCTAAGCAATACTTTACAATAATTACATCTAAATTAGCTATTTTAGCAGTTGATGTTAGAGAAAATATAAAATTTGTGATTAATAAAGAATAAACTAATCCTCAAATTGTAATGTTTGAATAAGAGAATTATAGAGGAATGAATATTAAAACTGATAGTTAAAATAGATTAGTAATTTATCCAAGAGTAAATGAAGTTGTATCATAAAAATAATAGGAAAACAATCAAATAATCGAATTCTCAAATATACAATAAGAATAATTTCTCATATATATTATATATGGAACAGAAACAGAACTTAGAGATGCTTAGAATTTATTCAATTTCATTACTGAATTCATTGAATTAATCGAATCATAATAACCACCAAAAAATAAATAATGCAAACCTAAAAGTGCTAACAAAAAAAAATCTACAAAATCTGGTTCAAAATAATCTAAAAAATAACCTTAAGCAAATGGTAAAGCTACTCAATCAAGAGGTAGTTTAAAGGATAAAGATAATAATGAAAAATAAAAATAATCATCATTAAAAGACCATTAATAATAATAGGGAGATGATTTTAATAAAAAAATAGAAGATTTAGATAATTCTGGATTAAAATAGAATGGATCTTAATCAAATAATAATGATTTATTAACAGATTAAGAAAATGATAAAGGAAAGGGTGATAATGGATTAGGAGATAAAGAATAAAATGGTACTATGAATGATAATAATGGTGATAATAATAGAAATGGTAAAGATGGAGATGATAATGAAAATTAAAATGGAAATGGAAATGGAAAAAAAGATGGTTAAGGTGATAGTTCTAATAATGGAGATGGAAATGGGGATGGTAATGGAAATGGAAATGGAAATGGAAATGGAGATGGGGTTGGAAATGGAAATGGAAATAAAGATGGAAATGGAGATGGAAATAAAGATGGTACAAATAAAGATGGATTAGAGAATGGAACTGATTCCAATAAAGGAGATAATTCTGAAAATGGAAAAGATAATTAATTAGGATAAAGATAAGATGGGAATAACAAAGATAATGATGGAAAAGACAATAATCAAGGAAATAAGGATTAAGGATCAGAAAATAATAATAATAATGGTAATGGAGATTAAAATAAAGATACTAATAATAAAAATCAGAATTTAGGAGATGATAATGATGAAAAAACTTAAAAGTGTGTTAATTTATATTCAGAATGTTATTTCAGTGGTGATAGCATAGAATTATGTGGTAGTCATGCTGAGATAACAGATAAACTTTAGAATTTTAAAATTAAATCAATAGAAATGGATGATGGGATAGAGGTTTCCTTTTTTGGTGAAAATCATTTTGAAAATCAGGTCATTACAATAACTGATGATGTGGAATGTTTAGATATACCAATAATTTTAAGTCCAACAGACATTGAAGAATTGATACAGATTTTAAAATGAAATATACATAATCATTGGAAAACTTACATTTCTCCTTGTTGAGGTATTACTAGAAATTTGAAGTTGTTAATGAACATCATAGTTTGGGCATTCTATTTTGTGTTCTTTGTTTATTAAATAGTTTTGATAATTTTTTCTTTTCTTTAATCAAGAGCAATGATATTTGTCTCACCATTTGCCTATTATACGGCTAGAATATCATTACTAATTCTACATAAATACCAAATGCTATTAGTTTCAATCCAATTCATGGATACTTATATCTATTATATTAATTATGGTTATTCAACTTAATAAATTTTTACTTAACCATTATAATTAGCAAATGCAAATAATTCACTATTGATTGATGTAACACAATTTACATAAGTGACATCTTTAATAATAAATTTAGTTTTTCCAGTTAGATAATCTATTACAGCTACAGTATAATCTCTACTACAAGAAGCAATTTAAGTTCTTGATATTTTACATAAATCATTAATCCAAGCAGAATGAACATTAAGTTCATGTGCTAACTCTTTTTCATTTAATTTCCAGATTCTTATTTTTGAATCATCTTAACACCAGGCAATTTATGAATAAGACAAAGGCACAATTTTTCTTAATTATTTAGAATGACCAATTACATCACCTACTCTAGATCTTAAATCCACATTCCATAAATAAATTTAATATTCATCTTTATCTTTGCCTCTAATATAAAATTGAATTTTTACGCGCTTAAAAGAAATTATGTATTTTAATTATCTTTAATTGCAGCTAATGATATACATTCAACACCATGTTAAAATTTATGTAATTAAACAAAATAAGGTAATTTCCAAAGAGTTATTTCACCATTTTCTTCTGCTGAAGCTAACATAGAATTTGATATTAAACAAATATCAGCAATATTTTTAGATTTATTTTATATTGTTTTATATGATTTCAAATTTTTCATTTGATTTTCATATGTTTTACTTTAATGAAACTATGATTATTAATCAATTAATTATAGATTTAATTCTGAATTATCTATTACACAATTTAATAGCTAAAATATTTATAATACTATAAACCTATTATTCACAACAATATATAAAATTACTAAATAATTAATTTAGTAATTAAACATTCTTTAATAACTTTTTTTGGAATCTACTTTAATCGGAAACAAAGATCTTACTAAATTCAGAAACTTTTAAATAATCATTATATATAAGTTTTGAGAGTTATGAAGTTTATTTAGTAAGATCTATTAAATTTGTTTCAAATAACTCTTAAACAAATTAATGAGGTAATTCAATATTAAAACTAGTTTCATTAATAACTTTAGTAATAAATTTGATTTCTAATTCATCTATTTAATTTATTATTTCTTATCTAATTTAATTAAAATAATCTCTAATTGAAGAAAGAGATTTAAATTTTTCATTTTATATTACATCTAATTATTAATTTGCTAATTTCAATTCTAAAACTCTAAAATAATCTTCAATATCAGTTATATTAGGACATTAATGTTAACATTCTTCACATAAACCTCCAACTAAACATCCAACAGTTGTACAAATAAATTTAGCTATATTTCCATGTTATTCACAAGTTCTCTCTTCAGAATTTGTTTATTGATAATTTTTATTTTAAAACTAATATTAATGATTTCCATTTTTAAAATACTTATCAGATGCTCCTTTCTTTTTCTCAGATCCTTAACTACTAAATTATTATTTTTCTTAAGGTTCTGATTATTAATAAAATGGATTTGGACTTTATGAAAATGCAAATCCTTTTTGTTATGAATCTATTTAAGATCCTATTTTAGCTCCTGATTATCTACTACTATCATTTTATTTATAGAATGTCATATGTTAAGATGATTAAACCTTATTTGGATCAAAAATCATGTTATGTTAACTGTCATTACCTTAAAATGTAATATTTTTTGGTCTAATATCTCCAAATCTGCCTGTGCCATATACATTGGAAGAATTAGATTGAAAAACATTTTTGTCATCTGTTTATGGTTGAAATGAAATATTTTATCTCATAACAGAATATATAATTTTTATTCATTTGTATTTCTTTAAATTTTATTGATTTATCTATTGCATTTATTCGAATAATGTATGTCCTGGTTCAAATTCTTAGATTTCATCTTATTATAAATCAGTAATCAAGAATAAATCTTCTTAAATTTTTAGATGATGAATTCTCTCTATTTTTCTAATTATAATTATTATTTATATTATACTTTTTTTATATTTATGATGGTATTTCTTCTATATTAACATCAGCTGTAAATGATTTCCTTCCAACATCTAAAAATTACTATTATTTTGTATTTTTCTCATTATCTTGAGAATTTCTTATTTCTTCTTTACTCCACTCAAATTTTTGATCAAATGGATATCCTAAAGTTTAATATAATTTCTTAAAAGATTATTAAATATATTCATAATTTGGATCTCCATCAAATGAAATATTTTAAATATATTTAAAATAATCTTCAAATGTTTTAGGTAATCCAATACTATATTATATTTATATTATTAAATTACCATAAATCTTCTATAGATGTATTCATCTTTTTCTATCCTATTAATTTTATTTTTTCTTCTGGAGTTTCTGCATGAATATGCATCCATGGTAATGAACCTTTTAAAAAATAAATAGCTAAATATCCTAAACTTTCTAAATCACTAGCTCTATTTTAAGATAAGCTCAAATGAGAACAGATTGGGCAAAATCTAGGCTTATCAAAGTTAATCATTAAAATACCTTGGAGTTCCAATTATATTTTCATTTTTCTATCTCTCTATATGCTAACCTTATTCTCTATATTTTGATGCAAATCCAAAATCAATTAGATATATTTCATCTTCTTTTAAACCTGTCATAAAATTCTCTGGTTTTATATCTCTATGTATGTAATCATTCATATGTAAATATTATAATCTTTCTATTGCCTAATCTAAGAACATTAGAACAGTTTTTAAAGAAAATACTTTTTTTGGAGTTTACATTAACAATTAATACAAGTTTTATCCTAATAAAGTTTATACTATAAAGCTTTCAGTTTCATTTTAAATAAAATAATATAAGCGAGGAAATCCAATATGTCCATTTAATTTATAAAGTACGTCTACTTCATTCTTTACAGATTTAGTAAGAATTGGATTTTTTCCTGTTGATAATATCTTAACTGCATAATATTCTTGTTTAATTTGATGAATTGCTAAGTAGATATGACCAAAGGAACCTATAAAATTAATGAAAAATTTGAACCAGAATTTAATGGACTAAGAATTCTATAGTTTTTACAAACTACTTTATCAATCCATTTGTTTTCAATCTATTTTTAACTTAATTTTTCACTTCTTTTTGAAATTGACATATTGTATTAAATTATTTGTTTGTAATCTATTTTTATTATCAAAATTATTTATCAAAATCTGTTAATGTTTTAATTCAATAAATTATATCTTTTTTGTAGAATATTATGATACTCATATTTATTGTTATTAAATTCTTATCAATAATCTTCACAATTACAAATAATAATCATAATAATATAGTTAATCTTAAATCAAGTAGTAAATTTAATTAATAAATATATGTGTGACCCTTATATAAAATAAAATGATTGTAAAATAAAGTGCTTTCCAAATCAATGAAATTAAATGGTTTATACAAACAACAAGAATGCCTGATCAAGTCCTTATCAATCTATTTGATCAAGATATGTAAGGAACAGAGTCTTTAGTACTTGCAATAGCTACACCTTATGATCAACTTCCCACTGTGATAGATATCATTGACAATTAAACTGAAATGGTGCATACACTTGCTCGTTCGTTGGCTAAGAAATTGAGTTTATAAGTGTTCTTGAATTACAACCATTCAAGTGAATTGACCTTAGAGATATTCCAATAATTGAGAGAGAAATTAATTGAATCAATAATATAATAATGATAAAGGTCTATAATCCTGAGTTGCTTATTTCTGATGCATAGGATAAATTAACATAATTAGTTAGGGATGACTTTAAGCCCTTTATCCTTAGATGTGAATAGCATAAGTTATGTGTCTTAGAAAATGAAAACTTAATTCTTTTCTCTCTTCTTTTCGATAAATGTTAACCAATTATTGATGAAGCATAATTGTATAAATGATTATAATAAATAAGAACGATTACATTTGTAAGTTAGAAAGATGAATCAAAAATTATAGCAATTAAGTTTATAGACAAAAAAAGAATGTCTTATTTACAACATAATGTAAATCAATCTCATGATATTTAGATAAATTCAAGGAAAACCTATACAAAGTATATGGGACCATTGGCATATCAACCAGTAAGAAAAGAAAGAACATCATTATTAAGTACAGAATCACCAGAATAGAATTTTCGAGGAATATTAAATCTGGCAATATTGATATTAATAGCTAATCATATTAGATTAATATTCGAGAATTTTTAAAAGTATGGTTTGTTAATAACAAATGTATTTTGGAAGTTTGAGATGATGCATATCAATGGTAATCCAATTATGTAAGCTTTATTAATGTTATTAATTAATGTATTGACTGGATTTGGAATTCAATATTTATAATTTAAAAGAGATATTAATACAGGCATTATTAGAGCTTTTAATATTATCAATATTGTATTGACTATTATAATACCTTGTTATTTAATTTAAGGATCACATCCAGGATTAAATTTGAATTTTTTAGGTGTTTAATTCATAGTCTTTATGAAATTGATAAGTTATGCTCATTTTTTAAGAAATACTTACTTTTATATTTAAAGAATAAAGTTAGTAAAAAATAAGAAAGTACCACTTGATAATTTCTTTGCTGAATATGAAGTCAACAATGAAAATCTAAAGATTTTAGAAAAATACTCCTAAGATTAATCTAAAATATTAGATTTTAAACATTTCTTATATTTTTTAGCTGCTCCTACATTATGTTTCTAATTATCATACCCTAGAACATAATCAATTAGAAAAGTTTGGTTGATCAAGAGAATAATTGAATATATTTTTGTTATTCTCTTTTTAGTAATTATTTGGTTCCAATACACAGAACCATTAGTAGAGAATACATATAAAATGTTATCAAAGGCTCCAACTTTAATGATTCTTGTTGATAGATTATTAAAGTTAGCCATACCCAATACTTATATGTGGATAGCACTATTTTATGGATAATTTTAATGTTTTTTAAATATCACAGCAGAACTTTTAAGATTTGCAGATAGAGAATTTTATAAAGATTGGTGGAACTGTAAAAATCTTGAAGAATATTGGAGATTATGGAATTTGCCTGTTCATCATTGGTTAGTTAGTATAATATTATAATTAAAATAGGACATATATATTTTCCATGTCTAAAATCTGGTATGAGTAGAACTACTTCAAATATGTTAGTATTCTTAGTATCAGCTTTAGGTCATGAATATATTGTAAGTGCATCAATTGGTGTTATAGAAGCTTGGGCATTTGTAGGAATGTTTGCATAAGCACCATTTATGTTATTATAAAAGAAATTAGAGAAGGTAAATATTAGATAATATAATTAGTTACTTAAATTATAAGATTCTTAATTGGGAAATCTAATGTTTTGGATGACTTTTTGTTTTATTGGTTAACCATTAATGATTTTTGTGTATTACTTTAGATATTTAGAAAAGATAGGTCATCCAATATGATATTATAATAATATTATGGTATTAAAAAGATAAATTAATTGAATATCAATCATCTTCTTCAACAATTGCAAACATTGATTTATTAATATTTCCATATTGTAATTTAAATTCTTCTGATGCACAAGTATTAGCTAAATGTATTAAAATCTTCTCTAATTTCAAATGAAGTGGTTAAGTAACTCTTTGATCCCAAGTCAAATCAACTGCATCAATTCCTGGCATTGAAACTTTATCAGCTATTCTTGCAACTGCTTCTAAGAATTCAATAAAAGTCATTTAAAATATTCTATCACTTTCTAATTCATCAACTTAAAGCATCATAGATAAATTGAAAGCCTAAATTAAATTATATATTTACATTATCAGCATCTCTTTCAACAAATCTTTCATCATATAAATTAGCTTACGAACATATTTCATGTATTTCATCTAAACACATAAATTTCTTCTAACCTGGTTTTACCTTCTTTACACTATATTTATTATATAAATGATTTAATAGCGGTTTAAAGAATTTTAAACAATCATCACATTGTTCATTAAAATATCTTTCATTTCTCCACTTTTATGCATCAAATGTTGACATATATGATTTACATTATTCTAATATCATTTTTGTTGCTTCTAACATATTATTAGCAACCTTAGTTTTTAAATATTTATCTTCAGAAACCCTAACTAAAAACTCCATAAATTAGAATCTACATAATGATCTCTCAGGATTTCTAAAATTTCCTTTGTATTCAATTGAAGCTGCACATGTAGCTATAAATTTCAAATCTAAATCAGATAATTTTAAAGTTTTTCCATCTATTAATTCAGTTTATTATGCAAATTCTGTTATAACATTTGAAGATATTGACCATATATCTCCAGTTGGACTATTGGAACTATATTATTTATAAGTTTCCTTAATCAATTTATAATGTGCCCATAAAACATTCTTAATTTCTAACAATTCATCAGGATTCTTTACAACTTTGGATATTTTACTACAAGTGAAATCTTTTTCAAAGCATTTCTTTAATAAATCTTCATTCTCAAACTTAAAATCTTTAGCCCATATAGATATTGGAAATGTCCATATTCTCTTTTATTTTTTCAATTTTGGAGGAATATAAACAGGATCTGGTGTTCTTGGAAGAACATTTATTTATGGTTTGAATTCAACTTAATCAAAAATTAAAAAATGTTTATCCTTCTTTACATAATTTATATTTTCCATCAAAACAGTTATATAATTATTATTGTAATTAATTTTTAATTAATGTCCATAAGGAATACTTGATTAATCATTAGCAATTAATTATGTATCAGTCATTGTATAAATATATTATGTAGTATTAGTAGGGATCATTAAAGTTAAAGATATTTCATCTTAATTTTTTGGAATATAAACTTATTTATAAGCCTCAAAATCTAAATGTATAAATAAAGGATCAGCTTCACCTTCTCCAGAAACATCAGGTGTCCAAATAAATTTCTATTCTTACCATCCTTCACATATCCAACACACATTTTCTTATCTAATTGTTGTAGTTTATTATAATCCTTTAATTCTAGGTGTTTCTCCTAAAACTCTTTATAATTCATTTTCTTATATCTATAAGAAACCTCTTGCATCAACAATTCCCCAATTATTAACAAAATGAAATCCATATATAGTTCTGTTCTATTTTAATGCATTTGCTATTAATTTACAATCATTTAAACTAAATTAATTTGATGATAAATCACAATGTAAAACATTCTTATTTGTAATCAAAAAATCACATATCTTCTATATACATTATACATCCTTTCTTTCTTATATTCCAAAACTATTCCAACCTGCATCAAAAACCAATAAAGTTTTGTTTTCTATTAATGCTTCAAATATTTTTTATCCTCCCCAACCTTTTATTTAATTCCAATGAATATATAATTATTCCATATTATCCAATTAAATTATACTTTCTTTTAATATTTCTGCAATATCATTTGTTAAATAATTTTTACTAACATTTAATGATTTTAATTTATTATTGCTATTCAATAAGGCCTTTAAAATACGAGTTACATTTCTGTCTCCTAATTTATTATCTTCTAAATTTAAAACTTCTAATCTAAAATTGTAATTCTCTTTTCTTACTTATTTTCTCTTGATTAAATTTACTAACATATTGAATCTGTTCCTATTTTCCCAATATTATTTTATTAAAGATCTAAAACTTTGGCCACTTTTCCAATTTAATTCAATATTTATGTTGCTCCTGAACTTTATATTCTATTATTTGCCATATAAAAATCTTTTATATTTGGATTCACTTTTAGTCCTTCACTTAACATTGATGCATATCTATCTCCATACTTTTAATGACTTATTTATAGAGATTATTCACTTCCTTTTGTTTTAACAACTCCTATTTTACAAGGCAATACATCAATTTATTCTGCTTAACGAAGCATTGCAGTTTACACACTATCTAATTATACATTTAATTCTTACCTGAAATTTTAAAGAAATCATTTTATTAACGAACCTTATTAACTTTTTTATAATGTTAATAATATAACTAGACTGCCTAAGGTCCTACTAAAGGTTTATTTTATAAATCTTCTTTCACTATTTCAGGTGATAATTATAAATTCTTTCTTATTTCATTTTCTTGTTCTTCTTCAAGTGGATCTGGTTTCTTTTTAAGTTTTAGAACATGATCCACTCTAAAAAATTTCTTTTTATTATCTGAATTGTAAGGTACCATAGCAGCTATTTTAGCAAGAACTATTATGATTATTCATTAAAGTTACTTTAAGGATTGATTTGACTTTCATGTGGCATTGAATATGATGCATTTCTAGTGAGATGAGTACTACTAGGATTAATCATAGTTGAAACGTCTTAAAATTATGCACTACTTCTTCTTCTATCTAATTAATTTTAATATTTATTGTCTTGTTGTGAATGATAATTACTTTCTTCAATCATATATTATTAATTATTTTATCAATATTGATATATAAAATATAAATACAAATTAAACACTTATTTTTATAATTAAAATCTTTATTAAGATGAAAAATTTTATTATTATTATTTAAATTAATTAAATGTAAAAGATTTCTTAAGATAATATTATTGATGGTAAAAGGAAAAGAGTAATGTCATCTGATGGTGTTTTAGCTTGTGTTACTTCAAATCTATTGAAAAATACTATTTAGAAAAAAGGTAATAACCATAAGAAATAATAAACTTACAAAAAGAAAATAGTGAATTAATAAGAATCAGATAGTTCGGTTGTTCATGTAATTGAAAAACCATAAAAGAAAAAAGATGAAAAAGTTAGAATAACAAAGAGTGCACTTAAAGAATTGATTAGTTAGCATTTCTTAATAATAGATGATGAAGAATAGAAGTAGTAATAGGTATTAAAAATCCTTTAAATTTTTAGCCAAAAAAACATATCAAATATTAATAAAATGAATCAGAAAGTGAAAGTTCTAGTCAAAATAATTCATCATCAGAGGACATTCCAAAAAGAAATAAACCTAAATCATGAAATATAAAATCAGATATTCTATTAAAATAATTATAATCATATTTTTTACATATTATTATAAATTTTTTCAAAAACTTTTTTAATTAATTTCAGAAAAAGACTTATTAGATTATATCCATAATTAATATAATTATTAAATTGATTTAAAAATCATTCTAACTTTTTTTGTTATTAATTAAATTACATATGTAATTTCATTTCAATAAATAAGTATTTAAATAGAATTAATAATTTATGAAATTCATAAAATAATAAACAATATTCAATATAAAATTATAATTAATCTATATTCATTATAATATGAATAGGATATAATATATTTATTGAGAATCCAAAAAAATACTAAATATATATGAATTTATATTGGTTTTATAAATAAATATTTTATAATTAATAATGAGTGAATAGTTAAATATAAGTAATGGGGAATATTTTAAATTGGTTGAAAAAGGAGTAAAAATAACAAGAGGTGCAGTTTAGAAATAATAAACTTATACTGATAATCAAAATATTAGTTAATCATTTAATGAATAAAGTTCTGGGGAATAAGCATTAAGTAGCTCTCATCATCAAAGTAGTATGATTTAGTAATCTACTCATAATGATTAATAGAAGAAGACATAAAAATAAAAGAAATCTTAACACAAAAAATTACCAAACTCATGTACTTCATGTGCTACTTAAGTTATTGAGAATTCTTTATGTAATGAATGTCTAATTAAATACGAGAAAAATAAATATTGCATTTTATGCAAAAAATCTATGTTTGAAAGGGATAAAGCAGAAAACATATGTGAGTGTCGTGATTGTGGTTTATATGTTCACAAAAAGTGTGAACCTCTATTTAAAGATCGTAAACCTAATTTCGACTCTTATAGATGTCCCAAATGTCGTATAGAATTAAGGAAAATTATCTTTTGTGAACTAATCAGATATTTAACATATTTTGATGATGAAAAATTATTATGGTAATATGATCCAAGTTCTGTTAAATATAGAGAAGTTATTAAAAATCCTATAGATTTTGATACTATTCATAAGAAAAACAAAAAGGGTGAATATTTAGATAATCCTGAATTAAAACTCTACTCAGATATTAAATTAATGTGTTTTAATTTTTTAGAGTTTAATTTATCAAATCCTAAAGCTCATCGTAAAGGAAGTATTCTAAAAATTTTATATGATATTTTGTTTCAATAATTTAGAGGTTACTTAAAATTAACAGATGAAGATCTATTAACATATAAAAATAATATTCATTTATTTACTTCTGAAAATGTATAAATGGCATTTAGATTATTTTTGAATTATGGGTTTGGTGGAAAAGATTTAGTAACTATTGAAGGGATAAATAATTATATTCCATTATGGGAACCATAATTATTGAGTATTACATAGCCAGTACCTTCTAGAAATGTTAAAAGTAATTTAATATAATGGGAAAAGACTATTAATCCAAATTTAGATTTTGAAAATGAAGATGAACCACTAATCAAATTAAATATGATTGATTTTTTAAAGTAATAAGTTTAAAGAGAAATAAAAATCAAGATTGATATTAATAAAATTACATAGAGACATCCTTATTTGGATTATTTATTCAAATTAGAACCTCCATAATTAACTGATGATTCAATTGATTCTCCATAATTGTAATATATAGTAAAAGACTTGTTAATTAAAGATTTAAGTACTGTTAGTTTAGTATAACCTTTCACAATGAAAGTTGGTTGTCCTGAATTATTGTTTGAATATATTTGTTGTTCATGTGGAGGATATGAATTTCTAAATAATTTATTAATGTGTGAAAATTGCAATAAAACATATCACTTTTATTGTCAAATTAATAATTCTCAATATCATTAATAAAGAGTAATTAAATCCTTATAAAATTGGACATGTAATAATTGTGTTAAATGTAAAGAATGTGATAAATATGGTTTAAAAAATGATTTATTTTGCTGCAACTGTAATGATTTTTATCATTTCTAATGTGTTTTCAATAATTTCATAGCTCCAACTGATGGATTAGATTATTGGAAATGTAAGAATTGTTTTAAATGTGCTAATTGTTAAAATACTAAATTATTTGATCCAGAATTATTATCAAGAATTAAACCAACAACAACATCAAATACTGTATTTCATAATATTATCTTAGGTTCATATAAGTATTGAATACTTTTAAAATTTTTAATATTGTTTAAGTTGTGGTTTAGATGTAGCTGGTTTTAGATTTTGTTAATTTTGTGAAGAGTACATATAAATTAATAGTGATTAATAATCTAATGAATTTATTGAAATAGAGAATTAAGAACTTGGATCATTGTATAGATTATATTTCTAAGATGTAAAATGTAAGTTCATTGACATCTATAATTTTAGAAAAGAGTATTGAAAAAATATATTTAAATAAAGAAACCAAGCCAATCAAATAGTACAAATAGTGTATAAAATGTAAATAATTTTATCATGTTACTTGCTTATTGAAGAACAAAAAAACTATTAATAATGAAGGAATATGTTCAGATTGTTCTTAAGACATGTCCTAATTATTATTTAAAATTGAAAAGCTTAAAGAATAAAATATAAGATAAACTATAAAGGCTAAGTCATTAAAAAAAGTAGTTCCTGTTGTTTCTAATTTTTTGGAATGGGCACCTCAATTAAATTAAGTTTAGTAAACTTTCATTATGGAAAATTTAGAGTAATTAGAATCTCTTGTATCTAACTTTTTTTAATATTAACAAAATATTGAGAATTTAAAAGAGGATTTAACAAATAATAAAGATATTAGTGATGAATATATTGGTAAATTGACATAATATTGGTGTGCAAGATATAATTGGTTTGAAGCTCCAAGATAATTATTTACTGTAACATAATAAAAAAGATAAGAATTTGTTCATTTTTAATTGGAGAATGATTTTCATGAAAGATAACTATTGATCCATTTCTTTAAATAAAAAAAACAATTTGTTATATTCTCATTATAAACAATACTTGGTTAAAATAATTCATTATTTGAATTTAATAAAGTTAATAGATTTGCTTTAGATACAATTAGTCTTATAACTGATTTATAATGTTGTTTTGTATAACATTTAAAATATGAATATTCATTTTAATATCTGGATAATTAATATTACACAAATTATTTAAATATTTTGGATTAATATTAAAATTCACGATTATATAGAATGAAATTCTTATAAAATTAAAAGTAATAACTATTATTCCTTCCAATTCCTAATTCAATTGTAAGATCAATTAAAAAATAATATACTTCATAGATGGTAGAATTAAAAAAGCAATAAGCTAAAGATCATATTTTAGTTTAGAAAGGGTGGTTAAAAATAGCAACAAATTATTTGAAATAAAATATAAAATAATTGAATGATAAATATTCTGAAACTTAAATAACAGAAAAATTAAAATCATATTAATAAAATAATTAATTAATAAAATAATGTATTTAAGAAATGAAATAATTATATGATAATAAAATTTAAGAAGCAGAATAAATTTTAATTAAATAAGAATAAGAAATGAAATAATAACCAAAGGAATAATGTATAATTTAAAATGAATATATCTAAAAATTTCCATAATTAGATGATGATGAATTAATAGAAAGTCCATTAGATAAAATTTAATGTTAATTATGTAAAAAAAATGGAAATCGTAGTGTAAGTGGTAGATTATTATATGTTGATGATATACGTTGGGTTCATACTAATTGTGTTCTTTGGAATGAAGATAGCAAAGAATGTGAATTAACTGTAAAAGCATTACTTAAAAATAATAATTTTAAATGTGAATATTGTCAATAAATTGGATCTTCAATAATTTGTGGGAAATGTAGAAAAAGATGTCATTTTTATTGTGGTTATAAATAATAATGGGCATTTACTAATAGTAAAAAAGTATATTGTTAATCTTGTTTTGATAGTTAGGAATAATGTGTAACAAGTTTTATGATTTGGAGAAAAATAGTTGTATAATAAAAATAGGATAAAAAATCTTAAACAATTCTTCATAGATATTCTAATACAATATTAATTGCTTTAAAACCATCAGAATAAAGAGGATAATTTGAAGAATTAAATTTATTAACATTAAGAGATAAAATTTTATATATATCATTAAATATGAAAGAATTTAAAATTAAATATGCTGAAGTAAATAAGTAATAATTTCTTAAAGAATGTGAAAAAAGTGATAAAAATAGATAATTATAATTTTCAGTTACTAAATTAGTGTTAGATAAATATCCATATAAAGAATATAAAGTTTAAAATTTATAGGAATTACTTGATTCATTTAAAGATAATAATATAAAAGGAATAGAATTTACAGAAAATTTAGGAGAATTCTTTTTATTATATACATAATAAGTTAGATAATAATTATTGGATACTAAAAATATATAAAAAATGTGTAATTCAGTTTGTCAATTCAGTTAATTTAAAGAATGGTTTTATTAATAATCTTTTGTTGAAGATCTTCCATTAGATGAAAGAATGCAAATATTATAATAAATTAGTAGAGTAATAACTGAAACTTAAGTTAATGAAAATACTATTTATGATAATCATCCAATGTTATATGATAGTTTACCAACAATTAAACATTAAAATAGTAAATTATCAAGAAAGGATCCTTAATAAAAAATTGTTACTATTAATCCTAATGATATTTTAGAAGAAGCCAATCTATTAACTGAAGAATTAAAATAAATTGATAAATAAGAAGAATTAGAAAAAAAATTGAAATAAGAATCCAAAAATTAGAAATAAAAGAATAAACTTTATGTTGCGCCTTCACATATTCATAAATATGGATTATTTACTAAATAAGAGTATTTTTAATCATATTTTTAGTTTCAAAAAAGGAGATTTTGTAATTGAATACACAGGAGAAGTTATTAGAAATGCACTTGCAGATTATAGAGAATTAACTTATAATGAATAAGGATTTGGAGATTGTTATATGTTTAGGGCATCAAAAACTAAAGTAATTGATGCAACATTTAAAGGATCAGAAGCTAGATTTCTAAATCATAGTTGTCAAGTAATTAATACTTTTAATAATAGCCGAATTGTGATTCTTTATTATTAGATGAAAAGATTTTGATTTATGCTAGAAAGGATATCTCAATTGGAGAAGAATTAACTTATGATTATTAATTTGAAATAGAAGCAGAATCATAAAAAATATAATGTAGCTGTGGTGCAAAAAATTGTATTGGTAGATTAAATTGAATAAAGCCTTTTGTTGAGATTCATAACTAAATTTTTATAATATATTATTAAAATTAATTCTCTTAATAATCATTTTATAATTAAAATATAAAATGGCAAAATAAGATGCAAAAAATAATAAAAGAGATCGTAGTCCAGTGGCTGTATCAAATATATCTATAATTATAGGAAATGAAAATTTGGTAAGAAGCAGTTAGAAAGGAGAATTAACACTTAAAAGTTTATGAACATTTTACTATCAACCCACATAAATGTATTTGCAACTGTTAATCCTAAATTTAGTATACATAATCCAAGAGAAACCTAATAATAGTATCATGTTGTAAAAACATCTTGAGAAAACAGGAGCCATTACAAAACCAGTATTTGATGTTAATCAAATCACTGATGATTCTCCTCCTTTAGAGAGTAATATAATATATATATTTTAGAGGAAATTATTGATAAATTAAATACAATGAATAGAACTCCTCGTCAGAAATATTAATTTCCTTAAACTTCTAATTAAGAACTTGGATGGCATTCTAAAGTATATATATATATATATTTATTAATTAATTAATTAGAACTCTAATAGTCTATCTCCATCCAAATTTACATATCCTAGAAAATTGTGTAAAGAAACCAATTATGCAAATGATTACTTCACTATGAATAAAATCAGTCCATATTCTAATAAATTTAAATGAGGCAATTATATTTGATTAGGTAAATCATTTTTATTTTTATTAAATTCTATAATAACAAAACATTTTATTTATAATGTTATTTAAATAATATACATAAGAAAATAATGAATTTATTAATAGGACTTGGTTTATTATTTTAACATTCATAAATTTATTTTATATTATAATACTAATTATTAAAAGTTTAATATATTATGTAATAATAATCATCTCCTAAAATTATTGATATTGCTATTAGTACAGAAATGCTTGGTCGTTATGCTTAATATAAGATTCAAGTTGATCAAAATATTATTTCTAGAAGGTTTAATGATTTTGTCCATTTTTATGATGCATTGCTTACTAATTATCCTGGACTATTTGTTCCTAGACTCCCTGAAAAATAAATTATGGTAACTTTCTAATGAGAATGTTAGGGAAATCTTGGAGAAGACTTCTTACAAGTCAGAAGAAGAATGCTCTAATATTTCTTGAATTCAATATTCAAAAGGAAAATCTTATGGAATTCACCATAAACAAAATAATTCTTTAATGAATAGAACTAAACTTGGTTACCATTAAATAATGTAAGTTTATCATTATAAGAAAAATATAAATAAAATGCTCCTGATTGTTCTAATGTAACCAATATAATTAAATAAAGATAGAAATTACATTAGATATGAAATGTGAATATTATGATTTTTAATCATTTGTAGTAAAAGTTAAGCCAATGATAGAAAATTTTAAAAAAATGTGCAATAATTATGTGACTGCCAAAACAAATTTCAATACAGAAAAATTAATTTTTGTGAATTATGTACTTCCAGAATTTGAAAAGAATTTATTGTATAAAAGTGATAAGAAATTTTTTGAAAAAATAAAACCTTTAGATTTGATGAAGAATTAAAAATATGATAAAGTTCGTAAATTTTAAAGTGATTAAATTTTAATTGATTTATATATTATGGAGAGTGATATAGAGGTGATAAAATACTAGAAATATATTAGTCTTATTTAATTTCATTTGAATAGATAAGGAAATGGGAAGAGAAGATCATATAATAAGAGGATAAAATTAGATAATCTCAATTAGATTTATAATAAACTATTAATAATTAGAGAAACGCAGTAGCAAAACTATTCTTCGGATCAAAAGAAAAAGAGATTTCAAAATTTCAGAATTAGATTTATCAAGTAATTATATTAGATATATTATTATTATAGTATTCTAAAAGCATAGAGGAATTAAAGGATTTGATTAATATCACAATAGGTTAAATGTGTTTAATTGAAATTCCTGATTTCATAAAAGAGAAATAATATAATTTTTTTAAACTAATAAAGTTTATAGGTTAATAAGAGATAGAACAGATAAGTATAACAGCCGATTATTGGCATAGCATTTTAGATTCACGTTTAATATCTCAGATTGAATAATAGTCAATAAAAGATTCAGTTATTATAATAGAGTAGAAATTAGAGGATTAAAGTTAGTAAATAAATGAAGAAGAGAAAAGTTAGAATTAAGAAAATAAGGATTAAAAGAGCAATATGATATTGTAATAGTAGAAATAATAAAGTGAATAAAATTGATAATATATTTTTAATGAATTTGTGTATCCTTTATATTATTTAAAATAAATGAGTAGAAATCAATAAAAACCATAACCAGCAGCTCAACCAACATAATAAGCTAATAAAAGTTAAGTTTAAGCTCCAGTAGCAACAAAAGGAAAAGCTCCTGCTACAGTAGCATCTTAATAACCTTTATAACCAGCTGTTAATGGTTTTGATCCTTCAAAATATGTGAAACCAGGACTTAGCAAAGAAGAAGTTTTAAAGATTAAAGAATGCTTTGATATCTTTGATGATGATAAAAGTGGATCTATATCGTAATTGAAAATAATTATTAAAGTCCAAATGAAATGAAGAATGCCATCATAGCTTTAGGAATGGAATAATCAGCTGAAGAGATTGTTAATATGATTTAGGATCTTGATTAAGATGGATCTAGTGTAATTGATTTTGAAGAATTTCTAAATATTTTTGGATTTTCAGGGTATTCAAAATATATTTACACTTTATAGCACTATTGAAGATGAATAAGTACTTGAGAAATTATATTAAGAATTTGATTCCTCTGGATAAAGTAAAGTTACTTACGAGGATTTCAAAAGAATTAATGATTTAGTATCAGAGAGATACACAGATTAAGAATTAAGAGAAATGGTTGAATATGCAGATAAAGATAATGATGGATCATTAAGTTGGGATGAATTCAAAGCTGTTGTTTAAAAAGAATATCCAAATCAAGCTTGAATATGATAAATAATACGAGCAAAAATAATCAGTCATATATGCTATTAATTTCTGTTATTGTTTCTAAGTGTATAAACCATTCTTTGAAAATTATTGAAAATTCACTTTTAGCTTATTCATATGATTTATTCCCCACCTTTTATAAAAGGATTCTAGAATAATGAGTATTAGGTATAACTTTCTTTTATTTTACTAACTTTTGTCTAACTTATTTTTCTGCCTTTACTCTATCAATCCATTTTTACTTAATGTGTCCCATCTTATCCCATTCTTCCTAAGCTCTTACTTCCTAATTGCTAGACAATTATCCACTTTTCTTTAATACCCATTTTGATTGAAAATATGCTTCATATCCTTAAGAACAAAACTCTTATAGAAATAATTTGTATGCCATCTAGTTCAACTTTTAATCTTATAGTGCATATTTCTTAGCTCTAATTTTATAAGTTTCTATTATTTGATAACCAAACTACTTTAGATGCTCTTCAGATAATTAGAACACTTATTTTTATGGTTATTCTGTTTACATTACTTTCTATATAGTACGTTTGATTACTCGACATAAACAATAATTTAAGAATTTCAGGTTTATACAGTCAATAAAATTCTATCCATAATTATGTGGATCAATAAATTACTTAAATCTCTTATGATGTATAAATGTTTAAGATCTTAATTCCATAAACTTTATAAACTCTTAAGAAGGCATCTATTCTACTCTTGCCTTCATATATTCTTCCCAAGCTTCATGTGCAGATTCTGATGTTATTGAAGAATTTGAAATTGAATCCTCTTATTAAGAGTATTATTCCTCATATATATGAATCTTCTCCTTTTAAGCTTTATTCCTTAAAGCTGTTTCATAGTCAACATTATTATCTTAATTGACTTCTGAAGTATGTTTTTTCAATCGCTTTGAAATTCTTGATAATTTCTAAAATAAACTAACAAACTCTTTGAAAACACAATTTAAGTAATTCTATAGTATTCTTTTATTCTTAGTTAAAGGTGGAGGAAATTCAAATTTAATGTCTGATCCAATTTATTCCCAAGGTTTCGGAGCAGGTAAATACAGAGCATGTAATATTTATGGTTAAAAGATGTCTGATATCAATTCCTGAATTTATAAATGGGCCAAATTATGCACTTCAGAATTTCTTTAATCACCATAAACATAAAGCATATTCTTAATTGTTTTCGTTAAAGGAAAAGTACTATCTTCCTCATTTTCAGATTGTTAAATTGATGGAGAACTAGCCTCTTCAGGTTTGGGAGAATCAAATTTAACATTCATTTTTCTTCTAGTTTTCATAGATTATAATTAATAACTATATATAATATTTTTATATATATTACTTTTTTGTATAAAATGAAAAATAGAATTTTATTAAATATTCACCTTTTTGTACCATTCAAAATATATTATTACATAATTCTGTTAACATATTTATAATTCAAAATTCACACTTTTTTTCAAACATAATTAATAAATTTATGAAAATAGTATAATTTTAAAACCTAAAAGATTAATTTTAATTTAATTTAATGTATAATAAAAAATGAATAATGATATCATTTATGTGAATTTTTGGCACTCTTATTGTATAAATGGATATTTTTTGTTAAAAAACCAAAAAAACTGTCATAATTTTCAGCCGCTTTATTAATCGATTTGATGTTATATCAATATTAAATTAAAATGTATAGATTTGATAATGCATTATTTAATTTTCCTGTCACCCGTAAGCATTTTTTCTCTGATAAACAGTACTAACTATTCTATTTTAAGGATTAATTGGTTATGACTGATGTATTATCTCTATATTTTTAACCTAGAACTTGGAAAAATAAGCAAAATATCAAATAAAATTGAACTTGACAACATAATTGAATTGGATTGTGAGTGATAAGAAAATATAAGCTTTTGAAATATCATATAATAATAAAATGAAGGCATTCTATGCTTCTCCTCATAATTATTAATTACTTAGAGAGATGATTGCAGGTAAAGTATTTTATTGTGGAATCAAAAATTTTTATGACATACAAATGAAAGTTGGGCAGGGAATGATAGGAGAAGTAATATTATAAATTAAAATTAGGTATATAGGGGTGTATCTTTAACAGGAGATTATGTAGCAATAAAGAAGTGTGATAAATAGAAATTAGCATCACTCTAAGGAGGAATAGTAATCATTTTATTTAGGTTTAGCCTTAGTTCATCTAAGAGTTATAGCTCTTATAATAACTGTCACACATAAATATTTTAAAATTAAAGGAAGTTTTTTTTGATTAGCAATTCTATTACATAATTACTGATTTTATTGATGGGAAAACCTTGCATACAGAATTGCTCTCTAGACCAACTGGTTTGAGTATAAGTCATACATTAAAAGTTATGTTTTAAATTTTAAATGCTGTTATTTATATTCATAAAAAAGGAATTATGCATAGAGATATTAATCCACATAATATAATGCTGTCAGAAAATGTAAAATTAATTGATTTTGGTTTGGCTCGAAAAATTAAAAACTAAATAATATTCCCAATAGCTGGAACACCAGGTTATATGGCACCTGAAGTAATAAACTATAAATAAGATAAGCCATATGATGAGAAAGCAGATATTTTTAGTTTAGGATGTGTATTATATAAGATGTACATAACAATAATTTAATATCTTAGGTTAACTGGTGAAAATTTATTTCATAAAAATAAAAATAATTTTTAAGAAAATAAAGATGGTTTTTTTTAATTGAGAAAGAATCCTTAACATCCAGAATGTAATTCAAGCAAAATGGATTAATTATTTGTTTTATTGGCTCATATGCTTGAGAGTTAACCAAATGATCGACCTAGTGCTTAGTTCTCTATGATGTTATTAAACGAAATTGACAATAATAATCAATAAATAGATAGATTAATTCGAAAATAATAAATTATGAAACCTATTAATATGGTTACTGATGATATGTCTATAGAAAAAACCCCTCGAAGTTTTGCAAGCAATAAAAAAGAGAAATCAAACGATACTATTCCCAAAAGTGATGATATTACAACTCAAGGAAAGAAAAAATTAAGCAGGGTAATAATTAAAAATATTTGAATCTTTATATTTTATTTATTTAATATTCTTCATTATTCATTATTATTATTATTATTATTATTATTATTATTATTACTATTATTTTTATTTTTATTCCTCCTTCTCTTTCTAAATTTTCTACATCTCTTCAATAGACATTTCAGGTTTCATTGCAGGAAACAGAAGAACTTCTTAAATGTTTTGAGTATCTGTTAATAACATCACAAATCTATCAATACCAAGACCCCATCCTGCAGTTCTAAAATTAAATATTTAATAATAATTACGGTGGTAAAGCATGTTCTAATGATTTAATGAATCCTTCATCATATCCCATAGCTTCATCATCACCTTTGGCAGCATCTTCAACTTACTTTTAGAATAATGCTTTTTAAACAAATGGATCATTTAATTCTGTATAGGCATTACACAATTCATGATAATTAACAAAGAGTTCAAATCTATGTTGTTTATTATTATTAATACCTTTCAGTTAAACCTGGATATTATCTATGTACTTTGCTTAATGGACTCATCAATTATGGATGATCAATTAAAAAAGTTGGATTCTTAAAATTGACTTCTAAGAAATGACCAACTAATTTATCAATCAATCTTGCAGTAGTCCTTGGATTAGAACATTCAACTTTATGTTTTTTTGCTTATTAATTAAAGAAGGCATTAGCTTCTTCACTTTCCAAAACTTCAGGTAATTTTTCACCTAATTTTTTTTCTAATTCAGCCATCATAGAAACTCTTGGCCAAGGTGGTGTGAAATCAAGTTCTATGAAATCTTCTTCATTTTCTTTAAAATGACCAGATTTAATATCATGTTCTGTAAGTGTGATAGTAGGATTATCACCCTTATGAATTTTGAATTTATAGCTTCCTTTCAACTTTAAAACAATTGATGACAAGACTTCTTCAGTAACAGTCATGAGATCATTATAATCACAGTAAGCCCAATAAAATTCCATAGCTGTGAATTCAGGATTATGAGTTTAATCAATTCCCTCATTTCTAAAGTTTTTACCTATTTCATAGACTCTATCTAATCCACCAACAATTAACATCTTCAAATATAATTCTGGTGCAACTCTCATGAATAAATCTCTATGTAATGAGTTATGGAATGTTTTAAAAGGTTTAGCAGTAGCTCCTCCTTAGATAACATTTAAAGAGGGAGTCTCAACTTCTATAAATCCTTTACCATCAAAATATTCTCTTAATTATTTAATAACTGCTGATCTTGTAAGGAATATTTCTCTTACTTTCTTATTCATAATCAAATCCAAATATCTCATTCTATATCTTTATTCATGATCTTTGAATCCAAAATGAGCTGTAGGTAACATATGTAATGTAGGTGATAACAATTGAATGATGCCTGGTGCAATACTTAATTCTCCTGCTTTTGTTAAACAAGGATTTCCTTTTACTCCAATAATATCTCCTCTTTTAATCAAAGTATGAATTTTTTCAAAGCTTAATTCTTGGTCTTTGTGATTACCTTCATTTGCCATAACTTAAATTTTTGTTCCTTCACCTTATAAGTCATAAAACATAAGTTTTGCTCCCATAGATCTAATGGTAACCACTCTTCCTGCCACAGAGACAACATCCTCATGAATTTTGCCTTTTTCTGTGCAAATTGGACCATACTTATCTCTAAATTGAGCTATTGTTAAATCCACATGGAATTTGTGAGGGTATGGATTTCTATTTTAAATAAAATTAAATACGGGTCTTTAGTTTGTTTAAGTGCTAATACTTATTTTGATCTATTCTCATGAAAGAGACGAGGATCTACTTCTTCTTCATCTTCTTATTAGATCTTTTCTAATATTGATAACAATTATTAATACTTGGTTTTTTTTTTTCTGCAGCATTCTCTTGTTATTATACTTTTTCAGCTTCTTTTTCAGCTTTCTTCTTTTCCTTCTCCTCTAACTTTTTAAGATATTTCTATTGGGATTTACTAATGGCTTGCTCTCCGACTTGCTCTTTGGTTTACTCTCCGGCTGGTGGTACTTAAGGTTGATCCATTGAAAAATAAAAAAGACTTCGAAATGTTAATTTTGAAATATTTAAACAAGATTTTAGCATTGAAATTTTCTTCTTAAACATGTATATATATATATAAATTAGACCATATTTATGATCCATTAAGAGATTATTGATTGCATATTAATTATTAAAATGAGAATGTTTAGAATTGATTTTACATGTTTTATTTTACTTATTTAATTATTTTTATATTATATATTATGGGGGATTTAGATGATACCCAGAACAATATGTTATTGCATTCTTTGGTTAATCAAAGTAGAATTAATGAAAGCATCAATTATATAAATCTATTAGACTTGATGAATAAATATAATCCAGGACCTGCAATTAAAAAAACTATTGTAAATGATTAAGATTTCATTGATGAATTAGAACAATTCTTAGATTAATTGGATCAACCAAAAAAATAAAAATTTTATGAAGAGTCAATGATTCTATTTGATGATAATGATAATCATTCAATTTTGGAGTTAAATAATTTAAATAATATTAACAATAAATTAGAAACCTAATCCTCTAAATATCAGGATGGTTGGTTAGACAAACTACCAATTAAACATGAATTTGATGATTTAGAAGAATTGGAGAAAATACTATCTTAATGATGATATATATATATATATATAAATATATTTTGTAATTAAAAAAATTAAAGGTTGATAAATAATTTATAATATAATTCTGATATGATTATCCAACCTTATATTACTAAACATTATTAAATTAGAATTTTCTCAAATTATTCTAAATCATTAGATATATAATGATAAACTCAGATTATTTATATAATAATAATTTATTGTAATGAATATTATATAATAATCTTAATATTTAAAAAATGAATCAATTATTTGAAATAAAATAATTTAGAATATGATTAAATTAAATGAATGATCATTTTAATGAATTTTATACACAGTAAATCTGATCAAATTATTAATTCATCTTTATTATACTTATTTTTATTTTCCAATTCTTAGATTTTTTGTCTTTTAATACCTAGATGAGAATATTCAGTCTAAAGATCTAAAGTATTGATTTTAATTTCTTAAAATTATTTTTCAATTTACCTAATAATTTATATTTATTAATTTATACAAAATATCATATTCTTAAGTAATGAATAATTGCAATAATTTATAATAAGCAAATAAAGCATAATTTTTTTGATGATTTTCCAATTTGCATTATTCTAATTTTTATAATCCTTGAAATCCAACATTCATAATTCTTTAACAAACCTTTCTTTTACTTACTCCTAAAACAGAAACAGCTTCTAAAAATGTTAAAGTTTATTAAAAATTTAATTCTTTTAGACATTAAAGAGTTATTTCATAATATGAATTATTCATTTATTCTAGTTTCTTTTGACTAGATTTCTTATACTATTTTGGATCTTTTTATTATTCATTGTATATTGTTTCAATGTATTTAGCATGAAATTTAAAACATATTAATTATTCATCAGATGTTAAATGATTTAAGAATTACATCATATATACATCTAATTCTTTAAAAAATTATAAAGCTAATAAATTAAGATCATTTACTATGATTGTTTTAGAAAATTAATCCATTAATTTTAAGAATAGTTTTTCCATTTCTGTAATTTTAAATGGTTCTGTTCTTAATTCTAAATCTTTAACTAATTTTAATAATTCATCTTCACTTAATTCATTCTTAATTTCAGAATTATTATTATTTTAAGTATTATTATTTTCTTGATTTTTCTAAATTATTTCTTCTTCTTAATCATTTAAATTATTATCTATTTGATCAATCATTTATTAATTAGGATATAATTATTACATGACTGATTTATTTATTTAATTAAGCCATTAAGCATCTAAATATTATAATTCAACAGTCAGATATTAATTAATATTAATTAGTTATTCTAAACTTAATTCTAATTGATATAACCTTCTTAATATAGCAATGAGTAAATCTTCATTTAATACTTTCTCATTAAAAGATCTATACTTTAAGATTTTGTATATGGTATGATATTCATATTAATGAGTATATTTATAAATTGATTATTCTATTTTATTGACAATTATTTCTCTATCAGGTAATTAACCTTCAAGAGAATCTAATATATCATAAAATTTAGAAATGTTTTTGCCATTTAATTAAAACTCCCAATTTTAAGACCACTCTTCTAAATCTTATTTTGATCCATGTTTAACAATGATTTATAATAATCTAAGTTTGTTTTCTTCAGTTATTGATAATTATTTATTTTTATATGCTTCAAGTACCATCTTTTCAATACGATCATTTTCATAAAATTAGAGTAAATTGAACATTAATTAACTAGTATTGTTATTTACTAATTTTGCAATAAATTCTTAATTTGAAGAAAACTCATCAGAAGTTATTTTAAGTTTCGATAGACGTTTGAGTATAGGTTCTGTAACATCAACATATTAACTTACGTCATTATTCAAACTAATTAATTCTGCAATTGAATGAGCATGTCTAATCTATTTTTCTGCTTGTTCTCTAATAGTTGATTTTTGTTATTCAAATTGTCTATTTAATTCATCAATTTATATTGGAATACGAGGTTTAATTTGTCGAGCATACTAAAATAAGATTTTCTAGTTTAATAATTTCCAAATTTACATCACAAATTAAATATAAATATATTCCTGTTAATTTTTTCAAAATGAAAGTAAATTCATTAGATTAAAAATATAATGATCAACTAATTTATAAAATAAGAATTATTATTATTAGTGTTTCTAGTTTATTAATTTAACTAAATTAGTTAAATAATCGATTTCATTATTTGTTATTCAATGATGTCATCAATCAAAGTATATAATTTCTATAAAATTATTATTATTATTATTATTATTAATACAATGTAGAAAATTTTATCTTTGTTTGCTGCTGCTTTATTATTAAGTGGTTTAGCATTTTACACTTAAAATGAAGATTCAAACTCATTTAAAACTTGGTAGAAGAAATATAATAAGTTATATACTTAAACTGAAGAAACATATAGATAGATTATATTCAATTAAAATGTTGAATTAATCAATAAACATAACTCAAATCCAAATAAAAGTTATAGTATGGCAATCAATTAATTTGTTGATTTAACTGATGAAGAATTCTAATCAATGTATTTAGGAAAACCAACTTTTGTTAATATTGATAACATTGAATTAAGTTCTGGAAATAATCTAGGAGAAGCTGATTGGTCTAGCAAAATGAATCCTATTAAGAATTAGGGTAATTGTGGTTCATGTTGGACATTCTCTGCTATTGGTGCTGTTGAAGGATTCTTAATTATAAGAAAAGGATTCAAAGGAGTGTTATCTGAATAATAATTAGTTGATTGTGCTGTTGATGCAGGAGAAGGATGTAATGGAGGTAATTCAGACTTGGCATTAGATTATATTGCTGAAGTTGGTTCTGTTTATGAAAGAGATTATGAATATGTAAATAATATTAAATATCTTAATAGACTGCAAGAGATGGAGTTTGTAAAGTAAAATAAGGAAAAGTTAGAATTTCTGGAAGAGAAAACTATGGTCCAAATGAAGATGCTATTAAAAAGGGAATCTAAAATTATCCATTATCTGTGAGTGTTGATGCCTCTTATTGGAAATTCTATGATCAAGGAGTATATGATGGACCATGTAGAGATGATTTTCATAATCATGCTGTTGTAGCTGTTGGTTTTGATTATGAAGGAAATTGGAAGATTAGAAACTCATGGGGTGAAGGTTGGGGAGAATCAGGACATATTTGGTTGAAACCAGGTAACTCTTGTGCAGTCATGACTAGAGTAGATGGAGCCATATGATAATATTTAATATTTATTTGATTTTCAAATTTATCCTATCATTAAGTACTTCATTACTCAAATGTCTAAGTAGTTACTAAAAGCACTAAAACTTTAATTTAAATCGAATTCTCCTGGACTATTTGATTGTACTTTACTGTTTCCATTAGATAGAAAGTTTCTATCTAAAAAGAAAGTAAATTGCTACTATGATTCTTGTTATTAATATAATTTGTAAGCATCTAAAATCATTTAACTTTCAGTTGATTATGATAGTGTTTTTGCTACTATTACCAGACTTCTTTCTATTATTTTTTCTATTCAAAACATAATATTTTCAATTACTATATTTTTAATCTTGTATATTAAAATAGAAACAAAAACAAAATCGTTCTAATTTTCTAAATCGTATTCTTTAAAATATTCTTTCTTTTAAATAAGCCAAATATTATCTCTAAAACTTTTAGTAAAGTAAATTTTAAGCCTCAATTAGTTATTTAATTTATTGCATGATGTTTTTTTAACTTTCTCTAATCTCATATAATATATTGTAGTCTCTAATTAATTCGCTTTTGAAATCCTATATCTCAACTTGCCTTATCTAAATTCTTGGAAGTTATTCTGAATTAATATTGAAATTAGGGTTTATATATAGTATTTTTCCTTTATTGTATTTTTTTGAAGAAAACCCATACAAATTTAATGATCTTTTAATAAATAATAGGATACCTTCTGAAACTATTAAAATTAGTATGTCTATAGTTTTCTTTCAATACTTAATTCTTGAATTTATCCATATCATTAATAATGAAACCATTTTTATCAAGATAGATTTGTAAAATATCACTATATTTATTATTCTAGAGTAGTTTAAATAATTTACTAGGAGAATAGATTTAAGTTTAAACATAAAACCATTTTTAGAGTTTCTTGATTTAACCATTAGCCTAAGAAAACTAATATGTTATTAATTTATAGTTTGTATTAATTTAGAAAAGAAATAATTCCTAATTTTTTGTATCAAAAATAGATAAATTAGTTTAAAGTATTAAATATTTGATAATATTGCTTCATAGTAAATTTTATGTATCACAAATTAAGATAATTACTTATATTACTAACACTTTAAACTTCCATTAAATCCAAATCACTACTCTCATTTTAATCTTATGTGTCACAGAGTTCTAAAATTTCAGGACTTCTTAAATTTAAATTTGGGATTTTGATATCAAATATTGAGTTATTTATTAATGGGTAGGTATAGAATTATTATTTAAAGGTTTATTAAGATATATCTCCAATACAAGGACATTCTTAAAAAGAATTAGCTTCTTTCCATTTCTAATATAAGAACCTTTCTATTTTTAAGATACAATATATATATACTGTATTTCTTATTTGTAATATTAAGATGGAATTTCCATACAAATTTCCCTACTTTTTTTCCTTTAGTTTATCCATTAACTCTTATTCTTACATAATCCTATCATAATAAATGAAAAATACAAGCATAGCCTTCTTAATATTTTTTTGAATCTCTTATTATCTATCAATGATTTATCTTATTTAACTTTACATAATTTGTTGATTTCTTTAAATATCTTTAACTTGTAATTTTAACAAATATAATTCTTGATCTGGTGTTAATGAATTTTTTGTTGAATTTTGTTTCATTTAAAGTCCCTCATTATTTTTACTATCAAATTGATTATGCTAAAATTTCATTAAACCTTCTGATGTCCTTGAAAACTCAAATCCATACATATTTAATTATCTATTTAATACATACATTATTAACCTTTTAAAACTAGCCATATTGGAATGTTTAAAATGGTTCTTTAATATTTGACTTTAAAATTCATTTAAATTAAGTATGATGAAACCATTATTAGACTCTAAGACTTTTATGATATTGTAGTACTCAGAACTCTAATTTTTATTCAAAAANCAAGATAGATTTGTAAAATATCACTATATTTATTATTCTAGAGTAGTTTAAATAATTTACTAGGAGAATAGATTTAAGTTTAAACATAAAACCATTTTTAGAGTTTCTTGATTTAACCATTAGCCTAAGAAAACTAATATGTTATTAATTTATAGTTTGTATTAATTTAGAAAAGAAATAATTCCTAATTTTTTGTATCAAAAATAGATAAATTAGTTTAAAGTATTAAATATTTGATAATATTGCTTCATAGTAAATTTTATGTATCACAAATTAAGATAATTACTTATATTACTAACACTTTAAACTTCCATTAAATCCAAATCACTACTCTCATTTTAATCTTATGTGTCACAGAGTTCTAAAATTTCAGGACTTCTTAAATTTAAATTTGGGATTTTGATATCAAATATTGAGTTATTTATTAATGGGTAGGTATAGAATTATTATTTAAAGGTTTATTAAGATATATCTCCAATACAAGGACATTCTTAAAAAGAATTAGCTTCTTTCCATTTCTAATATAAGAACCTTTCTATTTTTAAGATACAATATATATATACTGTATTTCTTATTTGTAATATTAAGATGGAATTTCCATACAAATTTCCCTACTTTTTTTCCTTTAGTTTATCCATTAACTCTTATTCTTACATAATCCTATCATAATAAATGAAAAATACAAGCATAGCCTTCTTAATATTTTTTTGAATCTCTTATTATCTATCAATGATTTATCTTATTTAACTTTACATAATTTGTTGATTTCTTTAAATATCTTTAACTTGTAATTTTAACAAATATAATTCTTGATCTGGTGTTAATGAATTTTTTGTTGAATTTTGTTTCATTTAAAGTCCCTCATTATTTTTACTATCAAATTGATTATGCTAAAATTTCATTAAACCTTCTGATGTCCTTGAAAACTCAAATCCATACATATTTAATTATCTATTTAATACATACATTATTAACCTTTTAAAACTAGCCATATTGGAATGTTTAAAATGGTTCTTTAATATTTGACTTTAAAATTCATTTAAATTAAGTATGATGAAACCATTATTAGACTCTAAGACTTTTATGATATTGTAGTACTCAGAACTCTAATTTTTATTCAAAAAAATACATTTAAGAGTTATTTTAAATTGCCAATGAACCCTTTTTCTTTCTTTTGCAAGGAATGATTCATTAGATAAAATATTTTAATTTATTTACGGTATATTAAGTAAGTTGATCATTTTAAAAATATATTTGGATTTCATAAGAAATAAAATTCTAATTAAAAGTCATAATGGAAAGTGATCATCAATAAACATTTATTTTTATATTTTATTGGAATGCAAATGAACCAAGCTGCTATATATTAAATAAACTATAAATATTTTGAGTAATATAAATGTAATATTTTTAAAGCCTATATAGAAAAAGGTTATTTATGTTTAAGTTAGAATGAGAAACTAAGAAAACCCGTTATTTATATAAAATCAATTTAAAACACTTATTGTAATATGTGAATATAATATTTATAAAGTAGAAGTGAAATTAAATTTCAATTAAATGTTTTAATCAAACATTTTAGATGAGGAATAATTAAATGAAATGTTATAAAAAGGTACCAACAAAAATATATAATGTTAATTTAGAACATTTTATTTTTTCAAATAAAAAAGAAATTTTAAATATATACAATATATTTACTCTTTTATCTATTTGTAAAAAGAACAGTTTTTATCAATAAATATATCATTCATTTCATATCAATATATATCTATATATTGTTTTAATATATTATTATCAACATTTCTGAATACATTCATTAATTAATTAATATAAAGTATATTCACTTATGAAATTAATTAGGATTTTGAAATGTGGATTTTCAGATCTAATGAAAATATTTATCACAGTGAATAATCAATATCCATTTACAAACTAACCTCTCTCATATTTAATATTTTCTATGGGATAATTTAAGAACTCCTCTTATATAATTTATACGCATTATCGTAGTTAAACAAAATACAATTAAATTTACTCACTAATATCTTATTTTTCAAGACCATCTATAATAATATATGGATAATATTTATTCATTCTACCATTTATTCTAGTCATAATCATTTTTTTCACAATTACTTAATTACTTATCAATTATTATAATTATAAATAAGATTAATTTTAACAACAAATTACTTTGAAAAACTATATTTTTAAGCAAAACAAACTAATTCAATTAATTTACCTAATTTAAGCTTTTATTTATGAATTTTATGATATAATAATAATAAATTTAGTTTTTGAGATTACTTTGACTTAGATCTAAGATTAATCAAATATTAATACCATCTTTATTATTATAACACTTTTTTTATTTACTTTATTTGACATTACAAAATTACTGGTAAATTAAAATAAATTGTCATATTAAATCACAATATAATCCACATTTTATATAACATTTTTGGATCTCATGCTTCATATCCTAAATATTATATAAATTTTATTGTATTGTTTTTATTAACTACACTAAATCTATTAAATAACAATCACTTTTATAATATCAATATTGATGTTAATAAATCTATTGAGAAATTTTCATTATTTAGATTCTAATGCTTATATTATTATAATCATAACCTAAAGTTTAGCCATTGTTTTATCAATAGCTGAATACTTCACCATTCTATTCAATATAACTCATAATAATTTTGGAATCTTTTAAATAATTGCTTTACCTTTAATTGTTAATATAATCAAATAATTAAAAAATAGAATTGTAGTTTGTAAAATATTTGATGACCTTAAAGATTCAAATATAGTATTCTAAATTTTATTTTAGCACCTAGAATCAAATAATAATTAATAAAAGTTACCATTTTCATTATATATAAATTAATAACATTTATCTTATTGTCATAATTGTAATTGTTCTTAAAAATAATAAAACTTTGATATTTACTTAAAATTATCAGCAAATGCTTATATATAGTCAAAAATAACAAACCATTAAATTATTTAAATGATCTTAATCCATTTATATACAAAAAATTATATTTAAGCATATTCAATTTGCAGTTCCATATTAGAGTATTAAGATTAAACCTACAAAAATTAATAAAAAATTTAACCTAATAAATGTATTATGAAAAACTCCTCTATGTTAAGTATTTAGCCAATAAATTATCAAAATAATTTTTATAAACCAATGTATTTTTTATATGAAACTATTTTTTCTTATTTGAGAGAGGAAAGTATGTAATTATTGAAATCTAGATTAAAAAAGAATTTTAGTAAATAATTTGATTAAACTACTTTAATATTTGAAGAATTCTATAAAACAGAATATATCATAAGAGTTCTAAATTTATAAATTATTAAATTACTAAAACAAAAATGTCTTTTTTATGATCTTTTAATTAAAGAATAAGTTTCATAAAATCAAATTTTTGATTTTTGTTTTAAGATTACTATTAAACTATGTTAAATTGAAAATAACATTAATCAAATATATTAAAAAAATTCATGTAATAAATAATAATTTTTAAGTTAGCTATTAGTATTTTAAATTTAAAAGTATTTTATTAAGCAGAAATCCTAAGAAATTATGCAAAAGCTAACCGAGAACATTCAATTATCTATGAATTAGAATCATAATGCAAATAAACCAGTATAGTTTTATTAGCTAAACAAAATAAAGTAGCATTTTTGATTACAAAATTAGGGGATTGTTCTTATAATGTAAAAATTGAAAGAGCTTCAAATAATGCAAAATTATTTTTTTAAACAGAATTACCTTAATACATTGAGTCTCTAATTCCTTAAGGTATTAGAGATTATCATGGACAAAATTTACATGATTTCTTTTAAACTGGTTAATCATATAGATTTAAGTAAAATGCTCGTTTATTTATTCTTTAAAAAAACTACATTTAAAGTGCAGAATCGTATTTAGACTCGTACAATAGCTTATCCGAACTAAGGTTTATTAATATAATTCTAGAACTTAAAGATATGAAGGGATATATGATTTTAAATAATTAATTTCAAATTGTTGGTATAAATAAAAATCTTTTAAACCTATTAAATTTTTCAAAATCTCAAATTGATTACTTTTAACCTGATGAAATGTTATATGGATTAAATGTGAAAATTTTGATTCCTTAATTTCAGATTTTGATTGAAGAGAATAGATCAGTATCATTGATTGAGTTTTACTTTATAAAATAATGCTACCTATTTGATTTAACAAAGCATACAATGGCTGAAAGATTTACAAATATGAATCTTTTAGATAGATATGAATCTTAGATCGAAATTTAATCTAAATACCATAATAATAAATTATCATATCTAATATTAACTTTTGATTATATGAAAAAGATAAATGTAACTTCATTATTATCAAATTTGATTGAATGTTCAACAAAATCTAATTAAAAGATTGAATTATAACAAAAATTTTTGGAAGAAATAAAGATAGATTCTCCTTATGATTTTGAAGATTATAAAGATCTAGACGTTTAGTTATTCTAGCCTGAACTTACTTATCAATAATTGAATTCTCCTTAAGAAAAATCGTCAACAAACGAATTATTATTTTAATAAAAATTTTATAATCGTTATCATGATGTCTCTAGAGTAAGTGATGATGTTTCAATATTTAAGAAGAATTTCTCGAAATAAATAAGCATGCCATAGTTTTATTCAGATAATAATAATAAATAAAAATTATCTGATTAAGACGAGGGAACTCCATCATAAAAAAGAGAAAAATACAACTCTACTTTTTATGATAAAGCAGAATTTATAGATAAAATGGTATAAAAAAGAATTAAAAACATATTTGTTAGATTAGCAATTACCTTTTTAGTGGTTTCATCATTATTAGGAATAGTTTCATTATTGTTATAAACTTTTCTTATTGAAAACAATTTTAATAATTATATAACTGATGTTGGATAATTGTCAATTAAAAATGATATATTACAACCTATGTTAAGTTTCTTTATTTTGAGATTTATCATATATGACAAAACTAATCTATTGAGTTTGAATTTAATAACTAATGATTAGTATATGAATGAAACAGATTTTGCAAAATAATATTTAAAAAAAGAATTTGATCTTTTTCATATTTAAATACAAGAATTATTTGAATCTAAACTTTTATAAGATTTATTATTTGATAGGTATTATTAAGTAATTTATTTATAAGATGATTATACTTATTATTATGAAAATTTTAGTGCTCGAACTTTCTTTATAAAATATTTTGATTATCAGTAATTAATTTATGGAGTTTATTCTAATAATGAACTTCCTAAAATTACTACTCCAGTTACATTTTAAATGCTAAATTAAAAATTATTATTTGATATTTGTTCATATTTGAGTGATTAAGTTTATAATAATACAATATCTAGAAATTCAAAATAAATCAATGATCAAATTATAATAATTGCTTGTTTTTTAAGTGTTAATTTTATTTGCTTATTGCTCTCCAATTACTATTATAGAAAATTTGCAAATTAGAGACAAATTTTTGGCAGTATGATGTTCAATATTGAAAAAAGTGCCTTGGAGTCTGAATTGGAATATTCAGATTACTTAATTAACTAGATTGCAAATCATAACATTACTTAATTTTATACTTTTAATTAAAAACAGAAGGAACGTGAAATTTATTCCTTAAAAAAATAGTCAAAAACCAATTAATCAAGTTACTAAAAATTAATTTACAAAAAGGCCAAAATTGACACTTCTAAATTTCTGATATTCATCTATACTATGTTTATTGGATTTTTAACTGTAAATTTATCTAACACATTAATTCTATCTGAATTTATAAAGAAATATAAACCTACAGCTACAATGCATAAAAATACTTCTGATTTATGTTTAAATGTAGCATTAATTTATAGTGAAAAAGAATAATTGAACAATCAAGTTTTCTTTCCATATTTATAAGACTCAGATTTTTAAACTATGGTTGATCAGTTGAATCAATCTTCTGCATAAATCAAATAATATTAATAAGAATTAATGAATATAAATCTTGCTAATTTGTTATTTCGTTCTGACTTTGTATCTTACTTTCTAGATTAAGAAACCCAAGATTTGTGTTAACTCATTAATGCAGTATATAATTATATTATATTAGTAAAATAATCAAAATATTCAACAAATTTGTGTAAATTCATTTGAAGGGTCCTTTTTATTAGGAATATAAGCTGTATTAAATCATGTGTCTAAAATAATTACATAAGAACTGATTGCTTAACAATTTTCTTAGCGCAAACCTATTAACACATTAGAAGTAGAAGGGGCTTATTTATTTGTAGAATACTTATAAACAGCTTCTAAAAGGGCAATGACTGATTTTTCTGAATAAGTCTTAAAATAAAAATCTATTTTGGAAGTATTATTTAGTATAATATAGAAAATACTTGTTTCATCAATTTCGTTTACATTAATTTTAGTCGCAATTATTATGATTGCTTTAGAAACCAATTTAAAATTGAAACTAAAATATGCTGTGAAATTTATCCACTTGATACCAAGAGAGGTTTTGTTTTTGGATGAAGCTTTTGAAAGAAAAGTTAGTATGGTTATCTTGAAAGATCCAAATATATGATTTAATTTATTTTATTAATTAGAAAAAAAAATATATATATATATGTAATTTTAGATAATGACTGAATTAAGAATAATGATGTAGATATTACTTTAAATTGAATTCTTATGTTATAATTAATGGACATCACTTAGTCAGATCTCTTCTTTTATTTAGGATTGCTTATCTCATCTATGTTACATCTTTTTCTCCAGGATATTCTCCATCTTTTAATGCAATATTTGATGCTATTTAATCCCAAGAGTTTTTCTTGTAATTAGAAACACTATCATACATATTAATTATGATTATTATTATTTTCAATCTAGATCTCTTATTTCTATTTATTTTGATTTTTTCTTTGGGTTATTTCATTTTCTTATTGTCTTAATTTAAATCAGCCATAATTACTTTTTGAACTCCTACAAAAATTCCTAACCTTTTTATTATTTTTATTATTTCAATAATCTTTCTTATTAGTCTTTCTCTCTGATTTGAACTATTCTTTCATCTTCTAGAAGTCTCAATTTATCCTTTCTTTATTATTATTCTGGGCTCTATGCTTAACTTAAATTGTACCATGTATGCATTTAGTGTTATAGGTAGAGTTGGTGCCTCATTTGAAAAAGCATCAAAAGCAGCATACTTAAGATACTCTAATATCTTACCTATTCCCCTTAATTCCCAATCTATTACACATTCTATCTATCAGTTTGTGTATCATTAGTTTGAGACTCTTCAAAAAAATCATACATAATTATATTTCAATATTAATAAAATATCATATAAAATAGTTTAACTTTCAAATATAAAGTTTTTGACATAAAAAAAGGTGCCATATATTCAAAACAAATAGAATACATAAATTATCATCTTGATATTAAAAAATGTTTTCATAATCGTTCCCTGTTTATGGAAGTTTTGTTTTTTTCTTATGATAAATAACTACTAACAATTATTAAATTTCAATTGATGTAAAAGAATTTTCTTAAATTAAATATACTCTATTTTGTAGATTACTAAGAAAAACAATATTCGGATAACATATCAAATAGAAAAATTTACAAAACAACAAAAAATTATCACAACAAGGATTTCATAATATCAAATCTAGCTTGTTCTTTCTCGCTAAATTTATAAACTAAAATATACTTTCCCTTGAAAAGTTCGACTTTCAAAGTATAATCACTTATTTTGATTTCTGATAAATGCTTCAAAGGATGGACTTATGATCCAAGCTTTTATTCTCTTTCTTGGATTGTTTACAATTACATCCATGTTCCATTTGCTGAATCTTTATCTTAACTTCCATCAGCAATCTCCCAATTATTCTCTCTTTAAATATTTTCTAAAATATATACTTTCTATTAAATCTAAATCTTGTCTACTTCCTAGATATTGTATTTGAATTGATTCTGATATTATTGTCATTTCCTCTTCCTATTGAAAATACACTAGAAATGTCTTTAGCAAAAAAGATATTCTAATTAGTGTCAGTAACTCCAGATCCTCCAAATTTAATCATAATAAATGGAATATTATAACATTTTAGACTTGTTAGTATTTAATCAAAACTTGAATCTACCTGCAATGATCTTTCATACAGCTTTAGATCTAATCCCTACAATGAACATTTGTATTTGATATTTCTTAATTTTTATATCAATTTATCAAATTCTACATCCCTTGGCTTTTATTCAGATCCTAAATTATGAATTTCAAGAATCTGAATTGTAGTTTCACTCCCAATACTATATTATTGATATTTTTTCATTTTTTAATAGTTTCTATCGATTTTGATGTGTGTTCCAAAAACACTACCAATATCTTACACATAACAATCCTTAGGTTCCCTGAAATATAAAATTATAATACTCTAGAAATTATGAAATTCTCTAAATTATATTATAAGGCATTCTTAATTAATTTAAGGTTTGTTAATACAATGGCAATATTTAGGTTTCCTTTCTAAAAAAGTTTCTAAAGATTATTTTGCAATGGATTCTGGAAATCAACCTCTCAGTTTCTCTTAAAACTAGAATTATTTTTGTATATACTTATGTCATTTGGAAATATCAATTAACCTTAATAATTTTCCAATTTCTCTTGTCTACCAATAATAACATCTTCTGAATCTGCATTTTTTATTGAACCTATCATACTTTATTTGTAAAACTTAATTACCCAAATTAATTAATGTAGTGTTCAATTTAGTAAGTAGGGTTTAATAGATTTTAGTTTTTTATTACGGTTATTTTTATATGAGGTTCGCTTTTATTCAATTCATTGTTTTATATATCATACTTTCTTAATCTTGTGTACATCTCTTAAATCTACTTTTTTTGCCTAGTTTCAAATGTAAACATTACCCGTTTCTTCCTTCATTTCTAATGATGGATATCATTTATATTCCTGAGTTTTCAATATGAATAATTGGCGGCGATTAATTGGCAAACTAAATCGATATATCACTGTCGAATGATTGGAAACTAATCAATGAATAACTAAAATACAAATCGCTAAAGCTTGTGCTGAATAAATTAGGATCTTCAGAGATTAATTGTCGGAACTCCATACCAAATTGCGCAAAAAATGGTTGCATGATTAATTATTAAAATATTCTAAATAATTTGTTTCCTTAATATAAATATCGATAATATTTAAATCAATAATTTAACAAATAAAATTCTAATGTAAAATTTCGAGTTGCCACATTCTAAATTATTTTGGTACATCTAAGAGATGTATAAATAACATTTGATAGATGATCATGAAAAATAACAATTGAAAGGTATGAAGCCATTCAATTTTGATAGAAAAAGTAATAATTGAGTAAGTGGAAATTTTTCAATATCTTGAATAGTATGAGCAAAAGAAGGATGACGAATTGCTCTCTTAATAACTCATTTCCTTAGTTAGGTAGAAAGATTTAGCAGAATTATTTGGATTAAATATCAGGAGGACTCTATATCGTATAAATTAATTTTATTTCTAGATGATAATTCAGAATATGAATTTCCAGGCAAGGTACAACGCTCTCCTAATTCCGGCCCCAAATCAAGATAGTCAGAAGACCTTTTGCCACCTGAATTCTGAAGATAATAAATTTTATTGATGTTTCTTAGATTATTTAAAAAAAAATAAAATTATATGTAAAAATATATTTATGAATCATTATTAAATTAATTAAT